GCATTGCTAGGACAGAAGTCTATCTACTCCACTATAAATTGCCATGGGTTGACATTTTTATAAATTTATTTTAGGATCACCTCATAATATAGGAACATACTCTATTTATGCGGTTGTAGATAGATTTTTAAATATTACACATTTTATTGCATATAGGAAGTGAAATGATGATGTAAAAATAAAAAAGTTATTTTTCAAGGAGAGTTTATTTGAATAGGGTCTTGAAGTCTATCACTTCATATTGAGATTTAAAATTTCTCTCTTATTATTCTTGTATTCTTTGGAATAATTTTAATTCATGTTTTAAATTCAGCTCTACTAGTCATCCACAAACTCATGGTCAAATAAAAGTGGTCAATAGGATATTCAGAAATTTAATTTACTATGTTTCAGGAGAAAAATAAAAATAGTGAATTTTTCTCTTGATCAAGCTGATTTTTCTTATAACTTCATAGTAATCTTTGTTATCAATCGTTTCTTTTTTTCATCCAAACTTTTCTTTAGATTTGGTGAATTTACTAAAATTATCTCACACATGCACTAGAGAAAATATTATGGTGGAAAATATTAAGGCAATATATGAATATGTCATGGAATATCTTTGGTGCATGTTTAAGGAGAGAGCTGATAAAAAAAAAGCATAAAGATTTTTGAAGTCTATAATCTAGTTATGATCTATTTGAGCAAAAAAAAATAGTCATTAAGAAATTATAGCAAGGTCAGTCCTAAAAAGTATAGACCATTCAAAGTACTTTAGATGGTTAATGATAATGCTTATCTCATTAACTTACCAAAGATTGTGAGAATATCTTCTACATTCAATTTAATAGATTCATATGACTATTATCTAGAGATAACTAAAGACTCAAGGATGAGTTTTTTGAAGTAGGGGAGACTAATACATCACAATTTTAGTTCAATTCAAGTGGACTAGAGGCCTAGGATGATGTAGGGCAGTTTCAACTCAATTCAAGTAGAATAGAGGCCTAAGATATATGAAGACATAATTCAAACCAAATTCAGTTCAAGATGGCATAGAAGGAGATTGGGACACATCTTAAATGTGTCAATATCTCAATTCTCATGTTTATTCTTATTTTTCATTTTTTTTAATTATAAATAATCTCCCTAAACTATTAAGGGCATTCCACAAAAACCTTCCTTTTCTTTAAGAGGCATTTTAACAAATTTCTCTTTTTCTAAGTTATTTGTAACTAGAATTCAACATATAAAAAGCCCTCCTTTGTAGCCACAAAGGCATTCATTATTTCATCAATCTATTTTCAAGTTCCCTTTCTCTCCAAAGGTTTTCTATCTATAGTAGTGGATGTCAACACCCATGTGGATTGAGGGCCTCTTTCTTGATCCTGTGGACTCATGATCAATCCCTTTTAAACTTTAGGAACTAAATCTCTTCATTGTGTGGACTCAAGGTGAATAGTTTTCAATAAAATCTTGTTCCTTGTTGACTCAAGGTCATGATTTTACTTTCAAAATACTTAAAAAGAAAAAATAAATGTGATTGAATCATCAATTCTTCTTGTTTTTTATATGCCAGTTTACCACTTATGTTTGACCATTATTTTTTGGCTGACATGTAGAGCTAAATTTTAAACATAAATCAAATATTTTATAAAGAGTGTCAAAAATGGGTTAGAAATTTAGGATCTCCATTTGAAGTGATAGACTTTGGAGCTCAATGGAAATGAATTATCTCCTTAAAAGATAAATTTAAAATTTATACAATATCATTTATCTTCTACATGCAATGAAATGTGACATCTTTAAAAGCAACCACAAAAATAAAATTTGCTTCTCTGCGTACATGGTAATCCTAAAAATAAATCCATAGAAATGTAGAGTTGGCAGTGTGAGTATGTAGAGTTGTGCTTTGGTAATGTCTCTTATTATTTGAAAACTTTGGCATCATTCTACAAAATTTCAAATTTTCTTCTTCAATTGAGGCTAAAATATCATTCTTATATCATATGTAAATCGTTTTCATGCCCCACATGTTTTTCAAGTCCTCATACACATAATCCTAGAATCAACTTTTGTTAGTGTGAAGTTCATGGATTCCATGGCTAATTCTCATAAAAAGGATAATTTTCTTGAATATGAAAATCTATTTATTGATTTATTTATTTACATTCGTTCCAAATTTGGGCAAAACCTTCATCTTCAAAGCCATTGATTTCAACACACATGGTGACTTGTAATATTGATTTTTTGTCAGTACATGAGCAACTCAATTCATCTTGCTTGATTAATGCTTTATCACAAAAGTAAACCTTTGAATGGAACATATCCATATTTTCAAATATATCTGATAATGTATCTATTTGTCCCTTCAATAACTACATGCATTGCACAATGGATGTGAAGATGTATCTATCTTTCTTGATATATCATGGCTTGGACAAATGGACACATCATCAAATATATTTGAATAGTCATCATATGTTCATTGAAAATGTTAAACTCCTAAATCATATATATATATATATAGATATATAATCATGTAGTAAATTAAAATAAGGGTATGATAGTAAAAATGTATGGTTATTACATCCCTCCCACGTATCTAGACATCATTTTTAACAAAGTAATACGCATTCTGATGACCCATCTTGTCTCATCGAGTCTCATTACTGTATGAATAGCATTGTCACCTAAGATACATAAACATAATCTGTAAAAATCTTAAGATTGGATTTTTTATTATTACCCTTGGTTTAAATAAAAGAGCCTTTATGGTCACTAAGCTGAAATACTATAATCATATCTCACATTTGGCTGAAATATTATAATATTATTCTAATTTCTCACTTGTTATGATTTTTTGTCCCTAAGTAGTAGTGTACATTATCAAGATGAGGGTGTGATGATTTGATCTTTTTTTTCTAGTTCTTTCTTTTGTACTCACATTTTCTTCTAGAGCTTGGCATTGTAAATTCATAGCATGTTTTATAATGATCTACTAACTTTTTCATGAACATTGTCCTTGAGTTCAACTATCTTTAGAAGGTTATACTCTTGAGTTCTAGACTCAAATAGCCAACTCAATATTTTCTTAGCAATGATCAAAGCTAGCATTAAACATTAAAAGTTGTTTGATTTATATGAATCTTTGTGAAATTTTAGTGTTAGATTCAACAATTATATTTAGCACCTTGGGATCAACACTTGAGAGCTTATGATACTTGTTTGAGTTAAAGAAGACTACAAGAAAAGTATAAAACTAAAATTTGACAATTGTTGAAGAGAGGCTTTCCGCAGTATCGTTTGTCATTGCAAGCTAAGTCCCTCAAATGAGAGTTTGTCAAAGATTTTATATATTCATAAGTCAAAACTCCATCTCAAGTTCTTACAAGCCCATGTTTTTGCTCTTGTGAGAGCTACAATTACTTACTATGAAAATATAACATGTAACAAGTTAATGACAACATATTGTAAATAATGAATGGAGTTTGGGCGAGTAGAGTAGATATTTGACTCTACTAATGTAAAGTTTATGAAAATTCATGCGTCTGTTTGTAAACCGAAAAGTTTGATGCCTATTTTCTTCGGATTTATATGTTGGAAAACAAAATGCCACTGAGTTTGATTAAGAAAGATCAGACACCTGTTTTAAGGCTTGTTATTAAAAGACACTAGAATATATTCAAAACCATTGGGATCTACAATTATGATTACAACAAAAATTCATTCAAATCATTAGAATATTCAAACTATATGACTACATCATTCATTTTGACATGGTTATGAACTAGCCTATTGATCAATATTGTATAAAGCTATGTCGGTGAGAATCAGTATTATAAACCATTAAATATAATAGATAAATTCTATTCATGATGTGAATGAAAATGGGTTGAGTCAAAGATAGCATACTTTAAATTTTGATAAGTGAAAAGTACATTGAAACATATCATTCCAAAAAAAAAGTAAAATTTGAGCAACCACAATGAATGCAAACCAAAATTTGAGTAACCATTAGAAGCCATTTAAAAAAGGGACTAACATAATGTCATATTTTACATGAGCCAACACCCACAAGTAGAGGACTAACACTTTTCAATTATAGTCAAAACTTGTAATTAAGGTCCCAACACTCAGAACTTATGTACCGACACCTTCACAATAACAAAGGAAGTGAGATTACAAGTATCCCAACTTAAAGGATCAAATGCCAACACCCAATAGTTCCATTAGATAGAAGTGTCAACACTTATCATGTAGTGACAAAAGAACTATTGAATCTTTCCAAGTAAAAAGGCCTGATCATGTAGTGATTCAATGAATTTAGAATTTTGAGGTCTTAACAGTCTTTTAAAAATATGAAATTTTAGAGTACTTCATTAGCACCTCTTTTAGAGATGTATAAGAGAATGAATTCTTTAAGATTTTTTATATGGGGTCATTATAGAGGAAGTTTTGTTGCAAGGAAAAAAAATTAGTTGATGCCCTTAAAAACCCAACTTGAGCAAGACATGGTTCCCCCAAATAAATTTTCATAAATCAAATAGTTAGTAGGCAGACTATATATTTAATTGTATCTAAGAAATATTTCTATAGTCAAACTCAGCTTGAAGATCAAGAATCTTTGTCCACCTTGTAAACTCTCATATCAACCAGCCTATGTCCCGCTCAACTATGTTGAGCATTATAAATCATTAGATATCATGTGAAATTTAATGATTTGGATCGTACTTGAATATTACTCCATTGGGAATGCACAAGGGGGGAGAGAGAGAGAGAGAGAGAGAGAGAGAGGGAGATGTTAAAGGTCAAAAAAGGATAAGATCTGATACATACAAGGGCCACAAATGACAGATGACGGGTCAAAACATCACCCATGAAATCGCAGCTGAGGAAACCAGGAACAAAATATCTCCCTCCCTCCCTCTCTCAAAAATATCTTCCCCTCCCCTCCAGAGACCGCCCCCAGGGGAGGAGAGAAAGACACAGCGACCACCTAGCCCTCCGGCGACACCATCATGTCGGCAGGAGCCCGTGTTTTCCGGCTGGGAAACCACGAGGTGCAGCTGCTAAACGTCGAGCCGGGAGGCGCCGCCTCCTCTCGCCTGCCTCCGAAGCCGCTACTGATAGCCTCCCCGACCGACGGAGGTGACTTCCCCGTGCTTCTCTTCCTCCACGGCTACCTCCTCTACAACTCCTTCTACTCCCAGCTCATCCGCCACATCGCCAGCCATGGCTTCATCGTCGTCGCCCCCCAGGTCCCTCCGCTCCCTTCTTCCACCGATGTAATAATCTTCCTCCCCCTCCTCCGCCCCTAAACCCAACGCCATCCCTCCTCCGCAGCTGTACACGCTCTCCGGGCCAGATTCCACCGCCGAGATCCACTCCGCCGCCTCGACGGCGGACTGGCTGCCCGTCGGCCTCCCGCCCGTGCTCCCGCCGTCTGTGCGGCCGGACCTCGCCAAGCTCGCCGTCGCCGGCCACAGCCGCGGCGGCAAGGTCCTGCTCCTCCCTCCCTCCCTCCATACCAGCAAACAGAAATTTATTTTCTCACTCAAAACCAGCACGAGACGATCTGATTCCTTCATGTTTCCTGCAGGTCGCGTTCGCCCTCGTGCTGGGCCGAGGCGCGAGGGCATCGCTGAGCTTCTCCGCCGTGATCGGCATCGACCCGGTGGACGGCATGGGCCGGGGGAAGCAGACGGTGCCGCCGGTCCTCACCTACGTGCCCGGGTCCTTCGCCATGGAGGCGGCGGCGATGGTGCTGGGCTCCGGCCTCGGGGAACTCCCCCGGGGGCCCCTCCTCCCTGCCTGCGCGCCGGCGGGGGTCAACCACCGGGACTTCGCCGCAGAGTGCTGCCCCCCCTCCTGCTACCTCGTCGCCGGCGAATACGGCCACGTGGATATGCTTGACGATGCGCCGCCGGGTTTGCGTGGGAGGGCGACCCATTGTCTCTGCAAGGCCGGCGCCGCCAGGGGACCCATGAGGGCCTTCGTCGGTGGCGCAGTGGTAGCGTTTCTGAGGGCCTTCTTGGAGGGGGACCCGAGGGACCTCCTGGCTCTGAGGGACGATCCCGCCGCCTCCCCCGTCTCTCTCTCCGCCGCAACGTTCCTCTTGGAGGAAACGGTCACCTGCTAGCGAGGAACCGGAACATATTGTTTCGTCAAAACCACTCGGCCCAAGAAATGTGTCAGCCCATTTAGTTCCTTTTTTCCCATATTTTACTGCGTCATTAAATATTTTTTTAAAAACGCGAATGTGTCGGGGCCCGTCCGTTGGGCCCGAAGTTTCCTTCATATTCTGTGGCCTGATCCTCGTTGTTTGATGGGCCCGGGCCCGTTGATAACCCTTGTCTAACACTTCCTGCGGGGACTGTCACAGTAGACTCCGGGCCCACCATCTGTCTCTCCGAGGAAGAGGTGTGCCCACCGGTGGCGACAACACCTACGCTCCTAAGTTGTGTGGTGGGCCCGCCAGATCTACTGCATTCCCAGCTGGGTGGGCCCGCGGCCCTTCCTGTTCTGCGTCTTTCAGAGGGGAAGGACGCTATCGGAGACCACGAGGTTACACAGAAGATCCCTCTCGCTCATCGTCTCCTTCTCTCTCTCTCTCTCTAAATAATATAATAATATCTATCTATTTTGTCTCTATCTCTCTCCGAATCCTAGACCGGTTTTGATAGATACCGAAGAAGCACATCAGAGCCCCCCAGGCTCATAGATGATCATGTCCTCCCCGTCAGATCTTCTCCTCTCTCTCTCTCTCTCTCTCCCTCTCTCTCTCATACACGATTTCCTTCCGATGTTGACTTTTTAAGATCTCTTCCCTAAAAAATCAAAAGGAGAATCCGTTTATGATCGACCCACTTTATTTGCTCTTTCGTTGCTATTCACACGAAGATCATCCATCCATCCATCCATCCATCAAGGTGACTGCCCCGTACTTCGCATTCATGGAAGCTGAAGCGGCGCCATCTTCCGGGATCCGCTACAACGGTCAAACCTCAGTTTGATCCAGTTTTTTTTAATAAACATTGTATTACTTTATGGAGCGAATCTGTTGGTGGGTAGGAACATAGCATCCGTCGAGTCTTAAGAAATTATAAAATTATATGAGGAATCATAGATACCTCATAAAGTAATGAAAAGAAACTTGGACGTACTCTTATGTAAACCTAGATTCGTGAATACGTATCCGAGTAGAGAGAGAGAGAGAGAGAGAGAGAGAGAGAGAGAGAGAGAGAGAGAGAAACTCCGATATTTACTGCAAATATATGTTGTAAACCTTACGCAAGGTTGACCATGCTTTCGGATTCCTATTCTTAAAATATTCAAGAAAGTCAAATACGGCGGAAAAAGGGGGGAGAGGAGAGAGAGTGCACTCTTTCTGATGAACATGGTATAATTATCTAATGAAGTAAATGTCACTGCGCTAGGCTCTTATTCCAGAAATAGAAACTCATAAACACGGGGGAGAAAAGGATGAAAGTTGCCGAGAGCCAGGTAGAGAGAGTGATTAAGAGAGAGAGACAGAGAGAGAGAGAACTGAATACATAAAGGGACTAGACTGTTTTGCAGTAAACATGAAATCATGTTCACATAAACGTGGTCGCATATTAAGGTTCCTGTTCCGAAAGGGTTGGAATATTCAGGATAAAGTGTAGCAATAGAAAGAGAGAGAGAGAGAGAGAGAGAGAGAGAGAGAGAGTCCGTTATGTATCCGAAGAAGTCTACAGTTTCAGGATCTCATGCTCAGACTAAAGGTTCAAGGACAACAAACGGGTGAACAGACACCGTCAAGAGTTAAAAGAAGCAGATAGACAGATAGACAGATAGACAGATAGAGAGAGAGAGAGAGAGAGAGAGAGAGAGAGAGAGAGAGAGAGAGGAAGCATTTACAAAAACATGAAACAAGCCTTACCCAACATTCTCAGAGCTGCACGTTCCTGCTCTTAAAATAGGAAATCAAAGACAACGAAGACGAGTATTTACGGTAAGCATGTTGTGTTCCTTGCTCAGACTTCTCACAGTCTCAGACTCTTCTTAAACTTAAAGCTCAAATAAATGAGTGGGAAGGATGAACATCGTCAACTGATAAATATGTTTACATAACATAGATGGACACAGTGGAACAGAAAGAGAGGGAGAGAGAGAGAGAGAGAGAGATCACTCTAGGAAATCCAAATAGGGCGATCTTCTAGTTGGAGTTGAAAGGTTGGAAGGGATAGTAGGAAATTCTACGAGTATGTATGGGAGACCACACGAGACTGAACTATGCAGCTGCCCCCATCGGCGATCCGAAAACCTAAATATTGCAGAAAACAGAAAGCAACGACGACCGCCTAGACCTCTCCAAAAACTTGCCACGGAAGGAGATATCAATGTCAATTCTCTCAATTGACGACCACTCAACTCGCTGAAGAAGCCGCCGTCGGCCGTCCTCCTCCAGCATGTGCGAGAAGTCTCCGGCGGAGCAACAGCGTACGAAGGGGCGGAGGGATGATTATACACGGCGGATCGACGACGGAGCTGCAGCTAGAGCTGCTCTCTCTCTCTCTCTCTCTCTCTCTCTCTCTCTCTCTCTCTCTCTCTCTCTCTCTCTCTCTCTCTCTCTTTCTCTCTCTCCCTCTCTCTCTCTCTCTCTCTCTCTCTCTTTCTCTCTCTCTCTCTGAAGCAGGCAGGGAGGGAGGCTGTCATGGCATGAAGAGCTTGCTGCCGCACTTGCACCGCCAGGCCTCGGGGTAGTAGTCGAGGGGGATGATCCGACCGGGGTGGACGGCCACGTGGACGGGTCGGCAGGGGGAGCACCTGCCGCACCTGGCGCGGCACGTGGGCGGGGACGACCCGGGCCCGACGAGTCGCCTCCGGGCGGCGTCGCCGGCGGCGACCCGCAGGCTCACCTCCGCCTCCTCGCCGTCACGGGCGGCGCCGCCCGCCAAGCTTCCTCCTGGGAGTCGGAAGCAGCGGTGAGGGAAGCGATAAATTGAATTGGGCTGCATGGGAGTCTCAGAGGATCGAGCAATAAATAGATCTTGCAGAATGTAGCCATTCTAGCCCGCTGCTCGGTATTCATGTCTCGTTTCTCTCTCTAAACACCGGCAGCAGCATCGAAAGAGAGAGAGAGAGAGAGAGAGAGAGAGAGAGAGAGAGAGAGGCTTCTTCTTTCACGGAATTTCTTCGCTAGGGTGGCCGGCTCTACCGGCAGGCTGCCGGAGAAAGCGAAGGAGGGCGATGATAAAGAGAGAGAGAGATAGAGAGAGAAAGAGTGCGGGGTCTTACCTAGGGCCGTGGCGAAGAAGAGTAGGGCGACGGCGGCGATGGCGGAGAGGCGGCGATGCCGGCGGCCGCCGCGGGAGGTGGCCATGGAAGGCTACTGAGGGAGGGGAGGGGAGAGGTGGCCGACGGCGGGGAGGTCGTAGCGGTGAGGGCGAGCCCGAGTCCCGCGGTGGAGGTGCACCAGTACCCACTGTGAATACTATTATTGCAAAAGCTCCCTGGTCAAGTCAAACAAAACCCCGACTCTCCGGCACACGGACGCGGAGAAAGATTGAGAAGAGAGAGAAACAACCCATAGGGAGAGAGAGAGAGAGAGAGAGAGAGAGGAGAGAGAACAAGTATAGGCCCCAGGACCGAGCTTGGGGGGAGGGGTACGAACAGTTCTCTTTCGAGAATTTACGATAGTACCACTATACCCTCCGAGGTTGGAAAATCCGCGAAATGTTGACCGTTGGATTGGGAACTGACGGTCAGGTGGAAAGCACGACTGAAGGGGACACGTCAGGTGAGGGAGACCAGCTTTGCCCCCTCTGGAAAGCCGCCGAATGGGGGGGAGCATGGAGAGCACGACTGGCAGTTAAGTCCCGTCAGGGTCCACTCATCGGACGGCGGTGGATGGTCGAAATCATTACCCCGAGGTGATGATCGGCAGGATCGTGCGGACGGGATGCGACGCCGCCCACTCCGGCCGTTGAGCCTCGATCCGATCTCCACCGTTGGATCTTCCGTGATGTGATCGCCGTCACCGACCAGGGAGAAAAACCCACCGCCCCGCTGACCTCACGATTGGGAGACTGGACGTGATCGCCGACGGTGGTGATGATGATTCGTGGGAAGATCCTGTCCGTCCGATCGACCACGACATAGCATCCCCGAGGTAGCCCATCATCATCGGACGATTCCAGGGATCCACCCATGGGAAAGCTACTCCCTAGCACGTGCGCCCCAACGTGCGAGCGCCACCCAGCCATTATTGCCCTCTCTTTCTCTCTCCTCTCTCTCTCTTGACGTGTATCCACCTGACACTGACAAACAATTCAATGAGAAGGGACCCACGCGCGGCTGTCCCTAGTCAGAGCTCGCACGCTGGCAGGGGCCGTTCCGACCGGGCGGGTCCCACGTGCCCTCTCTGGTCGAACGGGATCGTCGGTGGTGGGGACCACCCGACAGCGGCACTGAAACACTATCGGTTTCTTTACCGGGTACGGATCCCAATGTGGAAACCCGCATGTCAGTTTCCGAACCCGCGAAAGTCGACCCAAGGGCCCCTCTCCCTCTCTCTCTCTCTGTTCTCTCTCTCTCTACCTCTAGCTCTATTCAGTCTCCCTCTCTATTTCTAGCTCAACGGTGTCGTTCCTCTTTCGGGGTGGCACAGAGAGAGAGAGAGAGGGAAATGTGGAGCTAGAAATGTGGGGGAGTTGCCAAGAAGGGAGGCAGCAGGGAGGGCCTTGCCGGTTCGGGGAATCCGGCGGCCGGCGGCGAGCCTGCGCCGGTCTCCGGCGAGTTATTCTTTTCAGGAGGCGTGTACGTAAAGAAGAGCGCATGTGCGCTCACGGGACGTCCCTCCCCTTGTCACTTCCCTCTCCTCTCCCCATAGCTCTCTCTCTCTCTCTCTCTATAACTCTATATATCTAGGTCCCTCTCTTCCTCTCTCTCTCTCTCGCTCTGAATAGCTCTATCCGTCTACGTAGCCCCCTCTTCTCCTCTCTCCCTCTCTCCCCCTCCCTCCCTCCCTCTCCATAGCTCTTCATGCATAGTTCCCTCCTCTCCCCTCTCTCCTTTTCTGCCCCTCTCTTGCCGTGCATGGCTGGCTGGCTGGCTGGCTCTACACACATAGCTCTCGACTCTCTCTCTCTCTCTCTCTTTGCCTCTCTCATCGGCGGCGGGTTCTCGGCCTCGACCCACGTCGCCGCCGCTCCTCGGCGCTGTCCCATTCTCGTTGACGGTGCTGCGTCTCGAGGGAGGATCTCTTTTCCGCGCCTTTTGCTATTCATGTTGACATCAATGTTACCTTCCGCACGAGTGGGGATCGCCCCCACGTGCGATGGATTACAAAAACCGGTTGGCGGCCCAGATGGGCTGGGTTATTTTGCCATTCGGCGGCCCATTGATCAACAAAACAAGTTTCAGAGGAGGGGGGTGGTAATGGGCTGGATAAATGGGCCGATTGATTGATCGAACCACGATTCGATCGAACTGGGCTGACCACCTTGATCCTGATGAATTGACTGTTTATCCAGGTCAAACGCGAAGTCGTAGATACTCTTAAGGGGTTTACCTTTTAGGGTTAAACCCGTATTTAGTATGATTTCTCAGATTTATTCGATAGAACCCACAACGTGGGCGTTGCCCACTTGACGTTGACCTATGGGCCTGTCGGTGGGGTCAATGTGAAAGGGAAAAATAACGTAGTATAAAAGTCTACGTTAAGACGGGCGGGGAGATCCCTGGGCCGATGCCGGCCCACGTGAGCTGGCCGATCACATCGCAGAGACTAACAACGATAAAATAATATATATATTTATAATATTGCATTATAAGAATAGTAATCAGAATAGAGATCGGGTGGGGTATTCACCACGTGTCAACCCGAGGGCCACCCTATCCGCTGCAACGTGCCAGTTGTCCTATTCGAACAATAGTGTCTAGTCTCACAGCGGCCGTACTTTAACGCATGAGCACCCGACAAAACCATATATTTGTGCGAAAATCATCAAGAAATTCCCAACTATTGATAACTCACTCCCCTCAATCAGGTCATAAATTATGTCTTCCTTTCAACAGGGGGTTTTTGCTTAAAATTCATCCCTCTCCTTGCACAAGGCGTTGGACCCATCTACTAGTCCTATCAACCATACAACAATGTTTTTCTTCAAGGAAGAAGACTTACTCCCTATTGAGTGAGAACCCATTGATTATCTTGAGTTATTTACTATATAATTTACATTGATAATTACTAAACCACAAGTTGACTTAAATACGTAGACGCATGATCACAGCACCCATTGACTAGTAAATAATGAAATTAGCTGATTAACTTTATCTATAAAAAAATCATTCTGAACTATCTTATCATATCTCTGGATTCATGATTATGAGGACTCACTCTCAAAAAACGTTCATAGATAACTCTCAATGCTTTTGATTTATTGATGACTTTAGTCCATATATGTAATGATCGGATAATGAGATTGAGTTATATATATCCATGGTCAAATGACAAGCCGTCATATAAACATACTTGTAAGTGTGTCAACTTGGGGCTACACAAGGCCACATTTCTAAGTATGTCCCAAGGAAGGAATATTTTTTGCAGACCGCACATTGAATTTTATTATTTGGGCCCACACTCTTGAATTCTCACGTCCCCCCTATGCATCAAAGAAAATGGAAGATGATGGCTAATAGACAAGACCTAGAGCATAGTGATAATTTGAACATAATCGGATATTCTTCAATGGCATTTCCATAGAGAGCAAACATTTATATATGTACACCATTTATATATTTCATAAGCTATATGGTTAGAAATTGATCATAATTAGATATTTAGCATGTTTGAATTTAAAAAAAGAATGATAAAAATATAAAAGTAAAAGCCATACAGCCATAAGTTCCATGACTGCAACTTATTCCTTCATCTCTGTCCTTCTCTTCGTAGAATGGCTTGATGAGAGACCTTTACGACCACTATTGCTGTTTGCCCTACTAGCTAGATGAGCAGGAAAATGTTATTTTAATAGAAAGCTGTCCACCCTTCATTGATGACCATTTATATATTGACGGAGATATCTATGAATTATGCACAGAACGGCCCTCTCTCTCTCTACACATGATCGCCCACTGATCAGCCATTCCACACTACTAATCCCAAACACTAGTCATTAACTTTGGCCCATAAACCCTAATTATTCTCTACTGCGCCGATTATCTAACTTCACTAATAGATGGAAGGGGAATCGGTTTAGAATATGAGAGGAATTATATGTATATATATATGGGAATTAAATGAGATCTAGCTGTTTGAGAGGAAAGCTTTGGGTCTGACTCGTGTTATTGCTAAAAGAGCATAGTCTAGGCCCAAATCTAGAATCCTTATACGTTTCAAACGTATGTTGCGGGCCCTGTGAACCCATAGCAGCCTTGGCAATATCCACCCTTATATGGCACAATAGACAGCATACATTACACCTCATCTACCATAGTCCAAGGATATAATAATAAGGGATGGAGCGCAATCATATATATATATATATATATATATACTTATCTCGAATTATTTTGCAATAAAAACATTGGAAAAGGAGGAGACAGGGCGGAAAAGTTGGCCCCACCGGCGGTGGGGTGGACCAGCCCATCCCCGCCCGCCTCAAGGATCTCCCCCCACCGGCTCGGCGGGCCGTACGAGAGTGGCCCCCCAAAAGTCCGACCGGGTGAAGGACAAAACCTCTCCCCACCCTTCTCTTGTCCTCTTCTCACCCATCCTAACAACGAAACAACAGTACAAACGCGTCTTCTTTTTTTAACGGAAATCGCCTCCACCGGTCAACGATGGTAGCCTGCAAAATTCAAATTTTTTTTCTGTAAAATTCACGACATCTAAATACTATGAAATTGCTTGATCATTTCATCCAGTTATCACCTACTACATTAAATTATTATATATATATATGATATTCCTCTTTGTTGGTAATTAGAAATAATGCACCAAGAATCACGTGTTCAATGTCCTTGGCCTCCTTTTCTGAAGAAATCATTGATTCATGGCTAATAATCTTAACAAACTATTTATTATTATTATTATTATTATTATTATTATTATTAAAAAGGTACACTTGATGAATGCTTTGAGCTGGAGAATGACCCCAAGGAGTGCTAAATATTAAACATTTGTTAGCCTACATGAAATATTTATCATAGCAAAAAAGATTATTTTGAATTTTTGTTGATAATAATAAAAATGAGCAATATTAATTTTCTACTTAGTACAGAACTGAAAGAAAATAAATGATCACATGAATTGAATTATTTATTCTTTTTTTTAAAAATATATTCCTATATCGTGTGATACGGGCTACTGAAGAGCCCCCTTTCTACGCGATGATGGCGAGTCTCGTGGGGCAATACTACGGGCCGAGATGGTAATATCGGTACTATAAACTTTTCAAGGGGTAAATGCGAAAATGACAGGAATCAGGGAAGCGAAAGCGAAACGAGAGCGGGGTAGTGGCCCCCCTGGTGGACCATCTCTCAACGCGCCACGTGTCGAACGTGGAGAGAAGGAACGTGGGGCCTCCCGCCGCTTCCTCCCCCAAGTACCCGGCGTCAAGTGCTGACGTTATCAAAGCATTTCCTCTTTTCTGTATCCTTCGTCATCCTCTTCGCCGGTCCTGAGGGATGTATGATAGAATAAATTTTAAGTAGGGTTAGAAAAATAATTCATTAAGTAGGGAGGGCTTGGGGCGGTGGCAGGGATGTTATTTTATTCCCATGTGGGGATGGGAGCCTTTAATAGCCGGCGACAGGACTGACGTGGCAAAATGGGGTGCTGCATCCATCCGGATAAAATAAAATAAAAGGGGGAAATAACTGACGCCCAACTCCCCCACGATCTCGACCCTCCGCCCTCCCCCCTCCCCCCTCCCCCCCTCTCTCTCTCTATCTCTATCTCCATATCTATCTCTCTCTCTCTCTCTCTCTCTCTACATTCTCTCTGTGTATCTCTCTCCTCTCGATTTCACCAATAATTCTCCAGAAAAGGGGAGGTTGAGGGGAAATATATAAAAAGGGCGGGATTAGAGGCGGGGGTGGGGGGACACTCCCCACAGTCATTCTGACAGAGAGAGATAGGGACGGACAGATAGAGAGAGAGAGAGGGTGCAGAAGAGGGCGGAGGAGCGGCAGGGGAGGGGGAGGAGCGGGGATTATCTCGCCGATCGGGAACTGGTGGTGACGCCGCTGCGATCCGGCGGGAGGTTCGCCGGAGACGGTAGGTGCCCCGGCGGTGGAGCGGCGGAGGAGATGGCTGGGAGCGAGGCGGCGCCGCCGGAGGAGGCCGGAAGGGCGGGAGAGGAGGTGAGACCGGGGGCAGGGGCTGCGGCGGTGAAGTCGCCGCTGGAGAAGCCGCTGTCGGAGCTCACGGAGGAGGACATCGCTCAGGTCACGCGCGAGGATTGCCGCCGGTTCCTCAAGGAAAAAGGTGCTCTGGTCCTTTTCCTTTGGTTTTTCTTCTCGTTTCTCGTCCTCGCCTTTGGAGGTCGCGGTGGAGCTGATCTCGATATCCACGTGGCCGGCGGCGGCGGCGGCTCCTGGTTTCTCTGTGCAAACGAATGCAGGCATGCGCCGCCCTTCGTGGAACAAGTCTCAGGCCGTCCAGCAGGTCATATCCCTCAAGGCGCTCCTGGAGCCCTACCACGATGCCGACGACGACGCGCCTTCCGCCGGTGCCGTTCCCTCCATCTCCACTTTCTTCGCGAAAAGGCCATCCGACGCCCTGCTTCCGGCGGCCGCGGCGCAGGTGAGGAGGGGTATCCTATTCCAAACTTCCGTCGCCTTCTCTTCTACCTCGAGCTGGCAACACTTTGTGAAATCGTTCCTTCTCGGCTTAGTTGGAGAAACACGGGTGGTTTATTGTGTTTTTGTTTACTTCTCAGTTTCCCGTCTCTTCTCCAATGAGGGGTGAACCTGCCGGCGGCGCGGCCCAGATTGCCTGCGAACGTCCCCAAGGAAGGGACCCACCGGCGAACCTCTTCGCCTGCTCCGACGCCCTCTGTCGATTCCCGGCAACGGGGAACGGTGCTCGCCTGCCAAGCAGCGCCACCCTCCCGCCCAGGTGCGTCCCTTCTCAGCATAACCCCCTCTGTATTCAACTCTTGCATTTCCCCGGATTGTTCCTCAGATGTTAACGGACGCGCATGGTGTTGTAGAGGGGTTGCTTCAGCTGAGGCGCTGGAGGGACAGCTGACGATCTTCTACGATGGCAAGATTAACGTCTATGATGCCGTGACGCCGGAGAAGGTGAGGTCCGGTCGGAGTAAGTTGGTGGTGACCCCTTCCTGTGAAGATCTAGGCTCTCATGACAGTATATTTTACGTACTTGCAGGCGCGGGTGATCGTACAAATTGCGGGGAGCCCGAGCTGCTACGATATGCCGCCGATGCCTTCGCCGTCTTTCTACCCAAATCGACCGCCTAAATGCCACGATCTGGCTCTGCCAGCGATATCTCAAGCGACAGGTGGTGGTTACTTCAATCCGCCACCGCCTCCGCCGCCTTTGCAGGCAGCGGCGTCTCATTCTGCCCAGCCTGTTGGCTATCCCCAGGTTCCCCAGAACTCTGGTGCGTTTTTTTTCTGTCATGACTTTCCTATGAGTTCGGAGCTCTAATTACGAAGCTCCCCCGATTCACAATGGCACTCGCATATGCTTGGTCACGTTTACGATAATGCCCTACGGTAGCCCTCCTGCTCACTTGGAGGTCTAATGCCCTGGCAGGAAGGTTCCCGCAGCAATTTCGGGAAGGCATGGAAGAGTGGAGAGTCCCGCGAGAAGTTGAACCTGGTGAGAGGCCTAGGACCTTTTTCCTACCGTACCAGTAGTTATTCTCTTTTCTCCTTGCTTAACTGGCTTATGCAACCGGATCAAACAGGTAGAATATTCTGGGTGAATGAGATTACGTCTATTTGTCAGTCCCTTACCGTGCTACTTTTAAGGTTGTCCTACTGTTTCATTCAACTAGAGTGACCTCACTCTCCTGAATTTCTTGACCTACCACTCTTTGCTGCTACATGCTATACATACAGTTGCCTCAAAGGCTTTCTCATTCCCACGGGGGAAGAGAGAACTTTGATAGCAAATTGTTAATTTATGTTCTTTTTAATGACATTTTGGACGTTGCGTGCAAGATACCTTTTCTTTCCCTTTTAAGAGCTGTGTTGCTTGCTTCAATTAACCCGGGATTCAGGTTCTGTTCCTTGCTTAGTTAGCCTCTCAATTTTTTTGTCCTCCCCAATTGGCGATGCTTATGAACGATTGTCCTAAACCTCTTTGGCATCCATGGCTGGGATTTTGCGGTTGAGATTAATCTTAGCGCTTCTTCTCAAATGATTACGGCTGCTGTGTTTTTTCCCCAAGTTCTAGTTGATTTACCCATTTTTGGTGAAAGGATGATTGGTACAGTATACTACTTTTTCAGTTTTGAATTGGAAGCTTCTAGAATCGTTACTGATACTAGTTTTTTTCTATAAGCCCTAGAAATTGATAGTAATTAAAGTAACGTTTCGGTGGTTCCATACATCACATTAATGTCCTAGACGTCTGTGATCTTATGCTATTCCAAATTTAAAACCCTTCTGAATCAGACTGACATTAGTATGAGGAAAAGGTTCTTTCATGCTAAGGCCCCTACTGTTCTATTCAAGAAGCACCTTTTCTTGATCATGCGGATGATCTATTAAGAGAGTAAAAATGTAATATAAATTTGTTAAGGAAAACACGGCCATGCCACTTGATGAATGAAGAATTTCGGAATGAAAATGAAGTACAGTACATCTTCTCACGAGGAGGGAAAATGCTCACCCACTGCTCTTGCGCCAGCAGATATTAAATTCTCGAAAATTTAAGGCCCCTAAGAATACTTGTCATAGGCTGATTTATTTCAAAGTTTTTTTGCATGGGAAGGTCTACTGGTGGTTCCTTTGGATGCATCTTGATGAATTATAAATAATTCATGTCTAGGAAACACATATACTACGGAAGAGGATCTACAGGTTTGTTGTTTGGAATGCCTTAAATGACTCTATGTAGAGATATGAAGTACTCACAGCTCATACTCTAGACGGCGCTGAATGTTTGGGTTATTGTTCTTCAGTACGTGGAAATACTTATTTTTATGTCTTAATTAGGTTGGGAACATCTGGCGACACCATATTATATTGAGGTGATATGGTATTCTGAGGATTATTTTGTGAATTATTGGATTAAACTATCTATTATATCACTCACGAAAGTGGTTACAATACCTAGTGAATCAGAGATACTGTCATAATAGGTGACTATGATTGCATGATATTTAGCTTATGTCTGCTCAAATAAATGAGCAATAATGAGATACTCCTCTTCCTAGTGCATAGTCTAGAGTCTCACCTACCATTTCAATCCTCCAGTCCCATTTTTCAAAGACACATTATATATATATAGACGGAGTGCAAAGATGTATGCGAATGTGGTGGCATGTCTTCGAATGTGTCCTCTGATTATTTGAGTGTCCCTCTGAAATTTCCATTCATGAATAGAAATGTTGCCATCCTGTTGCTACTCTTGTCATCATTCTTTCACTGAACTGCTGCTACTCTACGATCTTTCACTGAACTGTGGCATAAGTTTGATGGGTCATCATTCTATACTATTATTCTCTCTTCTTCCCGAATTGACTGGCATATTTATATGATTCTCCCACATTTTTGGGGGGCGGGGAGCAGGCAAAGCGGGCTTACGGGCCGGTGCCCCTCAAGAGGCCCGGGCCCGGTGGCTGTTGCTGCCGGCCATTATAGAAAATCTTCCCCAGTACTACCGCGCCTGCTCCTGGCTTCTACTAATTAATTGCTCTTCTTGTGCCAATGTCGTCTTTCTCCCCGCAATCAGAGGGCCCCACCAGCAGAGCCGCATCGCTACAACGCTACCTGGAGAAACGGAAGGACAGGTAAAAATGGTGGGCGTGGGGGGGTTGACCGGCTGGTTGACCACCGCCGCGCGCTTGGCTGACTTCTCCCTCTTTCCCTGTCGGAAGGTTCAAGTGCAAGAAGCACGCCGGCGGGGGTTCTTCCGGCGTAGAGCTCCTCCTGAGCCAGCGGATCAGGGACCAGATTCCGGCCGCCCACCTCTCATGCGGAGAGATGTACGCCGCGGCGGCGCCGGCCCCGCGGCCCCCTCCGCCGCCGGCCCGCTGCAGCGCCGCCGGCCACCTCCGCTTCTCCATCGACCTCAACGACGGCGGTGAGCCCTCTCTCAGTCTCTGTCTGTCTGTCTCTGCTTTTACCTCTCTCTTACCTCTTTTACTTCGTCGCCTCTGCTTTCGAAGAGAATATCCATTCCACCGCCTGCGTTTCAGATGTCCGAGAAGCTTGATCCGCCAGCCTTCCCTTCCCTTCCCTCAGAGTTCGCCGGGCGGCGCAATGTAAGTTGCCCCCTCCGGCATCTCCATCCCCCTTGCGGCGGCGGCCCCGTTGACCGCGGAGGGGTGGGGCCGGGGGAGACGATTTCGTTTGTCTGCTTGCTTGTTTATTTGTCCACGTGTATCGGCAGGTTGACCCTGTCCGGTTGGGGAGGGGGGAAGTCACGGGATCGCCAAAGAGCCTGCCGCCCCTGTGTCGCAGGCCAGGTCAGTACTCCCTCCCGACCCACCACCACCACTCGTAGCAGTCAGTAGCAGCCGCCTCCACAGGGTATTTATTATTTATTTTCCGTCGGGAGAGAGAGAGAGAGAGAAGGGGGGGGGGGGGCGCGAGATATATATTTATAAATTAACATATATTGTGTCGCAAGCCGTCCTCCCTCCTGTTTATTTGGGTCTCCCCCGTGGGGGCAACAGCGGCTTCGCTGGCTCAATTAATTGTTTATCCTACCCTCCTCCGGGTCCCACCGTCATCACTACTCCATTCTCTCTCCCACCACGATGTGGTCCTCAGCCCCCGGTGGTGGCCCTGAGGACCAAAATCTGCTAGGCTGGAGCCGCGATTCCTGGTGGGCCCACTTGGGATAGATAAGTTCTCTACTAGCCTCTCTTGTTTTATTACACCAGGTTAGAATGGCACAGAGAGAGAGAGAGAGAGAGAGAGAGAGAGAGAGACAGACAGAGAGAGAGAGACAGAGACAGTCGTGGCTGTGAAGCTCATAGCATGTGTCTCGGCCCGCAGTAAGTAGCATAGGTGCGGGATGTGTGGAGGTGGTGGGGTTCACGTGTGGACATGCACAACTTGGGTTGGGTGGTCCTGCCAAGTAAGAGTGAGTTTCACATGACCGGGTTGTGAACCTCGGTCCTTCTAGAGCAACACACGTGGCAGGGCACTCCATGCACGACGCTCTGTGCTAGGGATAGGCAGCTGCTGGAGACTATTAGGAGCACCAAATGACCTGAGACCGAATGTGAACCGTCGGAAGATGAAGTGCTTAGCAGTGTTCTTCTTCATCCTCTTTATTTAATGGGAAGGTGGGCCGACATCCTCACGTCAGCTTGCTGGGCCCAATAAGCAGAGGTGGGCCAGGTAACCTCACCTACCGCAAATTAATCAGAGCTCAGTTGTCTGGATCAAGCAAGCTGCTAAATCCACTCAAGGGGCATTTTTTTATCTGCTGCTAGATGTGAGGGGACATCCGCTCATCTCGTCACTAAATTAGTCAGGATCTTGCCACAAGTGGACCAAGGTGGTGTTGACTGGATTTCCAAGTTTATTGAGAAGATTCCTGAAAAAAACCTGGTGTTGATTAATAATAAATAAAATTACTATATAAATGAAGGGAAATGATGGGCTGCAAGTGGATCAAGGTGGTGTTTGAGATTGTTTCCAAGTTTAGCGAGAATATTCTTGAAAAAAAAAAGAAAAGGATTAACAGGTACTACGTTGGTTGTGAATGGGCTTATAAATTTTTAAAACTAATATGACAACTCTTTGGCCCATTGGCACGAGAAGATCTTTGTAGGCCCAGTACACTAAGTAAAATAAAATAAATAAATAAATAAAACATGGTTGTCCCATTTTATAGGATATTCTTGGAGTTTCTCATCAGTGAGCTACGGGCGTTCCCAACTATGTGCATGAGGTCGCCAGACCCCAAACATGGTCTCTTTAGATACGTGGACAGAGAGTTGTGAGGTTATTTACTGACTTGATACTGACGGTGGGGCCTTTCTTTCAAAACTATGAAAGATAGGACACCTCTTCTTTCAGAATTGTGGGGGCATAAATTAGCTTCAAACTATTCCTTCGTGCAAACCCCAGTTGAGGCATGGAGTTGAGCTCCTCTTCGAGCCAAAAAAATAGGAAAAATAGTAGAAAAGATGCTAAGTTATATAAGCTAGGAATCAATTACCATCCTCAAGCCAAATAAACTAAGCAGCAGCTTCCATGCATAAAGTGCAGAGAGAAATATAGCTAAAAATCAGGTCTACCATCGTCAACAGTCACCAGTTGGTGGGAGTGAAGGGACATGGGAGGTTGGGAGGGAGGAGACAAAGAAGAGAGAGAGAGAGAGAGAGAGAGAGAGAGGATCAACAGGGTTGTACATGCATTAGCATAGCACGGCCAATCAAAGTGCAAGAGATCTCAATTGCAGCCAAAATTATGATCCATCAAGAAATAAATAAACCCAAATGCGTGTGTGCTCACACACTGGTTTCTGGTTTCTAAAGCTTCCACAGCATTCCGAATATGAACCGTCACATGATGAACACCACAAAAGCGACACATCTTTATCTTTTAGAATAAATTCTCAAGCTTGACTTTTCAGCAAAGATCCACACACCTTCGCTAGATTTCGCCATTAGAACTTGAAGCAGCCATGCCATACAAGATGACATCAAGAATCTTAAGCATCTCCAAGATTTCACTTTTGATTCCCATGTAGGAGGAAGTTAATGAAACTGGTGTTCCCATGGTGCATCATGCCACAAATCAACCAAATTTTTGCCTAGTTTCTGTTGCATTTAAAGGATAGTTGGGAAAATGATCAGTGAAGGTGCGATTAAGAGTAGAGAGAGTGAAAAGGAAACAACCAAGAGGGCAATGTGTATTCCAGAACCCAATATCAACATGCAGGAAACAAGCAATCACCCCTGCGTGAAGCAGAGCGAATCCTTTAAGATGGTCACAGGAGAAAAGAAAAAAGAAACTGCTACTAATTCATTACGAAAGTAACCACGTCAAGGAGGCTTGTGAATTTCATTGTTCCCCTTTCCACCAAAATTTGATCAACAAGGGAGAAAAAAAGTAGGGCAACATGGGTGAGTTAGACGGCAGCTAAACTCAGTCCAATCCAGGGGAAGCAAAGAATGGGATCTCCATATGATCAATAATGTCTGACATGGACCAACCGTTGTTCTCTTTGGAAGGTTATACATTCTGGGCAAAGAGGGGAAGCATAAACATGGTGAAATGGGCAGTCCCTAAAGAGCAGCAACATACGACTATTCATCAATATTTTCAGTTTAGTAATAAGAAAGATTTTCTGCTCAAAAAGAGTACATTTAAAAGATGCAAAATTTAGGGCGAACAGAAGAAAGCGCTTCCGAGTCAGTCCCAAGGCTGACGATAAAACCTACAACCAGAAGAATCACAGCAACGGAAGTTTCACTACTTGAGCCGGCTGAGCCGCTGCAGATGGAAATTGATGCTCCCCCATGGCTTTTTGGGTTTCGTTTTCTGCACGAGAAAGGACGAAGATGAGTATAATGCGATGCACCGTCACAAGAAGAGCAGAAGTGATGTCAATCGAAATCGTTTAAGTTTCACTAGCACGAGGCACAGCTCAAGCACGAATTTCCTGGAGAGATGTGAGAGAATTCCTCACCAGTTCATCGACGCAGGAATTTAAGATCTCCACTTGCTTCAAGCACTTCTCGTCATTGTTCTTATTGAGGGCCAAGCAATTCAGGAACGCAGTCATCTCCTTCATACAGGCCTTCTGTTGGGTGCCGCCACCGAATTTCTTAGGGTTTATGTACAAGCTCCCAGACTTCCGACCCATCCTTTCAAACTGAACCAGTTAAAAGACGCCACGTCAATCGAAGGCAGCGCAGATCGTCTGATTTTACTTGACCCTAGGAAATGCACGAAGAATCCCCACTAGAACAACACGAATCGACTCACAGTTGGTCGCGGTACGCCTATTTCTAAAAAAAGGGAACATAAAAAGAGGAAAATCGAACGATCCCTCCCCGAGGAATGGGAGAGGAAGAGATCAGATGAGCGAGAAAAACGAACGGAATGGGAAAATAAGAGGAGACGAAGACGAGGGAGAGAAGCCAGAAAACGGCGGCAACCCACCCGCGACGACGGAGCAGTGCGCTGCCGAGGAAAATGCCGCCAACGAGTCCTTCCGCCAGCCCTCGCTCCGGTTGGGGAACGCTGTGAGACAATGGGCCTTGGGCTGCTCCCCCTGAAGGAATCTGGGTTACCAGACCGTGAGATTTTTAAAGGGTGCTATGACGTCATAGAAAACCCCATATTTATCTCTTCAAAAATTATTGGATTATTGATAAGTCTTCATTATCATAAGTTAATAATTAGTAAATAATATAGTTTTAGCCTTAACTCATAATAAATAGACTTATATGATTTTTATAATTTTATTTTTGAGATAAATAAAGAAAAATAAATAAAAATAAAAATATAGTAAAACGGGGGGACTCACTGGCTAGCCGGGCTCGTAAGCAGGTCAGAAGAATGGTCAAGAGGAGCCACGAGCAAAGGCTCATAGTGGCTAGGATAGATGAGGGCATAAATAGATCTAGTATAAACTAGAAAATAAAATATATTTAAAATTCACAAAAAAGAGAAATAAGGGTGCGGACGTCAAGATGACGTTAGCGCCCGACGAACGCAAATCGGGAGGAAACAAAGTTTCGCCCGACAATTCTTACGTAAGTGATTATAGATGATTTAATTGATCAAATTAAGATCTGTAAAAGCCAGAAGAATCGTGATTAAGTGAAGTATAACTTGGTAAATTTAAATCACATAAATTGTTATTAAATGAAGCAGAAATTAAGTTGAAAGCAGAAAAAAAGAGTTTTGGTGTCACAGTAGTGATGCTTCGGCGACACATCAGAATCCTGAGCATTCGAGAGGATCGTCGTGCAATGTCTACAGCCTCGAAGGCTCTCCTTGGACAAAGACAACGTGGACAATCTCTAGATCTCTTTATGAAGTCTAGAGATCAATGAAATGGGTCGTCGAATCGTCTCTAGCAGCTGTCACTAGGCAAAGTGGAAAAATAGCAATTTTGCAACTCTCCGACGGCTGTCACCTGACAAAGAAGAGTTGGATAGAGGTGGGGCGTGTGTCAGAGAGCTTTATCTTCAAGTTCATACAACAAGAGGAGGCTCTTCATCGTATCTAGTACGCTCTCAGGAGGTGGCGACTCGTTTCTCGACGGATCGTTCTCTTCTTGATAACGGCTTGCTTGTCGATCAATTAAAGATGATTTTGCTCGATGGATTCACAATCCTTTTGTCATGAATCGTTTAACAATTTTAATAACAATACTCCACAAATCGTGTTGATGAGATTTTCGCCAATGATCCAGCGATTTTGGCGGCTTAATCCTTCACTAACGATTTGCAGGAAAGTCGCGATAATCAGATAAAAGTAGGAATTTTGGCTCTAGGAGGATTTGAACCTGCGCCAGTTGTCTGATTGATAATGCCCTTATCAAGTGACGTCATCATGATATATTTCTGTTATAACGAAGGGGTAGTTTAAGTATTGAAATCTTCGAACCCTTTCGGGGGAAGGTGTGACGCGGGTTTAGTCCCACATCATTTATGCAATGACATTTTGGGCGAATATATAGTAATACCACATTTGGAAGTAATGAGTCCCTTTCTCCTGTGTGTACAACCGCTTCTTGCCCCACAGTCGGCTGGCCACCAGTGACGTGGAAGGGGAGTGGTGCACATGTGCACCCATCTATCCTAGCCACTCGAGCCTCTACTCGTGGCTCCCCTTGACTGCACTTTCGACCTACTTGTGAGCTCGGCTGGCCAACGAGTCCCCCCGTTTGGCTATATTTTTATTTTAATTTCTTTTTCTTCATTTATCTCAAAAATAAGACTATAAAAATCATATAAATTTATAAAGAAACACATAGTTAGCCAAAAATCTACATTAATCAATTGAAAACCACTTTTCACAATTTAACACAAATATAAGTCTATTTATCATGAGTTAAGACTAAAACTATATTATTAACTAATTATTAACTCATGATAATGAAAACTTATCAATAATCCAACAATTTCAAAAATGTAAAACATGGACTACAAAAATTAGAATACTTAAAAAAGGTCAAAAATCAGAAATTTCAAATATTGTGCATGAATAATCAAATTGTTAGTAACTTACTTTTTTTTTAAAGTTGAATTTATTTTTTAAATTGACTAAATTTTTCGTGTCTTAATTGATTGTCAACCTATTTAAAAGTCACCTTGTTGTAATTACAAAATCCTCTTGATTAGTATTTTTTTTCTATCTCTTTTATTATTATTGACGAGAAAGGTTAAACCTTAAGATTAGATTTACTTTAAATGAAGACATAAATATGTTTATATAAGTGAGAGAAGAGAGAGAGATAATGAGCCTATGTAGGTCATATAAAGGAAGATGTCTAAATACTCCCCCTCAAGTTAGAACATATAAGTTAAATATGCCCATATTAATATATATAACATTATAAGACACTCCTATAAGGCTCTTGACGAAGATATCTACTAGTTGGTTGAATGAAGTGGTATGTGGTGTGGAGATAACCTCTGTTAGAACCTTGTCCTATATGTAGTGACAATCAATCTCAATATACTTGGTTTATTCGTGGAATGTGAGATTCTTATCAATAAAGATTGCTACTTGATTGTCACAGTACATAAGTATAGGTGTCTGAGGAGTGACACCTAAGCTCTCTAGAAGAAAGTGAAGTCATATTATCTCAAATGTTGTCTCAATCATAGCACGATATTCGGCTTCTATACTAGAACAAGATATTATCTTTTACTTTCAAGAGCGTTAAATGACTAAATTGCCACCAACATACGTGTAGTAGTTAGTCGTCGACTTTTGATCTCCTTTGTCACTAGCATACCTAACATATGAGTGGGCTTCAACAAGTAGGTGGCCATGACATCTGCTCATCCAAGTCACTATAGAAGAAGACATCAAACACGTCTAATTGGTGAAGTGATCAGTCATGATGCACTGCCAAGGAAAAAAGAACTCAAATAGAGTTCATCCAAACTACATGGGAAAATGTCTTCATGTAATTAATGCCATAGGTTTGAGTGAAGCTATGGGCAACCAAATGAGTTTTGTGGTGAAAGATGGAGCCATTTGGTTTGTACTTTAGTGTGAAGACCCACTTGCATGCCACAATATTAACATCGATTGAATGAGAGATAATTTTCCACGTGTCTTGAGAAACCAATGATAGAATCTCTAAATTCATAATTACTTTTCAAGTAAAGGCTTAAAATGCCTCAACATGTGATTGTGAAATCGACTTAGAGGCCATGGAGAAAGCAAAGACACAAAAGGTGAAATAAAGGCGATCAGAAGAGATAAAGTGGAATATAGGATGTTGGATAGTGCAAGAGTATGTACCTTTGTGCAACTCAATGGGAAGATGAAAATTATCCATAGGTGGTGCATGAGGGTTAGCTAGTGGAGTAGTAATGTTAGATGAGGTGGGTGAGGATGGAGTTACACTCAAAACGGAGGCATCGGTAGAGGACGCGGGCGGTAGAGGTGCTGACGAAGAAGGGAGAGATAAAGAAATAATAGAAGAAAGATATGTGAGAATGACAAAAGATAGAAACCCATGGGGTGGAGATGTACATGGACGAAAAGATGAAGGAGATGAAGTAAAACAGAGAAATTCTCATAAAAAGAAACATCGGAGGTCACATAGTGACGGGTGTAAAAAAAGTATGCTTGATAACCTTTTGGATGAACGAGTGACCCATAAAGACACCTTTCAAAGCATAAGAAGTGAGTTTAAAAAGAGATGACGAATGATCATGAATGAAAACGATACAACTAAAAACTAGAGGAGGTAAAAAAAAAGTGAAGCGCTGGGTGTGAGATGTTGAAAGAGAATGACACCATTTAATAGAGTGGAAGGAATACAATTTTGAAGATAATGATGGTTAGGAGTGAGTCATATCACAAGTAATGTGAAACATGTATCTCAATGAGTAGTGTGTGAGTGATGTCAAATAAGTGGGTGTTTACGTTTGGCAACTCTATTATGTTGGAAAGTATATCAATAAATGATCTAAAAAATAATATCATGATTAGTACAAAAGGTTTGAATGACATCTTGAACAAGTTTATATGCAATATATGTGCAAAGAACCTTAAGTGTGGTAGAATATTAAGTAACAATTTCAATGATAAATTATGTAATAATAGAAAGAACTTGAGACCGATCACGAAAAAGACAAATCTAGCTTACACAAGTGTAATCATAAACAAAAATGATATAATAGAAATGTCTAATGATGGAGGCAACTCAAGAGGGTCCTTAAATATTGTAATGAACACATATCAAATAGAGTCGATGATGGAATACTCGCATGACTAGAATAAAAAGAATAATGATGTTTGTCTAGTTGACATGACTCGTACACAAAGTCATTAAGAAATAATCATGATACGATTTTTTGAAATTTTAAAAAATAAAAATAACGTAAACGACAATGCCACAAAAGAAAAGAAGATACATCCAAGACAAATTCATAAAATCCTGACCGTTTTCATGTCCCAAACTAATCCTCTAATTAGTATCTAGATCCTAGAAGACAAGTGGAAGGAAAAAAATACAACAGTGTAAAATAAGGCATGAGTGATGACACTGATAGATAAAATATTTGTAGGAAAATGGAAAATGTAGAGGACTTAGGTCAATGGTAAGATAGAGGTTATAGTGATGGTGTCATAATCTTTGACTGAACAAGTCCGAACAATCAACAATGGTCACCGAAGGGTGGGTCATGGTGTGATAACGTAAGAAAAGTATAGAGAGTGTACCAGTCTTATAGGTAGAAGCCCTCGAGTCAAGAATCTAAGATGATGAGGAGGTAAGTAAAAATATACTTAACATGAAGGAACCCGACGTAGATGCAAAGTTGACAGAGAAAGGCGTATAAGGAGTGATTGTAGACTACTTTCAAATTTCATATTCTGCCGATGTGAAAGTCATTTGAAATAGCAGGAAGAGATGTTGCGGAGTGAACTATGGATAAGGTCGATGTAAGAGAATCCAAATGAGTACTAAAGATAATAGCTTGAGCCCACTCAGGCTTGTCAAACTCCTTCTAACACTTGTTTGACAGGTGGTTTGACTCACCACAATTAAGGGACGATAGAAAGGTATTGCAACATTTGCTATTGGGAGGACGACCATTGTTAGGCTTTAGGCTACGACCATCATCTCAACTACGAGGAATAGATGTACCTAGAGCCAATGAGGTCGACATGGCAACTAATTGAGTCATGTTTGATTGAGTGGTAATAGTGCATGTGCTCATACAAAGTGCTACAATTTTTTTTGATAGAAAGTCTGACATATGATCACTTGAGAATTTGATCACGGATATACAAGATAATATCTAAATGTAAACCACTGCGATATATACTAATGTAGAATTCTTGGAGATACTAAACGATTCAATGGTCAATAGTTAGAAGTTGGTAAAGAGACAACCTTTAGATTATTGCCTAAAGTCATTCAAAGCATGCATAGTGTGAGAGATCACCTTACTTACATGTGAAAAGTGATGTGACTTAGTCGTTATATAATAAATCACGTAAATTTAAAATTTATAAAACTAGAAAATACTAATTTTTAGATATTTAGAAGTATTTATAAATAAATAAATTCTAATTCAATAAAATTTTTAAAAATAGTAAAAAATTATAAGTTGATCATAGAGATGTAATATAATATCTAATAATATTTCAATTTTTTAAAAATAATACGATTTTTTATGAATTTTAGACTAAACAATGAAAATAAAATATATTTAAAATTCACGAAAAAAGAAAATAAGGGGTGCGGATGTCATGATGAAGTTAGCACCTAACAAACGTGAACTGGGCGGAAATAGAGTTCCACTCGGTGATTTTTACATAAGCGATTACAAATGATTTAATTGGTCAAATTAAAAGCTATAAAAGTTAGAATAATCATAATTGAATGAAGATTAGTTTGGAAATCTTAAATCACACAAATTATTTCTAAATAAAGTAAAAATTAAGTTTAAAGTTAGATAAAAGAGTTCTAACATTACAATAGTGTGTCGAAAATGCAACGAAATCTTGAGTGTTAGAGAGGAATGTCATGTAATGTCTACGGCCTTAAAGGTTTTCCTTGAATAAGGACGATGTGGACAATCTTTAGCTCTTCTTGCGAAGTTTAAAGATCAATGAAATGGGTTGTTGAATCATCTTCGGTAATTGTCACTCGGTGGAGCGGAAAAACGATGACTTTGTGGCTCTCTAACGACTGTCACTCGATAGAGAGGAGCTGGATGGAGGTGGGGCGCATGTCAGGAGACTTCATCCTTAAGTTTGTGCAACAAGAGGAGGCTCTTCATTGCATTCAGTATGTTCTCAAGAGGTGGTGACTCGTCTCTTAGAGGATTGTATTCTTCTCAACAATAGCTTGTCCGTCGATCAATCCGAAATGATTTACTTGATGAATTCGTGATCTTTTTATTGCGAATCATGTAGACGAGATTTTTGCTGATTATCTAGTGATTATGGTGACTTAATCCTTCACCAGAGATATGTAGGAAGGTCACGATTTAATCAGATAAAAATATGAGATTTGGCTCTAGTAGAATTTAAACCCTTGTCGGTCGTCTGCACACATGAGAGAGAGTGAAATAAGTACTATTGATGTGACTTAGTCGTTGTATATTAAATCACGTAAATATAAAATTTATAAAACTAGAAAATATGATATTTAAAAATATTTTTGAACAAATATATCAATTATAATTCAATAAAAGTTCCAAAAATAGTGGTAATTTTCCAGGTCGATCACAGGGATGTAATATAATATCTGGTAATTATTCAGAATTTTCCTCAGAGACTACTATTTTACATGAATTTTATACTAAGAAATGAAAAAAGAAATATATTTAAAATTCACGAAAAAAAAGAAATAAGGGTGCGGACGTCAGGATGACGTCAGCGCCCGGCGAATGCGAATCGGGTGAAAACAAAGTTCTGTCTGACGATTCTTACGTAAATGATTACAGACGATTTAATTAATCAAATTAAGATCTGTAAAAGCCAGAAGAATCGTAATAAAACAAAATATATTTTGGTAAATTAAAATCACAAAAACTATGATTAAATGAAGCGTAAAGTAAGTTGAAAGCAGGAAAACAGAGTTCCGGCGTCGCAATGGCGATGCGTCAACGATGCACCAGAATCTTGAGCGTTCGGGAGGATCGTCGTGCAATGTCTACGGCCTCGAAGGCTCTCCTTGGACAAAGATGACGTGGGCAATCTCTAGATCTTCTCGCGAAGTCTAGAGATTAATGAAATGGGTCGTCGAGTCGTCTCCGGCGGCTGTCACATGGTGGAGCGGAAAAACGGCGACTTTGCAGCTCTTCGGCGACTGTCACCCGACGGAAAGGAGCTAGATGGAGGTGGGGCGCGTGTCAGGGAGCTTCATCCTCAGGTCCACGCAGCAAGAGGAGGCTCTTTATCGCATCTGATACGCTCTCAGGAGGTGGCGACTCGTCTCTCGGCGGATCGTCCTCTTCCCTACGACGGCTTGTTCGTCGATCAATCAGAGATCATTTACTCGATGGATTCGCGATCCTTTTATTGTGAATCCTTCAGCAATTTTAGTAGCAATGCTCCGCGAATTGCGTTGACGAGATTTTCGCCAATGATCCAGTGATTCTCGTTGCTTAATCCTTCACCGGCGATCTGCAGGAAAGTCACGATAATCAGATAAAACTATATGACTTTTGACTCTAGAAGGACTCGAACCCGCGCCAGTCGCCCGCCTCTTCTAAGGAAGGTGTGATGCGGGTTTAGTCCCACATCGGTTGTGCGCCGATTTTTCGGGCGAATATATAGTAATGTTAGCTTTTTAAGCAAAGTCCCTTCTCTCGCGTGTTCGACCACTCCTTGTCCCACAGCCGGCTGACCACTGGTGATGTGGAAGGGGAGTGGCACACATGTGCCCCTATCGGTCCAAGCCGCTCGAGCCCCTACTTGCGGCTACTCCCTGACTGAGCTTCCGACCCACTTACGGGCCCGGCTGGCCGGCGGGTCCCCCCATTTTACAATATTTTAGTTTTATTTCTTTTTCTTCATTTATCTCAAAAGTAAGACTGTAAAAATCATATAAATTCGTATAAAATCACATAATTACCCAAAAAATCACATTAATCAACTGAAAACCAATTTTCACACTTTAACATAAATATAAGTCTATTTATCACGAGTTAAGGCTAAAACTATATTATTTACTAATTATTAACTCATGATAATGAAGACTTATCACACCCGCCAACTTAAATCATTGCTAGTCCCTTAACAATGGAATTACGAAAATAAAAATTTACAAATCTCAAACATCATATTTCAATATAGAAAGAAAAAAATACAATTAGAAATGATGCACCTTTAGACACTTTGGATTCTTATATCAAGTATTTAAGAATGATGTCAAGCACTTAAATGTTTAAACACTCCTTGGAATAACAATCTAGACTTCACTTCTTCTATTCACATCTTTATCACTTCTTCACTCATTGATGTATTTACAGGATGTTCCAATTATCAATACTCATCCAAGAATAATATTGATCTTACATTTTCCTTTTTCTATGGCTTGATTTTTGAAGTTTGCACTATATTTCTTCTTTCTTTATATATAGTGGATAAGTAGCTTTTCTTGTAGACAAAATTTGACAATAAGAATGATGTCTCACACCCTCCATGTGTACTCTTCATTTTCAGGGCTTTCACTTTATCCACTTATTTTGCAGCAAGTGTTTTTCTATACACGATTTTCGACAATGAGAATGATGTCTCACACCCTCCATGTGTACTCTTCGTTTCTAGATTTTTCACATTGCTCTCTCTTTTTTTTTTTCGAAATAAGTGATTTCTCCTCACAAGTCCTATATATCACGGTGCAAAAATCTCCATTAAACTCAAATGATCAATCAAATTTTCACATCAAATAAATATTATCCATCAAGATCATGAAGTGAAAATTTGTAAAATCAAATCCATGTTATCTATCATGTATCCAAGGAGTATTCCAACATTTCATGCTACTAGATCATTCTTTTGACTCAATAATAATCTTCCTAGTATCTTTTGGTATCAATCAATCTAATTGATTTAATTTTTCATGCATGCAATATGATGTAAGAAATTTGTAAATTAGATAGTTCTGATAGTTCTATTTTCTGTTTTCAGTTCTATTTTAGCAGCAATAAATTTGTCAAAAATAAATCAAAACTATCTTCTTTATAGCTGTAATTTCGAATTTCAGTAATATATGTCTAGGGGATTGAAATGTGAGAAAAGTTTTTTCGTCTGTTGTTTTTGACAGTCTATTGTTCTTGACAGAAAACCAAAAAATAGATGTTGCAGTTTTTCCGAATTTTTTTTATTTTTTTTAATTGCTGTTCTAAGTTGAATAAAATGCAAACACATGTTCTTAATCGTCTTACAGCATAAATTAATAATGAATACTTCACCCCCCAACTTAAAAATGACATTGTCTTCAATGACACAGAAAAATCGAAACAGAATATGCAGAAAATATAATTTTCAAGTGAAGCATGCATATATGCAAAGTTTAGCATTTAAAAATATTGTCATAAATGATAAAGCTCCGAAAGACATCACCTCGACCTCGTTTTTAATTTTCCACTTCGTCTTACATGCCTCCTCCTGCACTTTTTTGAAAAAAACAAATGCAGAAATAAGTACTGCAAAATTCTAAGAAAAACAGAGCTTAAAAAAAATCAAACAGAATGAAATAAAAACCATGGGTTGCCTCTCATGAAGCGCTGAATTTAATGTCTCCAGCTGGACTCCTTGATCTTACTCTTGAATTTCTTTTAATAATAAAATTTCTTTTTCTGCAAGGCGTTCACGTTCTATATAATGTTTAAGCCGCTGTCCATTTACCTTAAAGTTTGATCACTTTTAGGATCTTTAATCATTACAGCCCCATGATCATATGTCTCTTCCACCACATAAGGCCCTTTTCATTTTGATTTTAATTTTCCTAGGAATAATTTCAGCCTAGAATCATATAACCACACTTTTTGTCCAACATCAAATTTTTTTCTGCTAATGTATTTATCATGAAAATTTTTAATTTTTTCTTTATATATTCTATGATTTTTATAAGCTTCATTCCTCAACTCCTCTAGTTCATGTAGCTGAAAAATTCTATGCCCACCAGCTGATTTTTCATCCATACATAAATTTTTTATAGCCCATAATACTTTATGCTCTATTTCCACAGGAAGATGATATGGCTTTCCAAAAATGAGACGAAATTGGGACATACCTATGGGATTTTTATAAGCTGTTCTATAAGCCCATAATGCATCTTGTAATTTCGTGGGCCAATCTTTCCTATCTGGTCTAACTATTTTTCTCAAAATTCTCTGAATTTCCCTATTTGCTACTTTAGCTTGTCCATTTGTTTGGGGATGATATGGAGTGGCTACTCTATGGTGTACTCTATTCTTTTTCAACAGTTCACTGAAATGTTTATTTGTAAAATGTGTTCCTCCATCACTAATAATCACTCTAGGACATCCAAATCTCGAAAAAATATTTTCCTACACAAATTTCATCACGATTTTATGATCATTAATTCTAGTAGGAATAGCTTCCACCCACTTCGACACATAATCAACAACACGCAAAATATATTCATATTTTTCAGCTGATGGGAAGGGACCCATGAAATCTATTCCCCATACATCAAAAATTTCGACTACTAACATGTTACTCATGGGCATTTCATCTTTTTTACTCATGTTACCTATAGATTGGCATGAAATACATGTTCTACTAAAGTCTATAGAATCTCTAATGATTGTAGGCTAATAAAAACCACACTGAAAATTTTTTGCAACTGTTTTTTGTCTAGAGAAATGTCCTCCACAGTTAGATGAATGGCACATGTTAATAATGCTATGATATTCTTCTTCAGGAACACATCTCCTTAAAATTTGATCATTGCCCAAGTAATATAAATCAGGATCATGTCAAAAATAATTTCTAATCTTAGAAAAGAAATGATGTTTTCTGTTCTTATCCCACTGTTCTGGAGTTTTTCCAGAAACCAGAAAATTAACAATATGTGCATACCATGGTGATGGTTGATGTTGAGCTGCCATCAATTGTTCATTTGGAAATACGTCTTGTAAAGGTGCTGCATTTATTCCTGTATCACTTAATCTAGAAAGATGGTCAGCAACAACATTCTCGAAACCTTTTTTATCTTTTATTTCTAAGTCAAATTCCTGCAACAATAAAATCCATCTTAATAAACGTGGCTTTGCATCTTTCTTATTTAACAGATATTTTAATGCTGCATGATCAGTATAAATAATAATTTTAGCTCCCAAAATATATGATCTAAACCTTTCTAATAAAAATACTACAACTAACAACTCTTTTTCAGTTGTGGTATAATTTAATTGAGCATCGGATATAGTTTTACTAGCATATGAAATTACTATGGGTTTTGACTCTTTTGTTTGTCCTAGAATGGCCCCCACTGCATAATTCGATGCATCACACATTATTTCAAAGGGAAGGGACCAATCAGGAGCTTGTAAAATGGGTGCCTCAGTAAGTAATCTTTTTATTTCGGAAAAAGACTCAAAACATTTCTCATCAAAATTAAAAGGCACATCTTTAGATAATAGCATAGTAAGAGGTTTAGAAATCTTCGAAAAATCTTGAATAAATTTTCTGTAATAACCTGTATGACCCAAGAAAGATCTAATCTATTTTACTAAATTTGGAGGTTTCATTTTAGATATAATATCAATTTTTGCTCTATCCACCTCTAAACCCCTTTTACTCACAATATGACCCAACACAACTCCCTCTTTAACCATAAAATGTGATTTCTCCCAACTCAAAACTAATTTTTTCTCTATGCGTTTCTCAAGTACATACTGTAAATGATTTATGCATTCATCAAATGATTCACCAAAAACAGAAAAATCGTCCATAAAAATTTCTATGCTTTTTCCAATCATATCAGAAAAAATAGACAGCATACATCTTTGAAATGTGGCTGGAGCATTACACAGACCAAAAGGCATGCGTTTAAAAGCAAAAGTACCAAATGGACAAGTGAAAGTTATTTTTTCTTGATCTAAAGGGCTTATTTAAATTTGATTATAACCAGAGTATCCATCCAGAAAAAAAAAAAATCCAACTAATTTTTCTAGAATTTGATTAGTAAATGGTAGGGGAAAATGATCTTTTCTAGTAACTGAATTTAATTTTCTATAATCAATGCAAACCCTCCAACCGGTAGTTAATCTTGTTTGTATTTCATCCCCATTTTTCATTTTGTATAATCGTGATCCCTGATTTTTTTGGCACTACTTGTGTAGGACTAACCCATTTGCTATCTGAAATAGGATAAATAATGTTATGATTAAGGTTACAAATAAGTGAAAATCAAATAAACCAACAAAATAGTTCGATCATTATACTGCAAACCCCACTCTCCTTTATTATGATGAGTAATTTTCTTGCCACTTTGATAAAAAATAACGATTTTTCCTATAAGAATGCATGACAAATATGTCAAACTATTAAGGACTTCCTAAAAGCATGTGACAAGCATTTATGTCAACTTACATTTATGTCAGCCAATTGAAAATTTCACCATTTTTTTTTTATGATACTTGTTTCAAAAAAAAATGATCCACATGATTTCAAAAGTATATGGGTGTCTCTCACTCTTTAGCCCTAACTTTCAAACCATAGTTGAAGACATAATTTTTATCATTGACACTATCAATAGTAACATCACACACATTTTGACTAACTATGCATTGCATTTTGAAAATATTCTGAACTGTAGACCTTCCTTCAATCTAAACATCAGATTCTTCACAACCAATAAAGTCAATTACATAATATCTTCTTTTATATATTCCTTTATGAATGAAGCAATATTTATGCCCACAAAAATTTATTTCGTTGACCATCTTCAAATCAAGTGCTTCATCTCATTTTCATTTGTTAATCAGTATTCAAACGTAAATGATGTTTCAATGTTCTAATCTTCAAAAGAAATTGTACCAACCTATGATGCAAATCTAAAATGATCTAACAAATAATTTAATGAAATTTTATAAGGTTCCATCCTAAATATGGCACATACCTCACAAGTTGTGCAATCATAAGTGTTGAATCTTTATAAGAGTTAATTTGAAATCTTGAAAGTTTGTTCTAATATCAATTGATGCAACAAAAGTCAAAAGAAGTAGATGATTTAAATCTTTAACCCACAAGTAATGAACCTAAAAACTTTGAAGAGTTAGAAACTAAGTATTGAATTCATAAGACTTAGAATCTTCAATCATTGCCTATTAAACATAAATAATTTTTTAAAATAAAAATTTATAAACTAAATTCTAAGAAAATTAAATAAACCGTTTAATGGAATTAGGTTGTTTCCATATAGATGGTCAAACAATAAGGGTGATTAATTATTATATGTTTTTGATTGATCCCATAAATGTGCTAAAGCTAAATGCAATACATATTTTCATTGAAAATAACTTCCCTTCCCTTGATCCTTGAGTCACCCAAAGATCACTAGAAGAAAAGTGTGATCTAAACCAAGAGTACCAAAGAGAGTACTAAGCAAAATAATAAGGGAATCTCATTTCTTCATTGTGTCACCTAGCAAAGAGTGAGAATAATGTGGAAGAGTCACCCTCTAATCCTTATGTCACCCAAAGATCAATGGGAGACAAATGCAAGCTGAACTCTAGTCTACAAATGATAGTAAAACATCAAATTAATGAAACGGAGGGTGAAAGGGAGGTTTATGCTCCTCTACTGTGTCACCCAAATAGAGAATGAACATGAAAGAGAGCTCATTGTTGTGCTGCTGCTGCTTGGTGCTGCTGCTCTACTATGTCACCCAATAGATAGGAGGGAGAGGTCACCATTGTATTATTGTCGTTGTTGAGCCACTTGCTGCCTCTAATCTACTATATCACCCATTAGACATGGGAGAGCTCGTCATAATGCTACCATAGTCCCCACACAACTATTGTTGTCACCTCACTTGCTATTGTTCTTATGGTGTTGCTTGTTGTCCCATCACTACATCATCTACCCTCTACCACCATTCTACTATGTCACCTTTATACTTATGCTTGTTTTGTATCGTAAAGTCATTCTAACTCATCTATGTGACAATTTAACATTTATTATGGAACATGAAAAGTAAAAAATAATGATTTATGGTATGAAAATACAACATTAATAACTAGAGTGACCTTTGAATCCACAATTGTTCGTACATTCTCCTCTATGTGGCCCACTTGGGCCCATTATCTCTCTCTTCTCTCACCTATATAAATATATGTATCTCTTCATCTATAGTTAATCTAATCTTAGGGTTTAACTATTCTTGTCAACATGGTATCATAGCCCTAAGGTTCTTTCCAATCATCATTATGTCGGTACAGCCACACCTATCATCATCATCATATCATTGTTGCCGCATCCTTTGGGTGTTCTCCTCTCTCTCTATGTGTCATCTTCTACTACACGCCACCATCTAATGTGCGTTGCCATTAACTGCACTGCTGAAATTTGCTATTGCACCACATGCAACTAGCACGCCGGCACTTGCCCTAATATTGTGGCATCCTACCATCATGGCCCTTACCATCATGGCCCTTACCATCATGGCCCCTTAGCACCCCCCCCCCCCCCCCCCTTGCCATCACGGCCCCTACCATCGCAGCCCCTCTTGCCATGGCCCCTACCATCATAGCAACTATCGACATGGCCCCTCCCACTCTCTTGATATCTACCACTATGGTATCTCACAGTATCTCTCAATATCTCATGGTATTATCTCATGTTGTACCACCTCCCATCACACCGTTTTCTTGCCACACACCATCTCCTATTATGTGTCACCCTTTAATGCATGTTTTTGTACTTACATTGGTACGTTGTTTCCCATCATCATTATGGACTAAAATAATGCATCTTCTCCACTTCAAAGACCTCATCCCATGGCCTCATTTCTAGTCTAAGTGCCTCCACTGTTGGCACTCCTTTTCTCACATCACTTCTTTCCTCGTGGCACTCCATCATGGTGCAACTAACTTGGCTAGCATACCTCTTCAACAGTCTCAATTATATGTCGTAGAGATCAAGTTTCAAGTACTTTATTATGTCCCACAATCTGCTTCATCATCTAATGAATGATTTGTTGATCATCGTCGACCCAACTTATACTTCTTGATCTCAAATTACCTCTGTTATAGTCACTTAGATGCTTTAAAGTATTAAGCAAATGATCGTCGAGCTCCTTGCTCATATCAAGTTTATCCTATAACTCTGGCTCACAATGGAGATCATGTATGCCAATAAGATAAATATCAATCGTACTATGTAATTATTCAAGACTCTTCTTGATAAATTTTCATTATCATGAGTTAATAATTAATAAATAATATAGTTTTGGCCTTAACTCATGATAAATAAATTTATATTTGTGTTAATTTTTTAAAAGTAAATTTTAATTAATTGATGTGAATTTTTGACTAATTATGTGATTTTATGTGAATTTATATGATTTTTATAATCCTATTTTTGAGATAAATGAAGAAAAAGAAAAAGAAAATAATAAGATAGAAAAAAGAGAGGACCCATCAGCCAACCAAACCTGCAAGTGGGTCGGAAGCATAGTCGAGGTAGAGCTGCGAGCAAGGGCTCGAGCGACTATAAATTGATGGGGGCTCATGTGCATTCACTCTTCTTTTACGTCACCGATGGCCAACCGAATATGAGGTAAGGAGTGGTCATAAACACACGAGAAAGGGACTCATTGCTTCTAAATGTGATATTATTATATATTCATAAAAAACTTCAGCGAACAATCAATGTGGGACTAAACCTACGTCACATTTTTCTCAGAATAGTGTCGATTATTTTAATATCCCAAATACCCCTTAGTTATAACAACGATATACCATGATGATGTCACTTTATAAAGGTATTATAGTTGATAAGTCTTCATTATCATGAGTTAATAATTAGTAAATAATATAGTTTTAGCCTTAACTCGTGATAAATAGACTTATATTTATGTTAAAGTGTGAAAATTGGTTTTCAGTTGATTAATGTGATTTTTTGGGTAATTATGTGATTTTATACGAATTTATATGATTTTTACAGTCTTACTTTTGAGATAAATGAAGAAAAAGAAATAAAACTAAAATATTGTAAAATGGGGGGACCCGCCGGCCAGCCGGGCCCGTAAGTGGGTCGGAAGCTCAGTCGGGGAGTAGCCGCGAGTAGGGGCTCGAGCGGCTTGGACTGATAGGGGCACATGTGTGCCACTCCCCTTCCACATCACCGGTGGCTAGCCGGCTGTGGGACAAAGAGTGGTCGAACACGCGAGAGAAGGGACTTTGCTTAAAAAGCTAACATTACTATATATTCGTCCGAAAAATCGGCGCACAACCAATGTGGGACTAAACCCGCGTCACACCTTCCTTAGAAGAGGTAGGCGACTGGCGCGGGTTCGAGTCTTTTCAGAGTCAAAAGTCATATAGTTTTATCTGATTATCGTGACTTTCCTACAAATCGCCGGTGAAGGATTAAGCAACGAGAATCGCTGGATCATCGGCGAAAATCTCGCCAACGCGATTCGTGGAGCATTACTACTAAAATTGCTGAAGGATTCGCAATAAAAGGATCGCAAATCCATCGAGTAAATGATCTCCGATTGATCGACTAACAAGCCGTCGTCGAGAAGAGGACGATCCGCCGGGAGACGAGTCGCCACCTCCTGAGAGCGTACCAGATGCGATGAAGAGCCTCCTCTTGCTGCGCGGACCTGAGGATGAAGCTCCCTGACACACGCCCCACCTCCATCCAGCTCCTTTCCGTCGGGTGACAGCCGCCAGAGAGCCGCAAAGTTGCCGTTTTTCCGCTCCACCGGGTGACAGCCGCCGGAGACGACTCGACGACCCATTTCATTAATCTCTAGACATCGCGAGAAGATCTAGAGATTGCTCATGTCATCTTTGTCCAAGGAGAGCCTTCGAGGCCGTGGACACTACACGACGATCCTCTCGAACGCTCAAGATTCCGGTGCATTGTCGACGCATCGCCGTCGTGACGTTGGAACTCTGTTTTCCTATTTTCAACTTACTTTACGCTTCATTTAGTCATAGTTTTTGGGATTTTAATTTACCAAAATATACTTTGTTCTATTACAATTCTTTCAGCTTTTACAGATCTTAATTTGATTAATTAAATCGTTTGTAATCATTTACGTAAGAATCATCGGGCAGAACTCTGATTCCGCCCGATTCGCGTTCGTCAGGCGCTGACGTCATCTTGACGTCCGCACCCTTATTTCTTTTTTTTCGTGAATTTTAAATATATTTCCTTTTCATTTCTTAGTATAAAATTCATGTAAAAGAGTAGTCTCTGAGGAAAATTCTGAATAATTACCAGATATTATATTACATCCTTGTGATCGACTTGGAAAATTACCGCTATTTTTGGAACTTTTATTAAATTATAATTGATATATTTGTTCAGAAATACTTCTAAATATCTGAAAATTCGTATTTTCTAGTTTTATAAATTTTATATTTACGTGATTTAATATACAACGACTAAGTCACGTCAAATTTTGACGTTGTTGCTGGGGATGTATTGCATAATATTTAGTATTTTTCTGTTTTTCTCTTAGAGTACACAAAAAATTTTAACTCTTGTTTTATTTTCTTTTTGCTGATTTTTTTTTAAGAAAAAGGGAACGAGAAGAAGCAAGGCAAGGACTGGAGCATACTGAAGGAGGGTAACAATTACTAAACTTTTCCCTCAAATTTATTGATTTTTTTAATGTATGGTAGAAGATCCTTGCATCCAAGGCTAGAAAATCCTTTCATTATTTCCTTCAAGACTAAAAATCTGAAAGAAAAATTAATTTTGATGGATCCTGAAGGAAGTATAGGTCAAACTAAGAACAATCCTATGGCCATGAAAAATCATTATATCCCTGATTCATTTCAAAGAGCATTAAATATTAGAATCTCATTAGCACCCACTATTAAATTCGAAATAAATCCAGGAATTTTTGAAATGCTCCCTAATTTTCATGGATTGCCTTTAGGAACCTCATCAACACTTAGAAAAATTTCATATGGTCTGTGATTTAGTTAATCTCCCTCAAGTTACACCAGAAATTATTAAGATGAAATTATTTCCTCATACACTTAGGGACAAAGCTAGCCATTGGCTATCCACATTAGATAGAGAATTAACTAGCTGGAAAGACATAGAACATGCCTTTCTTCGAAAATTTTATCCCTTAGGAAAAACCCAAAATATGAGAAAACATATATGGAGTTTTTCTCAAAGACTAGGAGAAACTTTACATGAGACATGGGAAATATTCAAAGATTTACTTAGAAAGTGTCCTCATCATGCTATACCCAAGTGGCAGCTCAATAGAATTTTTTATGATGGATTATTAGAACAACATAGAAATATGGTTGATTCTATATGTGGAGGAGCTTTTATGGAGAAAACCCCTAATGAGATTTACAGTCTTTATGAGAATTTAAGTAAAAATTCTAGAGATCAAGCCTCTTTTGAATTATATGACAAGAATAAGAAGAGAGGAATTTACGAATTGTATCATGATGATGATTCTAAACTTAGAAATGAGGTTAATCAGATTAATCAAAGATTAGAAAAACTTGATTTACTTATTGACAATATTAGAAAGCCTCTTAATCCTCAATTTAATTCAAATAGTACATGTCCTATGTATGGTGAGAATGATTATTCTAAACTTCAATGTTATAATTTAGATCAATCATTTCACCATAAGCAAGAACAAGTGCAAGTAGCTCGTGGTTTTAATAAAAATAGGGAACCTTTTTCAAATTCTTATAATCCTAATTGGAAGAATAATTTTTCATGGAGAGACCCAAATAATATTCAAAATCTAAAAGCACTTAGACCCAATTCAAACTCTAAATTTCGTCCAAAATAAGAAAACAGATTTCAGAAAAATCAGCCCTCTCAAATCCAACTTGATGCTATGGAAATGATGCAACAAATGAGTCAAATGATGCAACAAACTATGAATCAAATGATGCAACAAACTATGAATCAAATGATGCAGCACCAGAAACAAATTATAGAGGCCCTTGGGAATAAGAGAGAAGAGGGACAGCTACCTAGTCAGCCCATAGAAAATCTAGGGAACCGCCCAATAATAGGATTTCAGCAAGGGGAGTCTAGTAGCATGAATCTAGGAAAAAACCCACGAAATGAAAATGTTAGGACAGTGAATGCATTAAGGAGTGGTAAGATCTTACCTGATCCTTATCCCCAAACATTAGAAGAAAAAGAAAACGTGGACAACCCAAAACAAAATCAAATAGGAGTAGAAGAGGATTTTATAGATTCTACCAAGGAAATTTTGAAAGAGAGGACAACCATTCCATTTACTAAAGCTCTAGAGCCTAGACAAAGAAAGAAAAAGGAACACAATGAAGAAATAAAGAAAATTTTACAAGATGTGCAAATTAGTCTTCCTTTACTCACTACCATTGAACATATTCCTGAATATGCTAGAGTTTTGAAAGAAATGTGTACACCAAAAAGGGCACCTAGAGTAGAAAAATTATCTATGCATGTTAGTACATTATTATTAAATCAATTACCATATAAATTGAGAGATACAGGTGCCCCTTTAATTTCGTGTGATATTGGTAGATCTATTTTTCAGAATGCATTACTTGACACCGGTGCTAGTATTAATTTATTACCTGCAAGTATTTGTGATAAATTTAATATTTCTGATCTTAAACCTTCTACTGTTACCTTACAATTTGCTGATAGATCCATAAAACATCCTAAAGGTATTTTAGAAAATGTGATAGTAACAGTTAAAGGGTGTAAATTTCTAGTTGATTTTGTAGTGCTGAAAATGGATTTTAATGGATAGTTTTATGATACACCAATCATCCTAAGGAGACCATTTTTGCATACAGAAAAGATGAATATTGATTTTCTCATAGGTATTGTGAAAATTTTATGTGGAGATCAATCAGTAGAAATTAAAATTTTTGAAGTACCAAATGATCTTAAGAAATCACAAGTATATGATTGTCATACCATAGATCTTCTAGATGATTTTGATGATCCAGATGTTATTGATGACTGTGTGTTAGCAGAATTAGAGGAAATAGAGAATATAAATTTAGGAGAAAAGAAAGAGGAAGATTATCTGAATTTAAAGTTGAAACCTCTTCCCTCTAGTTTAAAATATATGTTTTTGGAGGAAAATAATTCATTTCCTGTTATTATTGCAGCTGATTTGAGTGATGAACAGGAAGAAGAATTATTAGATGTACTTCGAAAAAATAAGAAGGCTATGGGCTGGAAAATGGACGATCTAAGGGGCATTGATATGAGTGTATGCATGCATAATATATATCTAGAGGAGGGGGCTAGAACTAGCAGGGAACCACAACGAAGATTAAATCCTAACATGATGGAAATTGTAAAAAAAGAAATAAATCTACTTTTTATGCAGCATGGCCAACCTTAAATTTTGACATTATTCTACAACAATTAATCATGAAAATAATGTAAATTAAACCCACAATATCATCAATCTACTCATCTACTTTAGTAAATTTGATGAAAAGAGTTAATGCTCTTTTGAATCTAAAATAATATTAGACTCATACAAAGCATTTGGTACTAGTTAAAGAGTCATATGTGAAGTCTGCATCATACTATTATCCTTTCATTCTATGATAGTATTATCTGATTTTGTGATATAAATTGTTAAAAACTTCCTTACTTCCAATTGTTGTAACTTTATTTTTTGTCTTCTGCAACCAAGGTCCTTTTTTGATTGTTGATTTACGTGTATAGCGAACATAATCAATCACCCTTTGTCACATCGAACAAGGAAAAAGAAAATCTAAATACCAACTAAAAGATATATGTAGTAATTTTGGAAGAAAACAACATTTTATAATAATATTTTAGGGAAAAATACATTGCACCTCTTATCATTGTTAGTTCCGAGTACTAAACCGTAAAATGAGACATTCGATGCGCCGTGAGGGAGAGAGAAGAGAGGAGAGAGAAGAGGGGGAGAGGGGGAGAGAGGGGGAGTGAGAGAGGTCTCACTCAGTCCGCCGTCCGCGGGTTGTCGTCCGTGAATTACTTCGATGACGTACCTGACTTTTCGTGAAGTGTCTGGAGGCCCCCGCGTACAAAAGGCCGAGCCAAGCATAGGACCCCCCTCCCCCCACCACTCGTACTCTTCGATCAGCAGCAATAGTGCAGCGACCGCCAGTCTGATGACCTCCCGGCACATGGTTGGATGGTCATTTTATGGAAGATACCACGGCTAACACTTTTACTTAAGACACCGGGTTTAATTTATTTATTTTCATCCCCCCACTACTCAATTACGAAAGGAAGCGGCGGGAGAAACTAAGGCGGAAAGGATACAATCACAATTACCTTTTCTGTAAGAGGTTTTCGGGCAATATCCGTCATAATTGCTATGGACAGAATCTTGACTCGAATTTTTATTCTTATTTTATTTACTCCGCCAGCAAGCGGCAGACAGCTGCTGTAGCTCTCTCTCTCTCTCTCTCTCTCTCCCTCCCCGTCCCACTGGAACTTCGTCTGCGCAGAGGAAGGGCGGAGGGGGGCAATCCTCAGACGGTGGTCTTGCTGTAGCTCTCAATTCCGCCGGCTGTCCGGCGAGCGCCTCGATCTCCGGTTGGGGCGGCGGCCTTGGAGCTCTCAGGGAGGGGCGACGTTGCTCTCGGAGGTCGCATGAAGAGAAGGGTTCTAGGGTTTTCGCCGGCGCCTGAGAGCTCCCGTTACATTTCTCGCTCTCGAGCCCCCTCGGAGGTCCAGAGTCCTCCGGTTGGGGTTCCGGCGGTCTCTTCTCGCGCGCGGAGGTGCTGTGCGGATCTCGGAGGAGAGGGATTTGGCGAGGATTCAGTCCGCTGCTTCACTTTTTCCCTCAGATTGTGATTTCGGCCTGGGAAATCAGGCTCATCGGCATTGCTTTCTGCATCTCTTTTAGGATTTGGGAAACGCAATGCGAAGATTCTGGAGGAAGCTGCTCGTTCTCGGCTGGAATGTGCTCTTCTACGGGAGGGGGCCTACTCTGATCTCTTGCTCAGAATTTTGAATCCGCCGGACTGCTGAACAGTGGAGGCGTTCTCCCCCCTCTCCCCCCCTTACTTGCCCTGCCTTCTCCGCACTGCTTCGGGGGGTTGAGCTCCATCTGGCGAGCGTGGATATCTCGGAGGTTTTCTCTCTCCTCTGCGGCGGCATGAGAAACCCCCTGTTGTCGGATTCCTGCAGAGATACGCAGCAGCTCCACTCCGTCAATCCCCAGCCCTGGCTTCAGGTTGAGCGGGGGAAGCTGTCCAAGTCCTTCCCCCGATCCCCTTCCTCCGTGTGAGTACAGTCTTCTTCTCCTTCTCCTTCTGCTACTGCTATCGCTGCTACTTCCTCTTGTGAGTTCCTCGCGTGTCGTTCTTCCGCTGGCAGTGAATCCTTCATCAAGGTCCCAGAGCCGCCGATTCTTCCGCTGTTCAAGCCCGTGGACTATGTGGAGGTCTTAGCCCAGATTCATGAAGAACTGGAGTCCTGCCCCCCGCAGGAGGCGTCCAGCCTCTACCTGCTGCAGTTCCACGTCTTCAGGGGCCTCGGCGAGAGGAAGCTGCTCCGGCCGAGCCTCCGCTGCGCCTGGCACAAGGCCACCACCGCCTACGAGAAGCTCGTCTTCTTGGCCTGGCTCAAATACGAGAACCACCACCACGGAGACGAGCTCACCGACTTCTCTGCAGCGGAGGAGATGGACGTCACGGCCGCCGCCGGCGACTCGCATTCTTCCTCAGCCACGGCCGCCTCCGGCGGAGTAGTCCTCTTCCGAATCGGAGGGGATCTGGTGGCCGGCGACCGGCGGAGGATGGCTGCTCTCTCCGCCCCGTTCGACGCCATGCTCAATGGCTCCTTCAGCGAGTCGAAGCTCGAGATCATCGACATGTCGGAGAATGGCATCTCGACTCTGGGGATGAGACAAGTCTGCAAGTTCAGCGAGACCGGAAACCTGGGCGATCTTCCTCCTCAGCTCCTGCTGGAGATTCTCATCTTCGCCAACAGGTTCTGCTGCGAGAGGCTCAAGAGCGCCTGCGACCGGAAGCTCGCCGCCTTCGTTGCTTCCCGGCAGGACGCCGTCGACCTGATGGAGTGCGCCGTGGAGGAGAACGCTCCGATCCTCGCCGCCTCCTGCCTGCAGAAGCTCCTGCTCGAGCTCCCAGAGTCCATCAAGGACGAGCAGGTCGTCGGCATCTTCTCCAAGCTCGGCCAGCACCATCGGTCCATCGCCTCCTTCTTCTCCCTCTACTGTTTCCTGAGCGAGGTCGCCATGAACGCCGACCCGAACTCCGACATCGCGGTCGTCTTCTTGGAGCGGCTGGTGGAGTCGGCGAGGGGCCACCGGCAGAAGCAGCTGGCTTTCCATCAGCTGGGCTGCGCGAGGCTCTCGAGGAAGGAGCTCGGGGAGGCGGAGCAGAGCTTCACCGCCGCCGTCGAAGCCGGGCACCTCTACTCCGTCGCCGGACTGGCCAGAGTGGCCGCCGCCAGGGGAGACAACCAGCTGGCCTACGAGAGGCTGAGCTCCGCCATAGCTTCTTCCTGCCCTCCCCTTGGATGGATGTACCAGGAGAGGTCCCACTACTCGGCGGCGGCGGCGGGCGGCGACGACGACCGGAGGAGGCTGGAGGACCTGGACAGGGCGACGGAACTGGACCCGACCCTGGTGTACCCCTACATGTTCCGGGCGGCGGACCTGATGAGGAGGAACCAGGACGGCGGCGCCGCCATTGCCGAAATCAACAGGGTCCTGGGGTTCAGGGTGGCGGTGGAGTGTCTCGAGCTCAGGTTCTGCTTCTACCTGGCCATGGAGGACTACGGCGGCGCTCTCCGTGATGTACAGGCCATCCTCAGCCTCTCCCAGGGCCACCGGATGCTCCAAGGGCGGGTCGCCGCCGCCCACCTACGTCAGCTCGTGCAGGAACACGTCGAACCGTGGAGCGCCGCCGAGTGCTGGATGCAGCTCTATGACCGCTGCGCCGCCGTCGACGATGTCGGCTCGCTGTCGGTCATCTACCAGATGCTCGAGTCGGGCGGCGCCGCCAAGGGGGTGCTCTATTTCCGCCAGTCTCTGCTCCTGCTCCGGTTAGAACAAGAAGCCCCCCCCCCCCACCGGTTCTTCTTCGCCGCCGTTGCTTTCTTGCTTTACCGATGCTTTCTGGGGCAGGCTGAGCGGCCCGGAGGCGGCGATGAGGAGCCTCCGGCTGGCGTGCCGACACGCGGGGAGCGAGCACGAGCGGCTGGTGTACGAGGGGTGGATCCTGCTCAACGACGGCGGCGAATGGGAAGCGGGGCTCAGGAAGGCGGAGGAGTCGATCGCCTTGCAGCGGTCCTTCGAGGGCTTCTTCCTCAAGGCGTACGCGCTGGCCTGTTCCACCCGCCGGCCCTCCTGCTATCCGACCGTCATTTCCCTGCTCGAAGACGCGCTCAGCTGCCCCTCCGACAGGCTTCGCAAGGGCCAGGTGCGTGATAGGTTTCCTCCTCTCCCTTTCTTCTTCTTCTTCTTCTTCTCATGCTTCTTCGGATGAGAGCCCTACTCTCGAGCCTTATGCTGGGAACCAAACCCCACTGGATCATCCGAATTTGTGATCCGAGGCCCTGGTTCCTGAGAACGAAAACTAGAGAAATCAGGAGCGATTTTGTTTTGATGTTGATCGATTGAAACAGGGAGAAAAAAAAAAAGCCAGCAAATTTTGAAATTCTTGTAGAAAGCATGAGGATTTTATGACGGATCACAGCTTAACTATGCCAGGCGTCATTTCCACAAAAATATGCTCATTTTCCAGACAAGCTTATGTCGTGATTATTTTTGTTATCCGTATGATTTGATCGAAAACAACCCCTAAGCCATCAGTCGGGAATAATTGGAGGATAATTCTTGTTGACAGAAATTCTGCTCCGGCTATCCTCTCTCATCTGTCCCGTTTTAGTTTGTGTTGTGAAGTTCTTATAAACTAGATGATAGAAAGAGGAAACAGATGATCCTGAGTGAGTAGAAACTCGCTGAGTTTAGGAAAAAAATTGTGTTTCGCTCCTTGGATCTGAAATATTGTATGTCATGTAAATTTTGGAGGAAAACTGTGAGATTGTTTGAGGAAACTATGAATGAATGAATGAAGATTCGCGGTGAGGTTTTGATTTCGTTTTTTTTTTTTTGAAGTAAAAACTTTGATGAGAAATTGCTGTCCTTCATGTGTCTCTTCACTGGCTATCTTGTGAGCAACAAATTGAATGAATCCAAGAACAAATAGGTTTAGAGGGAGAGTCTCACGTTTCCCGATGACGTTGTGCTGCTGCTCTGTAAATTTGTCCGTGACAATCTCAACCCGTTTCCTCTTCGAACTCGAACTGGCAGGCTTTGAACAACCTCGGCAGTGTGTATACGGACTTTGGGAGGCTGGACCTCGCGGCTGACTGCTTCATGAGCGCTCTCCAAATTCGGCACACCCGAGCACACCAGGGCCTCGCTCGCGTTCACTTCCTCAAGGACGACAGGGACGCCGCCTACAATGAAATGACGAAGTTGATAGAGAAGGCCAAGAACAATGCCTCCGCGTACGAGAAAAGATCAGAGTACTGCCGCCACGAACTCACGGCCGCAGATCTGCAGACGGCGACTCAGCTGGATCCGATGCGGGTTTATCCTTACCGGTACCGCGCGGCAGGTCATCTCCCTCTCCCATCTCTTGAATCCATCCATCGTCCGATTGGTTGACCTATCCTGGATCTGACAAAAATGAGGGCTGTTTCTTCCATCCATCGTCCGGAATGGAGCAGTGTTGATGGACGGCCGCAAGGAGAAGGAGGCCATTGCGGAACTGACCAGGGTGATCGTCTTCAAGGCGGATCTCCATCTTCTTCACCTCCGCGCCGCCTTCAACCAGCACATCGGAGACATCACCGGCGCCCTCCGGGACTGCCGTGCCGCCCTATCCGTAGATCCCAACCACCAGGAGATGCTGGAGCTCCGCAGCCGCGTCAACTGCGAGGAGCCGTGAGTCTCCTTTTTGTCTGATCCAGTATGGATTAGCAGGGGGGGATGGATTCAAGAGGTGAGGGGAGACAAGGAGGAGGAGGCCATAGCGGAGCTGACGAGGGCGATCATCTTCATGGTGGATCCTTCATCTTCTTCACCCCAGCGATGCTTTCAACGAGCTCGTCGGAGACGTCGCCGGAGCCCTCCGGGGCTGCCGCGCCGCCCTCTCCGTCGAGTCCAACCAACAGGAGATGCAGGAGAGCTCCACGGCCGCGTCAACTGCGAGGAGCCGTGAGTCTCTTCCCTCTGGTCTCCTCGCTTTCTTCCTCTCGCCTCTCATCTCCCACTGTAACTAACCCCAGCCACGTTTCTGCGATCTGTTCCGAGAAGAGAGTTCTCCAGAATGCTGCTGCAGGACATTCCTGCATTCCTAATCACTTGCCACGTGGAGTATTATTTTTTGTTTAAATGATAGTTCTTAACGGTCTAACATTTCGACAATAAGAGAGCGCAGAGAGAGAGAGGGCAATTGGCATGGCTCTATCAAAGTAATCCACGTGATCTGGTAAATCGTAGACCATCCGACGGTCGAGATGAATCCACGCGACGAGTGAGCCTCCGCCATTCTGGAGCTAAAGGAACCCGGCCACGTACCCAACACGAGAAGCCGACTTACAACTGGTCATTCCATATATATTATGTGTATATATATTTAGCTGCGTCGTCTCCACAAAGAGCCTTCTGCCCCAAGCATAGCCGGGGATTTCACCTGCGGCTAGGTGCACTTGGGGACAGCCAGAGTGATTGGAGCAGGGAAATTGTGAGCTGGGGGCGATGGCACCTACGGCTGAGGACATAGAAGACGAGATCAGGAACGAGAAGAACCCCCCTCCCCTCGACGAGGACGACATCGCCCTCCTCAAGACCTATGTACGTCCCAAGGAGATTTTTTCCCTTATTATTCCATGTTTATTGCTCTCCTTTTGCGGTCGAGTTTAGTTTGGCGACTAGGGTGGTTCCCTGTGGTGTTTTTTGGCGCGCATTCTGTGCCTAGCAAGGCACAGAGGATTTTCTTGTTTGCTTTGTAGTTGTTCGTCTCCAATCTGCGGCTAGGGTTTCGTATTTCTTCTTTAGAAAAGAAGCCTACGTTTCTTTGGCGACCCTGCTGGTTCTGGCCGTTACCGTCATTTGACCCAGATAAACTTTTTTGTCGTTGATCCCTTGTGGGGCTTGTAATGTGGTTTCAGTCGCCTTCGATCCTCATACACTTCATTTTTTTTCTCTCCCGCGTTGATATTTTCGTTCCAGATCTGGGTTTACTGGGAGATCACAAGTTGAACGTCGCTCTATTTTGCGTTATTTTTCAGCTATTGTCCTTTGAAGGAACCTTGATCTCGTTTAATATTTTTATATACCGTTCTGTATCGATTGTTTCCATTACAGGGCTTGGGACCGTACTCAACCAACATTAAGAAGGTGGAGAAGGAAATTAAGGAAATGGCTAAGAAAATAAATGATCTATGTGGTACTCCCATGAACATTTTCTCGAGTTTTTCTTTTATTTTATTTTGTTATTCTAAATGATCTGCTCAATATAACTCTATCCATTTGAATAAACGTTATCAATCTATTGGAAGGGATGCTATTTTGTCAGGATCACACTGAAAAACTGTCGGCGACAGTAAAGAGAATAAGGTTGCTCCGATTTTGAATTTGGAGAGGGTAGAGGTCTTTCTATGGGAGGGTAATTTTTTTGGTTGAGCTGAAGGGGGAAGACGTACATTATTTTTCATTGTGGTCAGTAAAAGGTGGGATAAATGCATGTAGAATTACTATACCTGGAAAGGGATTTTGAATGTTGCCTCCTTGTCGTTGTGATTAGCTTCATGATGTTCCCTACGCTCATATTGCTTATGGTTCGGCCTTGCTTTAATTAGAGGCATTGCAGGACATCGTATACCTTACTCCAAGCCAGAAATCGGCCTAGTAACGTTATGATTTTATTAGTCGTCCTTGTCACATATTCTAAATGACTCACACACACACATGCGAACACCCTCCAAGAAGAAGCATGCATTTAGTGAATTTTGTGAATCATAAGTTGCTGCTTTCTAAGGATATATGATTTTAACATTGAAAGAGAATCTTTTATTTGATTTACATTTCAAAGCCAGTGGGATGGGTTTTATATCTCTAAATAGACAAAAAATTTCTGGCTCTTCTGCCACAACACTTTATGAACCCATTTTTTGGCTAGGATGATAATTTTTCATTTTTCAGTAAACAATCAATTTGATTAGAAGTGGAATTGATGTTTAAAACTAAGTGGAAAGCAAGATATTACTCTATTTTCTATAGGATTTATTTTCATTTTTAAGTTTTTTCATTGTTATATTCTTTGGTATAATTAGATATACATTTCATATGCATATGACATTTAATATTAGTTTATTAAAAAAATACAGTATTTAGATGTATAAAAACGAAATAATATTTTAGGCGCTCTTATATATAAATTGATTGCCTCTCTAAGTTTCTTGGACTTTGAATTAGAATATTGATGAAAATTGTATTTGTATTGAGATTCGGATCTTTTTCTTTCCATTTTCAGACAAATGCCAGTTGCTACCATTTGTATGGCGTATGCATTTAGTCGTTCTTCTGCAATGCATTTTGTTCATTTTCAAAACCCAGTTGCTACCATTTGTTTCTAGTCTTTACTGGTACTTTTTCTGGCAGCTATAGTTATGGTATAAACTCTTTCTTTTTTTCAGAATGCTGGAATCTTTTTTCTTAGCAGAAGAAAATCTGTATATATTTGTGTTGTATATAGCAATGACGATGGCGAATATAAATTGCTACAATATTCCATCCCGGATATCATCTAAGGAAAGAATGCCCTCTTGGGTTAAAATATAATAAAATGATGTTTCTTAATATTTAAGAATATCATTAAATATTTTTATAAGAAAGGAAAGGTACTGGATGATTCAGAGTTGAAATTTCAATAGTGGATGTATTGCTGTTTTAGGTAAATGTTTAGTTTTTCATTTCTCTTTTCATTTGGTTAGCCCATAAGTAAGGCTATCCAGTGTTATTGGTTGTTATTGACTGGAAAGGTCATTCATCGTTGTCCTGGTTTTTTCTTCATAGCCTGGTTGTCTTTGACATGAGTCTTTTTTCTCCTTCAAACAGGAATCAAGGAATCTGACACTGGTTTAGCCGCACCAAGTCAATGGGATTTAGTTTCTGATAAGCAGATGATGCAGGAGGAACAACCACTTCAGGTGATGCGCAATAGGACTGGTTGGATTTCTTAGTCATCAATTTTCACCTTGCATTCGTCTAATTTTGCATTTTTTTATCATCACAAAGGTTGCGAGGTGCACCAAAATAATTAACCCAAACACAGAGGATGCCAAGTATGTCATCAATGTCAAGCAGATTGCAAAGGTATGTACATATATTTTTTGTCATTCTCATGGTTCTGACTGATTCTGATTAATATAACTTCACGTGCCTGACTCTGTTTAAATTCCTGATTTCAGTTTGTTGTTGGCCTGGGTGACAAAGTTTCCCCCACTGACATTGAAGAGGGCATGCGAGTAGGGTAAGATACTTCTCTACTCATTCGGTTTGGTGGCCTTTTTTGTGGTGTGCAATTACGCCGTTGAAGAAGTTCTATTGCTCCCTGAATTGTTTTATCGGAATATGTCATAGGCATAAGTTCTGTTCAATATGGATCTTCGCTGGCATTGGTGTCTTCTTGTGGAATGATAAGAAATCCGTGTCAAATTATTTCTCGCTGTTTAATGAAGATATATTTATATATTTGTCCTAGAGTGATGTTTGATTAGCTTTTTGTCCTTTAAGCTTTATGTGAACTATTTATTTTCTCTTTATTATTTTTTCTGATTTTATTTTTTATTCAGAGTGGACCGGAACAAGTATCAAATTCAGATTCCCTTGCCACCCAAGATCGATCCCAGCGTCACAATGATGACCGTGGAAGAGAAGCCTGACGTCACATATAATGATGTTGGAGGCTGCAAGGAGCAGATTGAGAAAATGAGAGAAGTACGTTTACAGCAATGGCTCTTCAGTCTGCTCTCCTAAGGCTATTTCTTTCTGGGCCATCCTATGCTGTGTAGTTTGAGGCTTAATGTGATGCATATTATCTCTCTCTTCCAGGTCGTTGAGCTTCCCATGCTCCATCCAGAGAAATTTGTGAAGCTTGGAATTGATCCTCCCAAGGGGGTTCTCTGCTATGGCCCCCCAGGAACAGGGAAAACGCTCCTGGCAAGAGCAGTAGCCAATAGAACAGATGCATGCTTTATCCGTGTCATTGGAAGCGAGCTTGTTCAGAAGTACGTTGGAGAAGGAGCTCGGATGGTCCGTGAACTATTCCAGGTCGTCAACTGCTGCATTTAGCTGTCATAAATTTGTGGTTTTTCTGAATTCTACTGATAATAAATAAGCCCCCCTCTTCCCCCCACTTCATCATCATCATCTCACACGTCCTATTTATCATCTTGGAATCGACCTTGTGTCGCAGATGGCCCGCTCGAAGAAGGCCTGCATCGTCTTCTTTGATGAGGTGGATGCTATTGGCGGTGCCCGCTTTGACGACGGTGTTGGCGGTGACAATGAAGTCCAGCGCACGATGCTTGAGATTGTGAACCAGCTTGACGGGTTTGATGCTCGTGGGAACATCAAGGTTTTGATGGCCACAAACAGGTGACCCTATTAAATTTCTTTTTTTTTTCCCTTCTTTCTGGTCATCTAATAATCGTCAGCCAATTTTGGCAAAGTCATGGAATGATTGATATGGGAGATCCAGTGAGTGAAGTGATCTCTTGCTAGTAATTAATAGATTGTCTCTGACTAACCCTACCCATGCAAAGAATCCTTCGTGTCTTTGGATTCTCTTCTTCCTCTGGTCAATGAACAGCTTTCCCCCCTCTTTGGTTTTCTTCCTGAAATAGGCCCGACACCTTGGACCCGGCACTGTTGCGGCCAGGGAGGCTGGATCGGAAGGTCGAGTTCGGGCTGCCCGACCTGGAGAGCCGGACCCAGATATTCAAGATCCACACTAGAACAATGAACTGCGAGAGAGAGATCCGGTTCGAGCTGCTCGCCCGTCTCTGCCCCAATTCCACGGGTATGCTTCAAACGAGAGACAGAACACTGCGTGAATCTAACCCCCCACCCTAAACCAATCCTTTTTTTTCTTTTTCTTTTGTGGGATTGAATTTCTGGGGCTTTCCCTGTGAGAACAGGAGCGGACATTAGGAGCGTTTGCACCGAGGCCGGGATGTTCGCCATCCGGGCGCGGAGGAAGACGGTGACCGAGAAGGACTTCCTCGATGCGGTGAACAAGGTCATCAAGGGCTACCAAAAGTTCAGCGCAACCCCCAAGTACATGGTCTACAACTAACTCCAAAAACACCGAGGCCCCACGGTGGTGGTAAGAATCCTTCGTGTCTTTGGATTCTCCTCTCCTCACCCCCACTGGCAGGTAAGGTACTACTATCAAAGGAGGTCCTTAATTCTTAGTCACCAATTGTTTGTGTTATTGGATTTCACAGCCCACAGCCTGGGGGGTGAGGGTGGGGGGGATTGGATTGGTTGTTGCCATGTTTGGGTCTGGAGGGGAGGATGAGATGTCTTCTGCATGTTCTTCGTTGACAATTGAATCCAGAGTTAGGGAGGCTTTTGATGGACACAATGCGGTGGTTGGCCGGCTGTTGTTGTGCGTGTTAGTAGCTGGGGTAGGATCGGAGTGGTGGAATCGATCGATCCACTCTATGATCGGATTGGCTAGTCCTCGCCCCAAGGGGTTCTGTGATTCAGATGCATGGGTCAAAATCAGATCCTCTTCCCTTGTTTGTCTCTCTCTCCTTCACATCTAGAGACTGTCAGCTGCGTAGGGGTGTTGGTTCCAGTGAATAATATGCTAGCGACGAAGATCTTGGGGTTTTTTATGGGCCGATGCGGGATGACGTATCGTTGTGTGCGGGGTTTTATATTAGATTTACTGTCAACTATGAGATTCTTCATGAGTGGTCGCCGACTGTGATTTCAAAGAATTGTTTAACGTCTGAGTTGGAGATGAACTGTAATAGACTAATTCATGGTTTTTCGTTGCCACCCAATCAGGGATTTTGGGTTTTCGTATGGCCTATGTTTAGTGCGAATAATAAAAAAAGGGTTGTTCATACCAATAATTTTTTTCATCCATAGGTCGATCTATCCTGTGTGCATACGTGTGCTAAAGTTTTCAAAGTAATTACGAAGATTTAATCAAGTAGATAAAAAATAGGGTTAATTAGTCTTTAGAATTTCAATCTATTTCAAAAAAATTAACATATCTACTAGTTAAATGATTTAATAATTGCACAAAAAGACCGACTCACAATGTTTGATGTTTAGAAGATAAATAGAATGGGAAAATATTAATTTTAGATAAGAAATAATGTGATTTAAAAACCAATCATATGACTCATTCCATCTCTTTATTCTTTCCAATATGGTTGCTAGCTCATAAATTACTTACTCAATTAGATGAGTTCTAATAGAAAAGACAATACGACCAAAAGATATTTCCATATTTATAAGGTTACACTCTAAACGACTGAAAAAAAAGTTCTGTCTATTTGGGCTCACAAGTTTTTTTATTTATCTCCTTGTGGGAAGTAAGTATGATCATTTGGTATATGAAATGACCAGGTTTCTGCTAAAGTGGCTAGATTCACCAAATGTGGACAAGTTTTCAAAGACCTAAGAAGTGGATTCAGCTAACAGGAAAGGGCTAAAATCAAATTGTGACAAGTTGTCTTTCAGAAGTAAATGAGTTGAGGAATGCCTCAACTAAGAGAAAAGTAGGAAAAATAATAATATCATATTGTGAATATTTACACATCAATGCAACTTTTGATTGCATTGCTAATATTCCAAATATGACCTTCAACAAAATCATTCAAATTCTTAGACTTATTATTTGAAAGTTGCTTCATTTTGCTCTACTTTCATGAAGTGGGTCAACTCACATGGATAGATGGCACTTAAGAGTGTGACACTATATAATAAAATCATAATAAGACAAGTTGTTACAATACTCATAACTAGTCATTAGAAGCATGTGAGTTAGACCAGTGAAAGCTACATGCCAAAGTATAAGAAATATTTTAGGGAAACATTTATCTTGGCTAAAGTGGTGAAATTTAATAGACGTCTTCTAAAGCTTTTGTATTAAATGATTATATTAACTAGAGTTAGTGGAACCTAAGAATGAGGTCCTTTAAAGTAAAGCAGCTCAAGTGAACATAACCACTATGTTTAATATAAAATACTAAGCATGTACGCTTTGAAGATATCATTTTTTTTTCTACATGGGTGACTAAAAAAAACCACAAAGAAAAAGAAGAAACTATAAAGAATTTTTTTCTTTTCAGCATATGAGAATTAAGTGTAAAAAAATTATCTTGTTTTTTTTAAGAGATTTGGCACTATAAAGTTTTTATTATTAAATACTACATTTTTCATCCTACACTAAAACTAAAATTATAGTTTTGAAATTCTAAAATACTATAAAATACCTTCAAAATAAGAAAACTTAATCTAGATTTTAGCACCATTGAGGCTCAAAACAACAATCACAAATGTATGTGTAAGATCAAAAAAATAAATAAATTCAATCCCACTTTGATGAAACATATCAAATGTTATTATGATAGAAACACAAAAGAAATATATTCTAATTAAGCACTACTCATGTTACAAGTAATAATGACTACTGGGCATCTTATTCCTTACCATCATAGGGGCCGTATTCAGCAACAAAATTTAGCAGGTCCATCAGTGTCATACTAAACAATGAAAACACCCTCTCTTCATTTAAAAAGCTCATTTCAACAAAAAATACCTTGCTAGACATAAAATTTAACTACCACCGCAATACTAACATGTTAACTATTACATATTAAATTAATTAAAAAAATATTCTAACCTCATCCTATTAATACCATTCATTATTCAAGGGTTGTTTGTATATAAAACATAGTTAATCTCTTCTACATCACAATTAGGTGAGAATTGATTTCCTCAATTCTCAATACAAACACCAACATTCACAACCAAACCCTCTTTCTCAATGGGGTTTCCAAACACCTCACATGTATTTTTACAAGACCCCAAAAAGAAAATACCACCACATATGAAGGAGTGGTTTTTAAAAAATATCTTCTAGCAATGAGGCATTTATTTGTCAATACTTTCACTTTGTAGAATAATTCCATTTAGAAGAGGTCATTCTAGTGGAAGGGAGGGGGGGGCAGCATGATCAGATGTTGAAAGAAGTAGTCTTATTGAGTTGACTTGTTCTTTCTTCTTCTTTTTTTAATAGAGTTGATTATAAGCTCAAATACAAATAATGGGGTCAAATTAAACTTGGCCACAAGAATTACCAATGAATGTATATTGACATCTATTATGACTCTTATGCCACCTCTTACGCCTTATATATGTCAATATATAAGGCGTAAGAGGTGGGCAAGTGCACATCATATGTGAGGATTATTAAATACACCTTAGAGGGGACATATGAAGAGGTTAACAATTTAACTAGGAGAGGTAGGGGAATCATCTCAAGTTCATTCTCCACCCTTTCTTTTCTTTCTTTGTTCCCTTTCTTGTACTTTAATAGAATTGTCATCCTAATGTTCTATCTTCTACAACATTGTCCCAAGTTTGAGGATCAATATAATTATTTTTCTTGTATCTCACTAAGATTTGATCCTGGCAAAGGGGATCATATCATTGGTATCAAAGCCAACAATCTTGCTGCCACACAAATATGACACCTAAGGTCACAAACTTTCGATTTGAAACCCTAGAAGCAGACAATGAAAACTTGTGAGTGAATCAACAAAGGATGGCTGAAGATATGCAAAATCACAAGAAGAATCCATAAATCTAATGTGCTAACTTAAAAAACATGTAACAATTCTAACTGACAATATGTGCTCCTAATCTACAACTAACATCATTCTATCAAAGATCAGACATAACGACAACTAGAGGTACAATCACCATCCATCCGCCATCAAGAATCTATTCTAGTAATACCTACAACAGGTCACAACACTATTTAGTTCATCACAAAAGGGGAGATGCTAATATTCTATTGTGAAAGTTATGAGATGTAAATAAAGATTCTTCAAGTTAAACAAAGTAGTTGAGTAGAATCAATTAGAGGCGTCTATAATGATACTCAAAAGTTTAATATTAGAGTGGTACATATGGAAGGATAATAGATATTCATTCCATAATTAGCAATAGTTCAAAGTTCAATTCAGAAAATACTGTGGTACCTTTATAGCATGTAACACATTTCACAAATTTCTAAATATTTAATAGAAATACTTAGTTCAAAAATATCAAATAAAAGATGAATGCTTATCTACTTACCTACCCAAACTCTAAGATGTTGTGATGGAGAATACATATATCAAAGGTTTGAAATCAGAAATTTAAACATAATTAGCTTGCACGAATCTAGTATGATTGATGAAAATTATAGATGTATCAATAGATGTAGAACAACATATTCACTCCTTACGAGAAGCTTGGGATAATCACCTACCCAAATTACTAACAATGATTTACCTTCATGGCTAAGATCTAGTGGATGTGATAAGAGCATAAATACTTCCTCCTTTGGATGACACTTCTCCTAGTTTTATTATAAGTGGATCACTTTTACTAATGTAGAATATCAAGGCTGCTGTGAAAAAAGACTATGCTACCACTATTAAGATAGAAAATTGATGTAAGGAACAACAATAGATTTTGATAGTTCATGAAGATGACAATGAACTAAGTGACACCATTCTATATGATTCTATTGTCGATGTGAAGAAACCAACAAAAGAATTTATGTTATTTACATCATAAGTATGATTGAATTTAGTGGTAGGATTCACTTAGACAAGAACTATAATGATGGAAGAAATTTTACAAGGGCATATAATCACAATTCTGATTGATTTGGGTGTGACAAATAATTTCCTATCCTCATAATCATATTTACAACTTCAATTATCCCTTTATGAAGTAGTGAATTATGAAATTGTCATGAGAAATGACTAAATCCTATAGGGGGATAGAGTTTGCCAGAAGATCTCTTTTAGAGGGTCAGTGCTTACTCATCACACAAGATTTTTCCCACTCACATTGGAAAGTACAAATGATATACTCTATATGTAATGGTTGAGTTCGATAGGGTGGATGCATGTAAATTGGGGAAACTTAACTATAATGTTCTTAGAAAATGGTGTGCTCAAAATTCTTAGATGAGATCCAAAGTTATTTAAATCTGAAGTTTTTAAAAAAAATTAGAAAAGATTATTAGATAGCAGCCCCTAGTTCTCCTTGAGTTGCACAGTGTGCATGTACAATAGGAAACAATTGTACAACCATTGTCACCCTACTGAATCTCATTTCTAATCATTATCCCCATTTATTTTCTCAGCTATAATATGAATACCATCGAGAAGTCAATACAATAACTTTTGTCAGCATATTTTATTCATCCTTCACAAAACCCTTATGCAAATCCAATTTTATTAGTTAAAGAAACGGATGGTGTTTGGAGTTTTTGTGTGGACTATTGGGCATTAAATAAAGTAATAATTCCAAATTGATATCTGATGCATGTTGTAAATGAATTGATTGATGAATTACATGCTATGAGTATTTTCTCTAACTTGGATTTGAAGTCCGGCTACTATTAGATTCACATAAAAAATATATATATATCTCAAATACTACTACTAATGCTCCATTGACCTCCTCCAAAGAATATTTGAGAGTTGTGAGGGTTTCTTAGGCTCACAAGTTATTATAGAAAGTTTGTGGCTAACTATGCTTCCATGGCCCCTTACTTACTTACTCAAGAACTCTTATGACTGAAGACTAGATTTTCAAGAGGTGTTCATTCAACTCAAAGAGCCAAAGATAACCATCCTAGTTTTTTAGCTTCGCCTACTTTTTCACTGCCATTTGTGCTTGAAATAAATGCCTCAAGGCATAGAGTGGGCAGGGCCCTAATTCAATCTTGAAGACTAGTGGCTTTCCACAGCCAAGTCCTCCCCTATCAACATCAATTCAAGTAAGCTTATGAGTGAGAGCTCATTACTATTGTCAAAGTAGTACAAAATGAGAACACTACTTAATTCATCAGCCCTTAATCATTCGAATTTATCAATATAGTCTAAAATATCTTCTTGAACAATGGTATGCCCACCCACAATATCATGTGCCTTATCAAATTACTTAGTTTCAATTTTCTTATTAGATAAAGAGGGGCACATCAATACTGCAATTGATGCCTTAGCTTGCATGCCTCACATGGGGGAGCTGACGGTGGCTTCAATTTCACACCCCCAAATTTTTGGACCTTGCTATTGTTGAATAAGAAATATTACAAGATTCTAAGCTAAAAGCCATTATGGATGAACTAATCAATGATTTAGCTACTTATCTTCGTTTTATCATGCACCATAATATGGTACTTTAAAAATATTGACTAGTTTAAGATGGTACTATTAATAGAAGCTCATGATTCATTAGTTGAAGGCCAACAAGTGTTTACGAAGGGCATATAAGTGATTATCACAACAAGTATTTTTGAAGGCATGAAAATCAATATTAAAAAATATGTGGAAAAATGTCAAGTCTGCCATAAAAATAAAATCATATCTTTGTTCCCAACGTCTTTTGCAACTATTTCTCATTCCACATTAGGTATGAGAATACCTTTCCATAAACTTTATCAAAAGTTTACCAAAATTGAATGACTTTCATACTATTATGGTCATAGTTGATTGACTCAATAAGTATAATCATTGTCTTCTTTTAAAACACTCATTTTCTGCACCACAAGTGACACAAACTTTTACAAAAGAGATTACTCATTTACATGACCTGCTTAAATTTATTATCTCTAACTATGACAAAGTGTTAGTTATATAAGTTGCAAGGAATTGAACTTCAAATACACATGAGGACTAGCAACCTTGGTCACATATAGACTAAGGTGGTGAATAAATCCTTAAAATCCTACCTATGATGTTTTATGTTGGATTGGCCAAAGGACTACCAATCTTGGTTACATTAGGTAGACTTATCGTATAACGAGGCCTATCATTCTTCTATCAATATTGCTCCATTCAAAGAAGTTTATGAGTGTGATCTACTTGCCATCATCAGCTATGGGCCTTTCCCTCTCTAATTTCAGCTATGGACCAACAATTGTTGGAATGTGATTAAATGCTCAAATTGCTCAAATCACATACACAGAACTTCTACTGTTAGATGAAATGTAAGGTGGATCGTCACCGTCACCCAAAAGAGTTTCAAATAAATGATAATGTCTATCTACGGCTTCGTCCTTACAAAATGAGGTCTCTGCATTACAAGGCAAACGAGAAGCTCTCTCCCTAATTTTTTAGGCCATAAAAATCTTTTCTTGAGTCGGCCAAACATCATAAAAGTTGGATCTTTCATCTTCATCATCAATTCATTCATCCATTATTTCATGTATCTCAACTATGTCAAGCCTTATCAACCAACAATCCTCATGAACTCTCACTTTCACTCACCACAGATATAGAATGGCACATCCAACCTCAAACAATCAAAGGTATGCAGAAGACACCAATTGGCTCAGAGGTTCTTGTCCAATAGGCAAATCTACCAAATCATGAGGCTTCATGGGAGGTAATTTGTAATATTACTCACCAATTTCTAGACTTTCACCTAGAGGACCAGGTAAATCTAGAGGGGGGAGAGTAATGTTACGACCTCATTACTAACATATAAAAGACATAATAGGGGTACATACACGTGTGAGGAACATAAATACAACTGGGGGGGGGGGGGGCATATGAATGGGAGAACAGTTCAAAGCTAGGAAAGGCAAGAGAATCCTCTCAAATTCATTTCCCAACCTTTTACTCTTCTTTTCCTCTTTCCTTTCGTGTACTTTGATAGAATTGTCATCGTGATGTTCTATCTCTACAACATTATCCCAAGTTTGAGGATCAATACAATTGTTTCTCTCCTAATTTACTCAGACCTGATCCTTCCAGAGAAGATTGTATCAACATCCTTATGGATGGAACGAGTAACTCTCTAAAGGCACTATAAAATAGAAAGCATCTTGGGATAGCAAAGAGCCGACTGACCACCACATTGACTCCAAATACAGGCAAATAATGTAGTCTAAGGTGCAATATAGGAGAAAGACTCAGACCCATGCTTCTTAGATATTGTATGTTTCAAAGTATTTTGTTTATTGGGTAACTGAACCATGAGCCATCTGGCGGGGAGCTCGTGGGGAAGAACCACTGAGTTTACACAGGTGCATTGCAGCTCAAAAGCCATCCATCAATGAGATTCGACCGCATGAGTACCAAATTCTTTCCTGGAAAGTGATTCAACATACTCTTTCCTGAAAAAGAAATCCGTACATTTCAGTATGTCGGAGACGTTTAATGCAGGAATCCACAGAACGAAAGAAAGGCAGGATGTAGTAATAGAGAAAGGAGAAACCAACTATGATCAAAGATGGTGTACCTGGCAGGGAGTTCGTCATGAGGGCGGTTGTAAGGAGTCCAGACTGGCTCACCTACGAAGAGCCTCATTGCCTGGAGAAAAAAGGAAGAAGAAAAATTTCCTCTTTTAAATCAATGGATCAAGATTAATAACCAACTACGAACAAAAGGGTAATCTGGGAAATGGAAATTGGTAAAAATGCAGACTGTGATTAATGCAGGGACTATGAGAATTTTTTTTTGTAAGGCACGACATCACTCCAACTAAGATGGGAAAAGAATGATCGACACAAATACCGAAATAAAGATCTACATACCTTTATGTAGTTGTTAGTATCCAGAGTAAATCGATGATACAATCCAGCAGGCAAGACGATCAACCCTCCTTTCTTGACTGCAACTCTGATCCAACGGTCATTTTCATCCCTCAGATCAAAATATCCTTCACAGCCACAGCCACAATGAATAAAGAAGTGTGAAAAAAAGACAAGGAGATGGCGTACAGTCATACTGTTTCTAAGATATAGTATTCTACATTCACCTCAGAAAACTCATTGGTGATGGATGATCCTTATGAAATGTGGAAAACACAATGCATGCCAAATATAATTGATCTGTTCCCTATGCCATTTGGATTCCTTCCATTCAATCAACCGGAATGTTTTAGTATTTCCCGTATTTTCATGACATTAATGAGATGAAAAAATGAAAAGGTGCTTCATAAGCAGAGGTATGGAATCGAAAAGCTTAAATTATTCTACCACTCCCATCCAGACAATAACGGATCTCTTCATCAGTGTGCAAGTGTTCTTCAAAAAAACTTTTGATCTTGGCTTCATAGTTGGGCAACTTTTCTGGGCACACTTCACATATGTCCTGTGAACCGGAAAAACAATCACTAGTCTTCGTATTTCCATCTCTTGAACACGTTCAGCAAAAAAGGACTAACTTTAGCCATTTAACAAACCATGTAAGAATAGCCCCTGGCTTCGCGAATTTTCCTCAGGTTTTCATCGGTTTCGTAAGCATCCGCATTCAGGCGCCAGCTTACAACTCCAAGCTCTGCAGTGTAAATTTTTTTTATGCATGCTAACTGTGAACCACTTGAATTAGTGGAGACAAGCACATAAATACGATTTTTTTAAAGCAAACCTAAAAGCTTGTCAAAGGAAACAAATTCCTTCGGTTCACGGTGATGAGGGAGTCTCTGATCCTCCTCTGAGTCGTCCATATACCAGGCTTCGAGAACATCTTCTTTACCTTCCTGAAGAGAAGGAAGATAGGGTCATTGGTGGGCTTCCATTTTTGCTACTTGTAGACATTAGAAAGTTCAAAAGCCAATGAATAAATTTGAAAAAGTTGATAATGAAGAGTAACTCATATCCATCTAATATCTCAGTCTTCTTGATTATGCAAATGTTCTCACGCTTAACTACCAGGCACAAGAGAATGCATGAAATCAAGTGGTACATACGTGAGCAACAATGGAGTAATCAGTCGCAAAGACCCATTTCTACTTCTGCGAGTAAAACACAGTGTATAATCTCTTGGTGGAGCAAAGAAGAGTTTTCTTTTAGAACATGGCGCACACGAAATGCCCTACGGTAACAATGGAACACTGCCAGACAATTATATTAGTTTTTGAGGGAAAACCATTGCAATATTATTCATGATCAGGGACAAAGAAGGCTAATCTCCAACATCTATTTGTTTCACAAGCATATAGGATAAGTACTACCTATGAGAGTATTCGAACAGAAAGGTGACACAAATAGATGGTCACATGATTTAAGAAAAAGCATTTCAATTTAAAAATTTTATTTTCATTAAATCACGAAAGTTAAATTTTTTCAGTCTTTAGAAGGGTATAAAAATGATATAAGTCATGCAGAAAGAGAAGGGGGCGAGGTGAAGATTCTCTGCAGAAGCAAAAAGTAGTCCATATTCAGAATATTTTTACATAGTGCATTCGTGAAATCACATAGAAGTCCAGCAGATTAAACAAAGAAAATCCATCCCAGATCTAAACCCCGGTTTAATCAGAAAAAAATCAAGGAAACATGATAGAACACAAAATTTAAAGACAAAAATGGTGGAAAAAGTTATAAGAGAGGGATCGACTGTATTGATGTATGTCAAAAATATGTTTTGAATACATTATCTATTTTGTTGTCGTGCGTGATAAACTTCACATTTTAATAGATACTGCAAAAATATCGAATCAGGGTAATGAAGACAGTTTTCAAGTGAAGTCGTAGGTAAGCATCTGACCAATATTTTTAAATTATTTAGTTGGATGGTGAAGAGAGATGCGGAATAACATGGAATAGGATCAAATTCCAGTACTCATAGGCTTCTAACAGATGAATGTAAGACTCGAAAAGTAAACAAAGCTAGGTAGAAATAAAAAAAGCGATATCAGAAATAAAAGAATCTGCCTTAGTTCTCTTCTTAATACCAATTAACCCAAAAACTTATGTTGACCCATTCATTTCTATCCAGCCCCTAATATTCAAACATCAAATATGATTGAAAACGAGAGAGAGAATAAAAAAAGGTGATGATTCTACATAAAAATTACCAGATTAGTATCCTAAAACGTCAACGGATTAGCTTTATTTTAACTTTTTTAAAAAAAATACATTCATATATCTTTTCAATTCCAGTTAGATGTCAAACAAAGGGGGAACTAACTTTCGCAACTTAACCATTCTACAACCGACCATATATGCCAGGTCCCCTTGCATGTAGGGTTCCCCAAAAATGCATTTGATGGATTCGAGCCTAACTTGAACAAGATTATAAAACAACATGGCGAAAGTTGTGATGAAAGGTATGTACGCAGAAATAACGAAAGAATCAAGGGAAAAAGAAGCTTCTGATGAAACACTACGTAAAATAAAGAATCAAGGGAAAAAGAAGCACAAACATTATGTCATTGGAATGCCAGGGGAACGAGATAATATCCAGTTTGTTAAAGAGAAACAGACAGAATGTAAGAGCAGCAGGCAAGGCACTGGAATAGGAGCCTAAAGGGGTTATTTCTGTAGTAAAAGAAATAAATGAGAATCTAAAAGGAAATATTTCCATAAATAATAAAAAGGAATTCTCATGTTTTCATAACCATTAAGACTTCTAGAAAACTCAAGCATGGTGATTTAAAGATCCTTCCTACGTAAGAGTTAATAAATAATAAATCTTATTCTTATAATTTCAGTATACATGTTTAAAAACCGAAGATGGCCCAAAAACTTCCAATGTTAAGGCACTAGCCATCTTGAGGCAAGGCAATGCTATCATTGACTGACTTGGTTTATTACTTGTTCCAATGCAAGTGCATCCTTTCTATTCTCAATGTCAAACAATATAAGTGGAAAATGTACTAGCATATGCTGAAAACCCGCCCTCCCCAGATGTTTATGATTAAAAATCTGAATTATCGGACAACCTGTTCGGATTTATGGCATAAGTTTTAGGCAAAAAAATGAGATCACTTATACAAATTTGATGAGTACATTAAAAATAGAAATATAGCTTCTGATGGTAGTAACTGCAGTAGAAACAGATAAATACAGCAGAATAATCTATTATAAAGGAAGCAAACGTGTCCTCAGCAGAGAACTCTCAAGTCATGAAATGGTAAAACTAATCTCATGGTATGGCATGCTAAAAGCTAAATGACTTCAGATAAAAGAAGCAGTGATGGATTGATCTAGAAATGATATTTAAAATTCTATTTAAGATTGAGCTTCTCAATCAGTAAAAAAGGAAGATATTATAATAATAAATATTTCAACCGGTAAGGTCTTCTAGGTCGAAATTCCAATAAGAACGTTTGAGCACATCAAGTTTTAAGATAAAAACGTTACATCATAGTGGCGCATAAGCCTGATAACTTAGAATACTCCTTGCATAAATGACATTCAAATTTAACAAACACAAAACACAAGCAACCTGGACAGTTATATCCAACAGGTGGAGATTCCTAAGCGAAAACAAGTTTCCTAACGCATTCTCCGAGCAGCCAAAAGATGAAACATGATATCGTAAGATTAAAATATTATGCTATATGAAAATTTGGCAGAGAATATGTTTAGTCAGAAAGACTTGAAATAAGCACAAATCGCGCGAAAGAGCCGATTTTGAAGCCTGAAAGAGCGATAAACAGACGGAATTGGAGAGAGGAATAACATATTCTCAAAGGCAATAGAAGAAGGAATGAATCGCTTATGGATCACCTGGAAAAAGTTCTCCATGTTCGCTCGCTCTCTGTTTCTCTCTGTTGTTTTTGTGGAAAGCAAGTCCTCCGCCCCCACCGGCCGTCTTGGTGAAGAATCCATTGTATGGTGTTCCCGGAGAACGTAATAAACTAGCCTACTCCAGCAAGCGGCGAAGCCGACCGATTCTCTCTCTGTGGGCTCGCCGAGGATCCGTCGTTGGATCACAGCATCATACGGCCAGTTCTCACGGAGAAATCTGTCTCAACCCATACCGCGAGTAGAGTTACCGACGTGGAAACGAACTGCACGATGGTTCATTGAACCCGGTCAAGTTTCCACAGCGGTTTATCCCTTTTTATTCCCTCCGTTTCCTCCTGACGCCACGTAATCGAGCCGTCCTCCAATCTTCTCATATATTGTTTTTCTCAAAATTAAAAATCCATATTTCACTTGGTTTATGCTTTATACTTGCCGAAAGATAAACAGTCATAAAACAGCATGTGGGCCGTAGATGGCAGTTTTTCTAATCCACGTGGCCAATCCAAGGACTCCCACAGGTGATGCCGGCTGTTTTCCGCACACGTCAGCACACGCGTGGCTGGTAAGGAAGATACTTGATTTTTATCATATTTTCCTCTTAATATTTTCTTCGTCCTTCCACTCTAAACTTAACGCCTAAACGACATATATATAAGTAATTAACGCGCATTTCTTTAGATTCAGAGAATATCCTAAAGATTACATTCATATGTAATATCCCTTTAAAAATAAATTATTTATATACACCTGAACATTATTTCTGAAGGATAATCGTGATTTTCGTAATGATGCAATTTTTTTCCCAATGAAATATAAATGTGTTTTTTGTAAGGGAGACGACTGCTGGTGTATGTGTAGGAAGTATGGACGAGGAACTCGCTTGCCATATTTTGATCGCAAAAAAATATGCTATTTACCTAAATCTACTAAAATATAATCGGCAAATACAAAATTTTGGAACCCAAACTCAGTCACTTTATTCTCCTCCTCTTCTGCAGGTAGTGTACACGGAGACAGAGAGGGAGAGAGAGGAGAGAGAGGAGAGAGAGAAGAGAGAGAAGAGAGAGAAGAGAGAGAAGAGAGAGAGAGAGAGAGAGAGAGAGAGAGGAAATGGTTCCTAATGGAATATGCGAGATACAAACTGCCGCGTAATATACCTTGGTTTGAATTCTCGTCAATCTTTCTTCCTCAATGCGCGAGAGCTCTTCGGAGCCTGAATTCTGCTCCTCTCGATGACCGTGCGGCTGATCCTTCTCCTCCTGCTCTGGTCGGCGATATCAGGCTCCTATGCGGCTGAGACGTCTACGTGCCTGACTGTCTACAAGGAGGGTGGAGCGCCGGCTGTCTTCCGATCCCCCAGGTGCCCCCGGTGGACTCTCTTCCACGAGGAGGACCATGGGCGGGGTCGCTGGTACGGCCAGGTGACGAACTGCCAGCTAGCGATGCACCAGGGGCGGAGGAGGTCTCAGGAGGACCGCGCCGTGTGCGCCTTCAACGTCCGCATCCCGTCCATCGGTACGTCTGCGTGGTATTTGTCTCTGATTTGCTTTGATCACAATTATTACCTAATAAAGTTTGTGTTCCGTGGACGAAATGGGGAAATCCGTTAGCGAAATTCTTCTCGACTTTTATTTATTCATTTTTTTCGCCTTAGTTGGGAAAAATATTCAACTCTACGCATACCATACTGCTAAAATTATATGTGAAAGAATGATGGTTGTGTGGTTTTGTCTGCAGATGCCCTATTCTAAAATGATGGTAGTCAAACCATTTAATCATTCAAGTAGCGATATCTCTGGAACGATCACAGAGCTGCTGTAAAGTTCAACAAGAAAGAAACGAGTGACTGGAATTTAGAACGAAGATGACAAAATTTTGTTGTCGCTGTGCGCTGTAGGCTTGCCGATTTCCTTCTCAAATACTTGATATCCCACTTTTCTTTGATAAATAAACACAGTAGAACATTTGACGTAGTTACTTCAGAAATTTGATTCAAATTGGATTCTAGCTTCCTTCAGAGAGAGGAAAAAGAGTGCATGGTGTTCATAAGGCCTTAATAGGAGTATGTTGCAAGCATTTGTAGAATATTTTTTTCCATGTTTTCCTTTTTATTTATTTTATTGTAAGCCACATCTTGTATCTTTTATTTCTGTCCTTACATCATTAGTGAATTATATTTTGATCGTTGAGGGCTCCACAGATGTCTTGTGGGTATTGCTTCTTTTAAAATCCGTCAACTTCTGCCCAGGTAAAAATTTGTTGAGGAAGGAAGTAAGCGTAGGCATTGTAGCTGTTTTTGATGGACATAATGGTGCTGAAGCGAGCGAGATGGCTTCACAACTATTTCTGGACTACTTTTATCTTCATGTGTATTTTCTGTTGAATGGAGCATATTCATCTATCTTCAGAAAATCAACTGAGAAGTTTGAAAATAAAAGGGTGGGGGATGTGGTGCTTCATGGTGTCAGACTGGATGAGGGCCCAGGCCAAGATAATGCATATCCTGGAAGGTGTGTCGCCTTGCTGTCTTTTTTTTTTGGTTTGACCACTCTCTCTGGACATCTTTTACTACCGTATATATATGCATTTTCCTTTAAATGATATATATTCATTTCTCCTTAAAAGGTCAACTGAGAAGCTGACTTACGAAGGGAAAGGTGATGTGATCCTAGAACGTTTCAAATTGGGCACGCAACAAGATCAGCACAATGTGCATCATGGATGGTTCTCATTTGATATTATTTTTCCTGTTCTATTTTTTTATTTTGAACTGTGCCATGTTGCATGACTTCGTGTGTTTATTGAAGTTATCAGGTGCAAAATCACTAGTCACAGAAATGTTGTCGCATGAGTTTTTGTTCGTTCTATTTTACTGTTCACTAAAATCTGTCATTTTTTTCATGTTTGTATGGATGAGTCACGCATGCATCTGTGAAATGTTCAAAGTAAGAATGGCATGCATGGTTTTTAAAAGTAAGATTTCTTCAGTAACGTCAGTTTAAGACTATATATAATTGTCCTAAGAGAAGCGGCTGTGAAGCACTAGTTGGGCTCTGTGAGCGAGCAACATAACTTCATATCAATAGTTTGCAGTCAAAGGTGCTACATAGGGGAGGAACATCTTAAACTAATATTTATGGAAATTTGGCGCGACAGATTTGATCTTAATGTCTTTTGGATTCAACAAAGGTTATTATGATCATTGTCTCATCTACCGGGTAAAAGTAATCCGAATATGAACTGTTAAAGTTTATTGATTAATGTTCTGAAATGAAATGTTGAGATTCATAATCAGCATCCTCCTTTTTCTCCACGCTTGTGGTGCTAGGTTTGTGGTACCTTTATGCTCCAAAGTGTGAAAAACTGTCACTTTCATTTATTTTTATCGAAATTTCACAAGTTTGACCACAGGTGTTTCCATCAAAATCATAGGTCCAGTTGGATATATCCTAAATCATATGATGGGGAACTTCTGTTTGAGATACTAAGGGAATCATTGTTAAGGGCAATCCATGATATCGATGCAACATTCTCTAAGGAAAGACTTTCCCCCCTATTTTACTCTCTGGTTTTATCATCACTATCTTTTCTTTCCAACCATCTTAAAGACGCAAGTATTCTTCACCTTGTGCAGGAAGCTTCTCGAAAGAGCCTTGAATCTGGTTCAACTGCCACGATTGTTCTTATAGTGGAAGGTGAAATTCTTGTTGCCAATGTTGGCGACTCCAAAGCTGTCATGTGCTCAGAAAGTCGTCATCATCCAGGTCTATGGATACTCTTTTTTTCCGTAATGCAGAGTATAAAATGTTAATATGTCACCCCTTGATTGAAGTAGGCTGGCGCAACACGAGTCTAATCATTGTCTTTATTGAAATTAATTTTTTGGGAATCCTATTTTTATTAATTTTGCATTACGTTTCCTAGGCAAGAGTTCAAAGTTTAGGAAGAGGAAACGAAATAAAGACATTACCCTATCCAATGAAGATAAAGGGAGTGTTGGTTTTATGAATCATGCTGGACTTCAACTCTGTGCTAAAGAGCTGACCAAGGACCATCACCCTGACAGAGATGGAGAAAGAAAAAGAGTGGAAGCTGCTGGTGGATTCGTTCAAGATTGGGCTGGTGTGCCAAGAGTCAATGGTGAGTTAGCAGTGTCACGGGCTATTGGTGATGTGCCATATAAAAGGTGAGTTTCACCTTTTTGAGAAGTATTATGGTATCCATTCTTTCTTATTTTCCGTGAGAAACTAGTCACCTTTTTCCTGAGAAACGCTTGGGTCTTCATATTACATTCGCAGTATCTTTGTTGTGTTGTACTGGTTAGCAATGGACTGAAAAACATTGCATGAAATCCATTTAGATTGTTTATTCAGTTTTTCTGGTCATAATTTATGAGAAATGAGTAGACTTCTCTCTTTTATCTACCTCAGTTTCTTCTTCTTCTAAACATCTGTCTTGGATGACAACTTCGTGTGTTAATTGATTACTTTATATATCATCGTATTACTTTATTTTACTTCTAGCTTGAATCCAAATTGATGAACTATCTTTTGATGGTTTGATAGTGAGGGTTTGGTCTTAAGCGAATCTCAACATCCATAAGAGTTCTGTGCACTATGATTGATATATGAAGCAAGTTGTCCCGTTAAACGAGACCCAATGTGTCATTTATATCAACAACATTAGTGTGTGTGAAGTAATGTGATTAATGAGCTTGTTTCATGATTAACATAGAAAATAGAAAATCCAATCCTTCGAGATTAACACAGAAAGATAAAATTGTGGCCTTGTGATGTAGTTGATAGTAACATCTGTGTTCTAGGGTATTCATTTTGTGACCTGTAGGCAATTGTTGTGGATAACATCTATTAAGTCCTTATTTGATAATAATTTAAAGTTATTTTCAGGTAAAATAACTTTAAATTATTAGTTTTCTTTATCTTGGCTGCAATTTGGTATGGGTATTTCACTGCATATTTCTTCGGTATTATGTCTGTTCTTGAGGTGATGGATGACAAGATTTATTCAGTTATTTGGTTTTTTCATCGGATGATATCTTTAAAAAAACCTGACAGAGTCAGGCAGATAAGATTGCAGAAATTTAAACATGATGTAGGGTTTATTTGATGCACAATAAGACAAATTAAGGGAATGGTACTCTCTATGATTCTACAAATAAATTTTCCCAGTTGGATGGTCGGTGGATGGATTTCTATTTTTGTTGGAAATGATAGTCCGGCTTCACTTGCTGGAGTGGGATCTGTAGATGAGATCAGTGGAGTTGGGTTTTGTCTCATGACAGGGTCCACTAGAAACCAAAAGGGGAGGTGGAAAAGAGAGCTATGACAAACTAGTCGGGAGAGGGAAGAGGAGGACAGTGGATGATGTTGAACGTTGATTGCAATTGACAACTGTGGCAGTGACGTCGGGCTTCATGCCGTAGAAGAAATCCTAGAAAGAAAAGCCATTTGTGACAATAAAATGCTTGTGCGACTATATTGATCTAGACGATTACAAAAACTAAGCGACTGTAATGCAAATAAATCCTGAAACATAAGAGTTCACAAGAAAAATCCTAGAAAATTTGAACGGACCTAAAAATCTTGCTTTTTCAATATTTGGATGAGACATACAAAGGAAATAGAAACTAACCGTGAATGAAGTTTGTTTTTATTGCAAATATAAATCCAGAGCTAGGTTCTTTATTTTTCTTCAAGCATCTGTCCTCTTTTACTCTTCACGAATAAACACCTTTGGATTATTAATATTCCATTCTTCTTCATAAAAATTAGGTATGGAGTCATATCTACACCTGAAGTGACGGATTGGCTGCCTCTATATAATAATGATAGTTATCTTGTTGTTGCATCTGATGGGATCTTTGAGAAACTGACTGTTCAAGAAGTTTGTGATCTGTTATGGGAAGCAAGTTTCAGAGAAAATATAAATTTGGAGCTTATTTCTACCATGAAACATGTGTTGGCTGATCTACTAGTAAAGGCTGCATTTGAAAGGGGTAGTATGGACAACATGGCAGCCATAGTGATTCCACTGGCATCTAATATATCTTCTCCAAGGAGAGATGAGGATGAATATGACTCTAAAGAATGTGCCGACTCAGCTCGTGTTTCAATGGGGAAATATATGAAGTCAGGTGACTCAGCAGTTTCATTATCGCAACTTGATTTTGTATGCTTTTTCGCTGTTGCTTAGATCTTATAATGCTTCTTGTTACCTTAATTTTTTAAACAGAACTATTTTGAATCTGATTTTCCATACCATTTTAGGATTTTTTGTCTTTGTTACCTGTTACACGTTATTTACATATTTCTAACATTATTTTTGATTTTCACATTTATACATCATTTGTTCATTTTAAAAGTTACAGGCTGTGATCTGGTTTGTTTCATGTTAAGTCTCAACTGCTCATTTCAACCAGAAACAGTAAAGAGACGTAGAATTTTACATGTAGAGAATGTTGTGCCAGATGAAAAAGGTAGTATATAGAAATCTCAGTATTAGAAATATTTGGACATGCGTCATCCTGGACAGGAATACGAGACAAAGGCAATTTCTTGAGTTTGTATCATCATATTTCTGCATATGAAAGTGTCTGGTCCAATCAATTTCTTCAATTCTTCATTTTTGTACATGTTATATCATTTTTATGATCATGAGAAGGCATACATTTTCCTTAACTATTATCATTTGAGTATATACAACAATATGCTGTCATGAAAGGTAGTGTAGTCTTGTTGTGTCCATGCCATCTTGGTAATAGAATTTTTTTTAGGTTTGGCAAAATATGAAGACATTTAGAATTAGTTCTAAATTTATGTCCTCCATCAGCGTAAAAATCTTGAAGATCCGAATAATAGAATCCTCTCTTTCATCCCCACTAGTCTCATCCACTCATTCATCTTGTTACATGCTCACTGGAAAGCCTTGTAAAATGTGATAATCTCCCTCCTAAAATGATGTCTATTTCTCTCTGTCTAGAGTCTAGGTAGTTATTTAGCAGGGCTTACAATGGATCATCTTGCATCTCGTTATTTAAATTGTTGAATCTCTTTATATATTGACATTTCTCTTGTATTTCGGCCACTGTCCTCCTCATCCTATTCCATGTTATAAAGCTACTGCAATAGTGAATGCTAAGGTCTTGCGCTGCCTTGAAGAGAAGCTAGAGGTGCTCTTTGAAGTAGACGTGTACCCACCCAGTAATCTTTGCAGAAAGTCTTTTTATTCATTCTGTCTACAAATATTTGATCTAATTGCTATTGCATCCCAGGCTTGCAGAAAGTACCATCCATGCTTATGTGGTTCTTTTGATGTTACCTGGAATAATATCAGAAACTTTTTTGCTATAGTTGCACCTCAGACTAATAACATCTAACCATATTCCCTCGTCTTTAGTGCCTGATTTTCAAAGCCATTTTCTTGAGAAGGCAATATTGAAATTTTTAATAAGAATAATGCCAAGTGCACTAAATTCTTTGCTCTTTAAAATGTTTCTATAGTTCATATCGAGTCTTTCATGATCTGTAAAGAGTTTCATTGATTGACGAGAAGATGGAGCAACACCTAGTTACCCTATATGTTGAGATAGATGGGAGAATAGATGGGAGAATAGATGGAACAGCAAAAGAACATCAGCCACCTTTTTAACCATCCTTAATCGCTCACACTGAGGTAGTGCTGTAAATGATACATGCTTTGTGGGTCCAGAGGTAGCCTAATGGGTCCAAGGTCTAATGGGCCCAAACGACCCAAACTACATCTTAACATTTCTCAACAATATGTGTTACCATTATCATGTTGAAAAGATTGGATAAAATAGGCTGTAGTTTCTTGGTGTCTATCTTTGGTATTCTAAACATCGAAATATAGTATAAGGAAAGCTAGACAGTATTGATTTACATAGCATGTGTGTTACTCGAAATGGCAAAACATTCTCGTTGGAACCAGTTTAATGACTATAAGTCTTGGTGAAATAATTTTCTTGTTGCAAATAAAATGATGTTTAATTGTGAGGCCCTTGATTCAATTGTGGGAGATCTCCCATCTCATAGTGTAAAAGTAGAGCTAACCCTTTTTGACATTTCTCTTTACATCAATTGAGCCACTTTGGTGCCAAACGTGTCAACTTGTAGTTAGTGGGCAGGTGAAGGTGTTTAGAGAATACAATGCATAATAATTTGGAAAAAAATGTGAGTAGATAATGCACGGTGAAGGTATCATTTGTGAGTTTTCTTGTGTACCTCACCAAATGTTTTTAGCATAAAAGAAGACTAGAGATTTCTAGAGCATCATTTTTCTACATCATTTGCCAAAAGGACTATGAATAGAAGCTGTGCTAGTAGCTGCATATCGAAGTAGAATGCCATCTAGAGGTGTTTTTGTTTGCTACACCTTACTTAAAAAGGATTCAAATGCTTTGACACAAGTATGTTAAAGGATGTTATCTGGATTTGTGATTTCCTCAAGTTTCTAATACGATCCCCTTCTCTCCTCTTGGACAAAGAAAGCCAAACAAACAATGTATTCAAAGAAAATAGAGAAAACAATGAATAGACAGGAATTATTTCGAAAGAATTTCCCACTCTCCTTTTCCTCTCTTGACCTTTACCACAATACCCTCTTAATCATAGTGGAGGGTATTTATATTGTTTAGCCTGTTCCTATCCTAGTGTTTACTATGAAAACTTCTAGACTATTTTCTTACGGCAGACATGTCTTTAGGGGTACCGTATCAATACTCCCCCCATTTAAATCCACCTTGTCCTCAAGATGGAAGTCAGGAAACTGATGCATTATCTCTAAAGCTGCTTCCCATGTTGCTTCGAATTCGGGAAGACCTGCCCATTTGATTAGGACCTTAGGTCCTATTGTGGGCTGAAGCTTTCAACAAGATTCGGGCTCAAGTCTGTATTTGAGTTCCTATGTTAAATTTAGAGGCAGGGTTGTACATGATCTTGAAGTCCTGTTGCTCTGCGTAGCTGTGATACATGAAACACTGGGTGAATAGAAGAGTCGACTGGAAGATCCAATCGATAGGTTGACTGGCCCACATGATGGAGGACCTTATATGGTCTTTAATACTGTGGTGCCAATTTTTCATTTGGTTTTTTGGCTAGAGATTTCATCTTGAAAGGTCGAAGGTGAAGGTAGACAAAATCTCCTTCCATAAATTGAACATCTTGTCTCCTTCTATTAGCCTTATATTTCATAAAGGTTTGAGTGAGATGTAATTGGTCTTTGATGATAGTGAGCATCTGATCTGTCTTGTAGTTATTGATCTACTATAGAAAGAGGTGAGGGGGAAATTCCATATTTGATAATAGTAGGAGAATCTTGTCCATACAGCACATTGAATGGGGTTGTTTTGAGAGATGAATGGTAAGTAGTGCTGTAGCAATTCTCAGCCCAATGCAACCATTTACTCCATTAAGTAGGTTTATTAGATGTAAAACATCTTAAGTTCTCAAATATTTGTTGACAACCTTTGACTGCCCATTGATTTAAGGGTGGTGTGTAGTACTCATTTTTAATTCAACACCTTGTAATTTGAATAGTTCATTTCCAAAATTACTAGTAAATTTTTTGTCACGATCTGAAATAATTAATCTTGGCATACCATGAAGTCGTACCACTTTATTGGAAAAGATAAGTGCAACCTCAGGAGTTGAAAATGAATATTTTAGAGGAATAAAGTGACAGTATTTACTCAATCTGTCCATGACAACCAATATAGAATTGAAGCCTTTAGATCAAGATAATCTCTCCAAAAAATCCATAGTTAAGTCTTCCCAGATTTGTGTAGGCACTGATAATGGTTGGAGTAGATCTGCAGGAGCAAGTGAAGATTTCTTGTGTTTTTGACATGTTGCACACTCATCAATATATCTTTTAATTGACTTTTTCATGCTGGACCAATAGACATTATTAGAGGCTCTTCGATAAGTTTGAAGAAATCCAACATGTCCACCACTTGGGCTATCATGGAATTCTCTTAAAAGAATTGGAACAAAAATAGATTGAGCTGAAATTACCAGTTGTTGCTTATGTAGCTATATTCCTTGCTGCAATGAGTCATGAGAGATGTGCCTGAGGGTCTTTAAAGAGATTGTAAATAATGAAAGATAACTTTGAGTCATGAGATATTTCATTTTTGATCTTAGTAAAATCAATCAATTCAAAATATGACAAACATTTCTTGTAGTTCTGTGCTAGTGAAGAGGCGAGATAAAACATCTGCCACTTTATTATATCTCTCCGCTTTAAATTAAATTTCAAAATTCAGACCCCATCAATTTAATCAACCACCTATGATAAGGATTTAGTACAATCTTTTGCTCAAGTAAAAACTTTAAGGACTTTTGATCTATGCAGATTATAAATCTTTGATGTAACAAGTAATGGCGCCACCTTTGGATAGACCTTACTATAAAAAATAATTCTCGTTCATAGGCTGATTTAGTTTGTAGCTGGTTTGATAGATTTTGACTGAAATAAGCTATAGGTCTACTTCTTGTATTAATATAGCTCCAATGCCATAATTTGAAGCATCTATTTCAATGATGAATGCCTTCAAAAAATTAGGTAAGGATAATACTAAAGTTGTAGACATTGCCTTCCGTAATTGATCAAAAGCACATTGGGCATCTTGATTCTAGCAAAATGATTTCTTCTTCAACAGATTAATCATGGGTGCTGCAATTAAAGCATATCCTACCACAAAACGGCGATAGTAACTAGTTAGTCCTACGAACGATTGCAATTCGCGAATATTTTTGGAATTGGACAGTTTGTCATAGTATCAATTTTTCCTTAATCCACCATTACCCCTTTGGCAGAAATCTAGTGCCCAAGATATTTCAGTTTGTGTTGGCCTATGTGACACTTCTTTGTGTTCACATTTAATTGGTTCTCAAACAGTACTCAAGATACTTGTAAGAGGTGTTGTTTATGTTGATCTTGGTCTTTACTATAAACTAGAATGTCATCAAAAAATACCAGAACAAATCGACGAATATATGGTCGAAAAATCTGGTTCATCAATGACTAAAATATAGTAGGAGCATTCATTAAACCAAATGATATTACCACAAATTCATAATGCCCCTCATGAGTTTTAAATGCTGTTTTAGGAATGTCATCTTTCTTCATTTTGATTTGGTAGTAGATAGATTTTAGGAAGAAAAGTAGAGAAACGTTTGAATTCTTGTTTATAATTAGATATAGATCCTCCCTCTTTGATATTAAGAAATTGTTGATACATGTTTCCCGCTTTGGAAGTTCCAAAATGCCTCTCAAGCTGGCTGCGAAAATCCTACTAATTCTTGAACAGATATCTATCCTCTGTCCAAATATATTTGTCCAAATATACCATTCCAATGTAATATCATCTAAGTGTAAGTTGATTACCTCCATTCGTTCTTCTTCTTGAATTCTGTTGATTCAAAAATATCTCTCTACACATCGGAGCCATCCTTCCGGATTGCTTCTTTTGAAGATGTTGAGATCTCTTTTCTTTACTTGTTTGTTTTCGTCCGAAATTTGATTTGAAACTGGTACAAAAGTTGGTACCTCAGGTTGTGAATTGCCTCTCTCCTGTTGCTCATTCTCTAGAGAGTTTCTGACTGATTCAGATGTCATATTTGCTGTTGGATCCTTCTTTTCTAATGCTAATAGCTTTTCACTGATGGATTTCTTCAATTCGTCAAACTTCTCGTCCATCCGTTGAAGGAATTGTTGTTGCAGATCTGTCGATTCTGATTTTGATTTCTGTAGCTCCTCTCTCGTATGCCTTTATTCTTCCTTAATTTGTTCTGCATCAGTCTCCAATACCTCCAGGTGATTTTTTGCAATTCTTGATCCCATACCTCCAGGAGCTTGCTCTGATACCAGTTGATAGGATCTCCTTCTCTCCTCTTGGACAAGGAAGTGAAAACGAACAATGTATTCAAAGAAAACAAAGAAAACAATGACCAGACGAGAATTAGTTCGAGAGAATTCCCCACTTTCTCTTTCCTCTTGTGACCTTCTACCATGATAACCCCTCTTAATCATAGAGGAGGGTATTTATATTGTTCAGCTTGTTCCTATCTCAGTGTTTACTATGAAAGCTTCTAGATTGTTCTCTTACGACGGACATATGTCTTTAGGGGAACTGTATCAGTTTCTTCCTCATGTTATTCTTTCTTATCTTGTTTAGACTTGTTCTCTTTGACTCTTGTGAGATTGTGGTAAGATGTCTAGATTGGTGTTGGTCTAGTAGACTTAAAAAGTAACAGGCTATGAGTAGGTACACTTACCTAACTGATAGCATGTTGACCTCTTTATTAATCATTACGAACTTATTTTATTCTCTTGGCTTTGTCATGTCGACAACTGAAATAAGGTGCATATACCCCAAAGTAATCAGTTGCTCGGTTATGTTGTTAAAATTATTTGGAGATCTAATTGAAAAGGAACAAGGCAATCTTGGTAAGCACTATTAATAACTAGCATGGGACTATCTCTAACAAAACATATCTTTGTAATGGAATGAGATTATCATATCTTCCAAAACTATAATAACAGTATTCATGATTTTTGAAGATTTACAATGTAGTTAGTGGATTGAACTTGCTGAAGGAATGCAGAGCTCATAGGCAGTATATGGGTGACTAAGTCCTTAGGTGAATCTATTGGAATATCTTGCCAACATTAATAATAAAGATTGTGACAGATCCCACCAGACATTGATTGGTACCTCAGCTTAGTGTCAACTGATTTCTAGCTAGGTCTCTTTGTAGAATTATTAAGTTTTTCTCTATGGTTAGAGTAGGAAGTGTAATGAGATTCTTGAAGTGCATTAGATCCATGTAAATGAAAACAAAAGGAATGTTTTCATGTTAACTGCTTTCTAAAATTTTGCATTTTTATGCCTCTGCTTTTTTAACATTATCATTAACATGTGGTTTTTTAAAATGTCGTCATTTTTTCTCCATGGTTTGCTAAAATAATAATTATTCAGAACTTAGTCATTTCAGAAACACCATTGTCATAAGAATGCCTAATGAAATATTAATGTTATCTTCTATTTTTGTAATAAACCAAAAAGTATTGAGAGGAAGGATTTTTATCTGAATAACATGGAACTCCTGTACTGGGGATATATCTGGGTCTTATCGTTTCCATATCATTTTGGCATCATTATCATTCTGTTGAGCTATTTTTTGTCTAAATTATTTGTATGATGTTTTGTGTTAACATATGATACTTCTCTCCCACAGATAGGGATACAATCACTTCTACCAGTCTTATATCAATGGAGTACTTCAATCAGATTGAGACAAAATTCAAGAAACTGCTGGTAAACAAAGAATTTTAGTTTTGAGGGTGCTATGTTTATTAATTTATTAAGTTATCATGATTGGTACAAGTACAAGGATAAATTTTTGATAAGAGTTAGTGAGCATATTTAAAAGTAACATTAAATAACAGGATTAAAAAATTATGAAAGGGAGTTTTACCCAAATAGCTCTCATTTATACAGACGAGTGGTAAATTATTTTGTTCTTCATTTTCCTGTCTTTCTTTCCTCTACTTCATCCTCTACTTGTTGCAGTTTGCAGACTGCATTTTTATCTTCTTCTTCTTCCACTTTATCTTTTCTGCTTGCGAGTTATTTTATTCTCTGATCCCCCTGTCTTGTTCTGCCTTTGAGCTATTTGTTCTCTGCTTTGTCCCCTATATAGTTCTTCTTCTTCTTCTTCTTCTTCTTCTTCTTCTTTTCTTATGCCTGCAATTTCTTCTGTTCTTCATTTTTGTTTCTATTCTCCTTCCATCTCTTCATGTCACATCTTGCAGCTTCCATTACATCTCGTTTTTAAAAAAATTATAATTGATAGAAACAAGGAGTACACAAAGGAGAGAGGGAAGAGAGAGAACTTGACACCAAACCCTAATTGAGTGACTGAATGTATCTAGATAGGCCAATATGGCTTAGACCCATATGGGCTGACATCACCATGACCTAGATTGGCCTATAATATTCAATACCCCCCCTCAAGTTGGAGCATAAATGTTATATGCACCTAGCTTGTTACATAGAAATTGTACTTAATGACCATTTAGAGACTTAGTGAACACATCTGTAAATTGATTTGTAGAGCTAATGGTGGTGACAATCAAGCTGTGCCTAGATCTTCTCTTTGATGAAGTGACAATCAACTTCAATGTGTTTTGTCATCTCATGGAACACATGATTATAATAAATATGAATTGCTGCCTAATTATCAAATATAAGCTTCATAAGACCTTCATTAGGAAAACTAAGTTCTTTAAGAAGATGTTTGGTCCATATAAGTTCACATGTAGTATGTGTTATTGCCCTATATTTGATTTAGCACTTGACCATGAGACTACAAATTGCTTCTTATTTTTTCAAGAAATAAGATTGTCACCAAGGAAAATATAATAGCCAGTAATAAATCTCTTGTCTACATTGCAACCAACGCAATCAACATCTGAAAAAGCCTGCACTATGAGATTACCATTATTTTTGTATAGCAGTACTCTACCTAGATTACCCTTGAGATACCTCAATATCGGCATGATTGCATTGAGATGCTTGATGTGTGGTCGTTTCATGAATTAACTTGGTACGCTAGTAGCAAAAGAGATATTTAGCTGAGTGATAGTCAGATATTTTAATTTGCCAACTAAACGTTTGTACCTCCTTAGATCCTCTAACATGTCATTTTCATCAAATGATAATTTCAAGTTAGGGTTCATTGGAATAGTAATTGGCCTTGTACCTAATATACCTATCTCTACAAGAAGATTAATGACATACTTTCATTGATTGCTTGCAATCTCCTCCTTGGATCAAACAGTCTCAATCCCGAGAAAGTATTAGAGATTATCAAGATATTTGGTGACAAATTGCTCTTATAAGAACTCCTTGAGTCGAGGGATATTTGTATGATCATCTCCAGTGATAACAATGTCATCAATAACATACAATCAAAAAAATATGACCAATAGAAGAATTTCTATAAAAGATAGGATGGTCAACCTCACATTTCTGAAGACTAAACTGTAATATAATATTACTGAACGACGAAACCAAACATGTGGAGATTGCTTTAGATCGTAAAGAGACTTCCGTAGGCAACATACCAAGGTACATTCCCCTTGAGCAAAAAAACTGTGGTTGCATCATATAAATCTCGTTTTGCAAGTTACCATGATGGAATACATTCTTGATATCTTCACCATATACTTGGGTGAAGCCTTTAGCCGCCAAGTGAGCTTTTAATCTGTCCATGGAATCATCTAGGTTAACTTTAACAATACATTTATCAAATGGTCGTGAAAGCAGACACCATCTGCTATTCTATTAGCCGTGGTCATCTCTTCCTCCATAGTTGCACGCCACCTAGGATGACCTAGTGCTTTTGAAACATTTTTAGAGATAGGTATATCTGATAGAAATGAAACAAAGGCAAAATAAGTTGGAGACATGTGAGAATAGGAGATAAGATTAGACATGGGGTGAAGGGTGTAAGGCCTCTTCCAGTTTTGAAGAGCAATGAGGAGATCCAAGTTACTTGAATATAATCCCAATATTCATTGTGAACCGGGTACAGGTCCTTTATAACATCCCAAGCTAGATGTTAAGACAAAGTTGAATATAACTGATTTACGTGTCTGTACAGGAGGACCTTAACATTTAATGGCTGTGCCATTAAATGTTCTAGAAAAATTTAATGGCAAATGCAGCAGTGTTTAGAATGAGAATTGTTCATGCAAGTGATGGTTTCTAGAACATTATAAATGGCACAGCCATGTTGTAGGATGTTATCGATATTTTGTAGGTCTATGTTTTTCCTTCAGTTTTTAGAAAATGAAGTGATAGACGAGATAAATTCAGTTTTATGCTTCAGAAGGGTTTTTGAGATTCTATTGCCTATGTGCGGCAAAGTGCTTAGGGTTAGAACATTAGAAGCAGATAGGAAACCTTTGACAGTGTATTTTTCTGATAGGAACGTAGTCTCTGGTTGTTCAGGCGAGAGTTAAGCCTTAAAATGCAGTAAATAAACAGATTGTGCTAACCTGTAATTTGACTCACGAAGTGAAATTGGTGTTTTAGTTGCATGCTCGTTGCAAAATCTGCAATGACTGTATTCTATGATTGAACTCTCATGGATTTCTTTGGTTGCAAGTTTAATGTACGAATTTTTAGTTTTGTAGCTTCAGATAAATTTATTTGTGAGTTATTTCTTTCATTGCTAGGTAAGCAGGTTGTCATGATTCTCAGTAGTGCTTTTCTTTCATTTTGTATCTCAATCTTGAAAACTTTTTCAGATTGTTTAAAGTTTCATCTTTTGCCAAATTTCTTTTCAAGTCAGACAACACTACCACCCTTATTGTTTATTCAGGTTAAAGCTGATTACAGGAGAGATGGGTGTTTTTATCTAGCAGAAGATCTAAATGAAAATTCGGATTATGTTTTTCGCGCTCCAAAAGATCACCGGAATGATGAACATAATGAGATAATTCAATCTTCACCGGAAGGACTAAATTATGATAGTAGTGAGTGTGATCCTTCACTTGATACTGAACTAAATAACAGCTCTTTTAATGCCTGGTTTTCTTTCTTCTCTTTGGTTTTAGATATTTATTATTTTTTCCTTGGGATTAACCTTGCTTAAACTAATGATTTTTTTTATTTTTTATTTCGAGCTTGTTTAGCTACCTCGAAACCTATTCTTTGCACCTAAATGAAGTATAACATGTTTCAGGTGCGTGGCCTTTAAATTTGTATAATGGTCAAAATTTCTGCTGGGACATTGATATGGGCAGCGAAAATGCGGAAGGCCTATGTGTTAACCCTGAAGGCTTTGTAAACTTCCTTGGTTTGCTTAGTTCTATTCCTCTGAATGACTCGGGATCTAATTCCTCAGAATCTTTTAATGATATGAACGCTGGTTTTAGGTTCAGTTCTCCTCTATTCCTTTATTCTTGTGACGATATTTGTTTGAAACTGCTTATCCCTTTCATATTCGTGTGGAATTTTTGGAGATGCATTTGTAGTGTTTCTAAGAACGAAAAGTTACAGTGATTGGATGGGACAGGAATGACTAGTCGATGGCAGCGATCCCATCTAAATCTTATGGCTGAAATTTACTGATGTGTGCGTGTTGGGTTTCGCAAGTACATTTCCCCCCAGAATAATTCACCATGCTATTAAACCTCCAGAGATGAACAATTTGTCGGATTTTGTTAGTACCTGTGCTTTTTATTGTTCTATGGTTTGTTGTTATGCATGTGCATATGTTATAAACAACTTTTTTGATAGGACTGTGAATGGAATGATGTATGTACATGATAGAGTTGGTGCACTTAAGAATTCTAATTGGGATTTCTGACTTGAACTCTTATTCGGTGAATTATGAATATTTGTCGAATCACTTCAACGGCTACTGCTAAGGTAAAATTCTATGGTATTGAATACGTTGAAAACAAAGGCACATAATTATGACTAATTTTTAGTCTGGTATCTCTAAAATAACCACTAATTGAAATTGGAATTTCTAGAAAATTATTTTCCAAACAGGTCCTGAAGAAGTCTGAAAAAGTGAACTAGCTATGTCTATTATTGGTGGGGCATAAAGCTGATTTATCTTGAAATTGTTGAGTTTAGATTTTTTTTAAATTAGGGTAAAATTTTTCATCATTAAATAATATTAAATAATGGTTCTTTTCAATTTAGCTTGTCATTGATCTGAACTAGGACACTTTTTGGTTCTTTTATATAATAAAGATTGAAGTATCAGACATGAATGACAATCAGGTACACTAAGTAAGATTTCCTGCCTACTGGTTTGCCCTTCTGATTGGACTGCATCTTAGTGTAGTAGAATTCTGTTTATTCTAGGCTGTTAACTGGCACATAGCAGACAACATAGGAACAAACCTCCTGTTCTATACACCCTTTAAAAAAGTTGTTAACCCTAAATTGCATTTGGCTGAAATTTTATTATAATACAAAAAAAAGACTCTAAATATGAACTGAATGTCGGTAATTACATAATATTTATCATATTCAAACTGTTATGAGGACATTAGAGTCACCCGTACACAGCTCAAAGTCTGCACACAAAGGAAGCACGACTGTACTTGTTGAATAATGTAATAAGCATTTCTTTTACTGATTTGCATAGTTCATTGAGTCTAAGTCTATCTTTGAGTATTGTTTTCTGTTTCTACAAGTATTTAGGGTCAACGCTTCAGGCTATCCAAAGCGTTTTCACTACATTTTAGAAGTAACTAAGGCCTAAGTTCCAGCTGATTAGCAATGGAAACTGTCTGTATTTCTCGGTCAGATCTAGGAGAACCCCTCCAATGGCCTCATATGGCTCCTATATAACGGAAGCATAAATTGATGTTAAAAGGGAAAGATCCTTTTGAAATTTATGCTCTCAGCTCTTTGTCCCCGAAAAAAATTATTTTGAACGAAAATTTTGCTCGTAACTTTTTTTGCTAGAGGGTCATGAAGGTCCTACTCTGATGTAGATTTGGGGACCCAAAGCATGAATCTGAGGGTTTATTCGTCCTTGAATGATACCTAGCGTCATTTAGCCTTATGGTTGTACTCATTTCTAAATTCCCACCTGCCAAATGCCTTTTTCTTATCTACCTTTAACACATCAAAAATTGTTACACTAGTCAAAGGAAGTTTTCGTACGATCACAGTCTGGTTTTGGAAGTGAGGGACCCTGTCACTGATCCTAGCTACAAGAGGATATTTATTTATTTGGCTAACACTCATTTAAATTGTTGTGCACCGATCTGTCTCAAAATCAGTCAGATGCATGGTGAAATCGATTGAGGGCATGATATCTTTTCTGGAGGACAATGATAGGTGATACTAATATTGCATGACGACGTTATATTCTCATTGACCGGTGAGATTAATGAAGGTCTACATTTGCAATAAGGAAATGAATGGAGTTGTGCCAAATTGAAGATAACACTCGGTCGTAATGAGAGGAAGTGCGAATTCCTGGAAATATTCAGATAATATGCAAGTAAATCTTTGCCATGCTATAATCTCTTAAAACGTCTTATACATTGCTTAGATCCTAAAACCACACATTGGAGGCCATTCTATGTGTTGAACATTCCCAGAGTAACATACTCAACTTCTTTCTCGTTATGCAAAAGCCCATTAAAATCTCTAATGAGAAATTAATGTGGTTTAATCTTATCTAATTAGAAATATTTTGAAGAAACCCTGAAGATACTTGTTCTTTTCAAGTATTATGGATTCTCAATTATGTCTTTTTTATGTTAGATACACCTTGAAGCGGAAGTTTGATCGTGGATCATATGGTGAAGTATGGTTGGCATTTCATTGGAATTGTTCTGAAGAAGCTCCTGGAGTAAATAATTTCCGTCCAAATGTGCCTGATGCAAGTTCACCTTTGAACTCCAGTGAGGGCAAGTCAAGCAGTGACACAAATTCCTCTACTAGACACAACTTTGTTGAATCTGTTGATAATGATTACTTCATTCTTAAGCGCATAATGGTAAGAAAAACATGTGCAATCTGGGTGATAAATATTGGATAAATTCGCTGCTTTTATAACTAGGTTGCAACATTTAGGTTTGCCTTTTACTTTTTGACTACTTCTCCTAGCTAAACAAAGTAATATGCATTTTCTTTATATTTTTACTGTAATGTGAGTCTATTCTTCTATCACGATTGAATAGGTATCAATTGTCTCTAGAAACCGGTAATTTTCACCTTGGGTTTACTTATGTCCACCTAGGGTAATTGGCTCGCTTATTTTTTGCTTCAGTGAGAGATCTGAGTAATTGGCTCTCCTTTGACATTTGGTTGATTGCAGTAAAAGTGATCCCTATTGTAAATGTTATCAAAATATTGACATTCAGTAATTTTCACCTTGGGTTTAATTTTTCCGACGTGCATAGTAACTCAACGAGTCAATCTTTACTTGCTTTTGACAGTTTCTATGGTGTTTTGGGCATCTATCATATCCTCTAGGGGTAAAAATGTCTGTCCATCGTGGGTTTCTCATATAATAAAAGATAGAAATGACTCTGATTCATGTATTTGTTTGAATATAATTGCTGAATATATGCTAGCATGTTAGGTTCAGGTCAGATGTTGTCAAAACTAAATTCAGGAGAGTAACATGCCACCTAATCTCACTGTCACTGGATCCAAATATCATAAACATTCAATGACCCTAAATTTTGAGTCAATTAATGGAAAATACCGGCAATTGGACTTATTGAAACATATTCTGTTGGACTTTACAAGTGAATCATGATTTCTTAAAGGTCAGCTTGAGACAAATGCTATCCAAATGGCATAGTCGTTGCCACCTTGTGGACCTCATAATAATGATAACTTCATGTCAGATGTCGTTGATTAGCAAAAAAAAAGTTGATTTGAATCACTGTCATAAAAGAATAACAAATAAGAAGGCTTGACCAAGGTCTTTGCTGAAAATAAAAGTTGGAAAATTTTATTTTAGAATAGAGTTTGAGATTGTGTTTGTCTTCAAACAGGATGTCTGGAAATTAACAAATGCTAAGAGATAAACAACATCTTGATATTTGTTTCAGTCCTTATTTTAAGTTTAGTTATGAATGCATTGACAGGTGGAGAGAGGCAATGCTGCATACTTGAGTGGACTAAGGGAGAAATATTACGGCGAAATCTTTGCAAATGCCTCTAAATCTCAAGACAGATCACAAGAAGAGTCAGGATCAACAACAGTGTTTTTTACAGACTTTCAGTATGAATCTTCTTCCCTTCAAGGAATGAATGATCTGGTGCCTCATGATACACAAGGGTCATCTAGTTCTGGATTTCAAAGAATGGTTTATGAAGAAGGACTGAATCATATTGCTAGGTTTATAGAATCTTTTACGTCCCAGTCAAAGGAAATATGGCTTGTTTTCCGTCATGAAGGTTTGTCCTTGTCGAAGTTGCTATACACAGTGGACGAAAAGAAACTATTTAATAACAATGATGGTGATCGGATGTCATCCAACGTTCAAGTCTTACGTCCATCAGTTTGGTGGCATTGGCTGCGGACAACAGAAGCAGGAAAGAGAGAAATGCAAAATCTTATAAGGCAATTGGTATGACATTTTACACTTCTTCTGATTTCCTTGAAATGGTACATCATCTACAACTTCTAGATGAATACAGTTATTTAACTTAATGACTGATAATTTCAGAGTTTCTCTGAATTCTATTTGTTGAAATAGTTATATACGCTTTTGGTTGATGATTTATTCTAAAACAAGAGGAAAATAAGAAAACAGCCTTCTTAGGTCTTCCATTTTACCCAAAGTTATATTGTTGGTCTACAAAAAAACCTTGTAATTGGCCATTAATGTGATCCATATTCCAGCTAGCAGGATTTTTTTTTGAGAAATGTATGACAGGAGTTGTGCTCAAGTTTAAGTGCGTTGGTTATGGAAATCTGATGCATTATAGAAGAGATAAGTATGATACCATATGTCTAATGTTTTATAGGAAATTAAACTGGGGTCATATATATAGACATCCTAAAGGATAATGGCAGTCCGTAACTTGCTTGGTTTCCTCCTGTTTAATGTACGTGCTGTATTTTTACTTCTGTAAACATGAACGGAAATCAGAAGTAACTAGTGGACTGTAATGCAAGTTTTTTCATGCTGAAGATATTGTTCGTTTCTCCCTCTGGGGAATAGTGGGGAAAGGGGATGAGGAATTACCTGACATAGTATTAAGCTATGGAGATAATAAATCTTAGCTGCTATTTTTCGTACCATCCTAAGGGTGTGTTTTAGCCTCTGTAATAGGGGTAGTGGTCTTTTACCTAGTAGTATTATTGTTTTACTGTTCTGATTTATCTTAACTTCTAAATTACGAGGATTGTGCAGACTTCAAAATGTCTTAAGATGTATTCTACTCTTCAGTTTCTCCTACTATGTCCTTTTCTTTTTCTCTTGGGAAAGGTTGTCCAAATATGTACATACATCAGTCTTTACAGGCCTCTAAGAGAGACCTGAACCCCAGTCTGGATGGTGCAAGTGGCCTGAGCACTTGGTGGTGTGGAGCAGTCACCAGCAGTTTGAGTTGGGGGCCAGCTAAGTATGCTCTGCAGTTTGGGGAATCTGTGTAGTCAGCTGATGGGAATGACCAGAATGATACTACCGTGGGTTAAGGTGCTGCTGCTTCAAAAAGCTGCACATGGGATGGAGAGGTCTGGGCGATGGTGGCAAAGATTGGTACAGCATGTGACAGTTACAGCAGGGCATCCATAATCATTAAGTAGAGACAAGGGGTCTGGGAACAGACACACTGATATAAGCAGACTGTTACAAATAGAGTTGAGACAAAGGGTGATATAGTCTAAGACGACCTACCAAAAGGACAAAAGGTTTTTGACCTAGGTGGAGAAGACTAATAGGATATGCATCCAAGGAGCTGAAAAGTTATTAATTTCATGCTCAAATAGAGTGCAAGCTCAGTTTCATCCCAATTCAAGTGACTCTGAGCTGTTGCTCATCTGTTGTAGAATCTGATTCATCAAGTGTGCGAGTTCTGTCAACTTGTTCTCCACTGAGGCTAACCACTTCGTCCACTTGCATCGTCTCCTACAAAACTTCGATGTCCTTCTTCAGGATCTGATACTTCCTGTTGGGCGCCATTGCTTTGATACCTGTTGATAACACTCTCAGGATAATGGCTTGAAATCGAGGAGAATAGAGAGAGAACACACAAGAATCTAAGGAAGAACGAACTGAAATAGAACAGGGGAAAAGAAGTATGGGAATGCTCCGAAGGAATCCTATAATCAGTTTAGGTGTGAATTCGAGAGCGCCCCCAGCTCTCCCAAGATGACTTCCAATGGTGCCCACGGTGAGGGCCCCTCAGGAACCTTATACTGACCTCCATACTGGGCCTCTTGACCCACCTAGGACTTTACCTTCCCTCTTATGGTGCAAGTAACCCAGGCAGTGGGCCTGACAGTTAATTTCGTAGTTGTTTAGTTTCCTTATTTGTTTGTTTCCTTAGGTGGTTTTCTTTTTTTTTATGGTCAGAGTAATTGTATATAACTAGCAATTGTTCTATGTTTTGAGATGAAGAAAAGATTTTTCTCAATTGTTTATCCTTGTATGGTTTGCATGGATATTTCTTTTGGGTACAGAGAAGGTTTTGTCATATTAACCACACCGATAGGCATAATCAGTTGTGTTGTAGTCTTTTGTTTTGACTATAGTGTTGAGTTTTTTACCGAAATTGATGAAAACAGGAATTACTTCTCTCAATGCTGAGAAAATTGACGTCTGTTCACCTTGAGACACAACAAGCAATAAAAACGCACAGCAATAGTATATAACACTTAATGCAGATCTATTGTTTCCTGATTTTGGACGATGCTTAGGTAGATGTGTAATACTTTTTAAGATTGAAAAAAATTACTTTTTTTATATTCATATCTTCTCATCCTTTTAGTGTTTTCATCATAAGTTTTGCTTAATAACGATGGTTTTGACAATAGTTCCCCTTTCTTGTTTATTAGCTGCTGGCACTGAAGTCATGTCATAGACGAAATATCACGCATAGGGATATCAAACCTGGTGAGGATGAATGTCATTTAGTTATTGCTACTTATTGTATAAAAAAATTCTTTGTGATAATTTTCTCAAGTCATAGGAACATATGTTATTTGACAGTCTTGTCTCTAGGACAGCATGGCTAAAAGGTGGAAAAAATGCAACTGTTTAATATCTCTCTTATTTTTGTTTAAGGGATTTACTTTGGAAAAAAAATCCGGTTACAACTCTAGGATATTCCCCCCTCCCCTGTAATTTTTTCCAACGTTTTATTTTTCCCTTTGGCCCTTGCTTGTGCTCTGGTACATATGCCTATAGCAGTAACGTTTGAGAAGATAAGCTTAAATTCTCCCTGTTCTTTCTATTCATTGTATAGTAGGAGAGTCTGCTCTTCCCTCTATTATTCTGTTAGACTGGATATCTTCAAAAAGTCATGTGGTCACCTTCATTTCATGCCACTAGTGTTTTCTTTTTCCTTCATTGGTGTTGTGGGCTTCAGCGTTCTCTTCCACTGCGGCTGTGTTCTCTCATGCTTTTTCATTGGTTATCTATATTTTTATACAAGATTATTTAGTCATTATACTTTTTCATGTAAAAAAATTACATTCTATGAAATCAAGTTCATTTAGCATAGTAGCATAATTACGTAATCCTCTGAGATCTACCCGTACTAGTATTGAGGAGAGGAGATTTTCCCCTTTTTTCTCTCAATAGAGGGTAGTCTTCAATATGTGTGAGCTATACATTTCTAGCCTTTTCAGTAGGGTGCTTATCTTCCTCAATGGTATTAATTTCAAAAGTTGTTTATCTACCTTATACCCTTTTTCGCATTACAATAACATCCGTAGTACAGAGTTCATAATTAGTATCGAGCTTTTTAATTCTTTCTTTGTTGTATCATATTTTTTTGCTGTGATTTTTATAGCCAATTATGTGAGTATCCTGTTGTACGTTTGCATCATTGTACTTTTAACCATGCAATATTGTCCTTCATCGTTTTTTTCTGCAGAAGAGTATTATATAATAAGGTTTTTAGTTCAATACTCAATGTAATAAAGTATTTCTTACTATAGTTACTATGATTGTTGAGAAAAAAAAATCGTGTGTACTGTATCATGAATCATGAAATATATTTTTTGTTTCTTTATGGTAGAGAATATGATTATATGTTTTGAAGAAGTGGGCACTGGCAAATGTTCAAGAGCAGTCCCAACAGGGGAAAACCAGCATCACCTTAAAATGTATGCATCTCTTTCAACTTATTGCCTACTGATCTCTTTATCTAGTCTTAGCTATTGAATGCCTCTTTCCAAAGTGACCTTTTTCTGCAGTGCTGTGAAATCATGATTCGCATGTTTCTCAAATTAATCACGTCAGGCTTCCTAATTCTAGTCTTGGATTGCTTAGGACTTAATCATGGTTGAATGGGTAGATTCTAGCACGTGATGCTTGATTAAGCTGACCACACTCGAGCATTATTCATACCGCTGATTTTTCATCTCAAGGGATGTTACCTTCAATGAGGAAGCATACTATAACACATCAAATCATCATGATAAGATTCAAACATTAGAGGATCCAAAATTAAATTTTTGACTTCCTATTGCTGATTTATTACCAAATCTCACTATGGCTCGCATTGAACCACCTATTCCTAAATCTACTCCTAATGTAGGCCTCAGAAGAGGAAGATTTGGCCAAGTATATTTTAGAAAAAAATGAGGATATTCCAGAATCTATGCATGTTCAAGAATCCTCCTAGGATGAGTCAAATGAGACATCCTAGACTAGCACCTTACCTATTGATGAAGACCTACCTATTGCCATTTGAAAGAGGGTAAGAGAATGTATTCAAAAACCATTATATCCTATAGCACTTTTTTTGTCACATAATAGATTATCACCTTCACACAAGGCCTTTGTATCTAACCTAAATTCTACCAAAATCTCAAAGACTATTTTTGAGGCTTTAACTCGTGAGAAATGGAGACAAACTATGAATGAGCAGATGGAAGTTTTGAAAAAAAAATGACACGTGAACTTGTATGTCTGTCAATAGGGAAAAAAGTTGTTGACTGCAAATGAGTGTATACAATTAAATATCATTCAGATAGATCCATAGAAAGATACAAAGCTACGTTGGCTGTAAAGAGATATACACAAATTTATGGAGTTGATTATCTTGAAACTTTTGTATTAGTAGCAAAAATGATACAATCAGAATACTTTTGTCATTAACAACTAACTCTGATTAGAATCTTCAGCAATTTTATGTTACGAATGTATTTTTACATAGTGAATTAGAAGAGAAAATATATATATGGAGGTACCACATAGATATGAGAAGAATTTAGATGCTAATATTGTGTGCAGGTCAAATAAAGCATTGCATGGACTGAAATAATGTCATGTTTGGTTCGGTAAATTTATGAAAATTATGCTCAAGATGGGATACAAATAAAGTCAAGGTGATCACACTTTGTTTGTCAAATATTCTTCTTTAGGGGGAGTCATGATTCTAATAGTATATGTGCATGATATTATTGTGACTGAAAATGATGATGTAGAAAAAAGACTTATAAGTCAATGTTTATCTCAAGAATTCAAAATAAAATTTTAGGAAGATAAAATTCTTCTTAGGTATTGAAGTTGCTTATTCTAAAAATTCTATTTTTCTATCTCAACAAAAATATGTGATAGATTTATTACAAGAAACTGAAAAAACAACCTGCAGATCAATTAATTCTCCAATTGATCCTAATCTCAAATTAAGTGCAGTAGAGGAGGACATTGCTGTGCTCTACTGTACAAACTCCTATTTTTTGGGGGCAGATGTCTATAAAAGATAGAATAGAATGCCAACTGCACACACTGAGCTTGATCTTCAGTACAAGTTTACTAACAAGTTTAAATTGGAGGGAGAAGAAAGTCATGTAGAGAATATAGACGTAATCATATTGGAGTATAAAAAATTCAATGAAATTATCAGGAAATGGACGTAGATTTAATACAAGTGTGCACAGAGCACAGAGCAAAATCATCGAGGGATTAGACATAGATTTAATAGAAGTGTGAGTAAAGTGCACAGCTAAATCACAAAGGAGCAATTATGCCCAGATTTAATAAAAGCATGAGAAAAACACAGTGAAAAACAAAAACAAAATATTGTAGCTACATTGAAAGAAAAAATCTTGAAGGAGATTAAGAACCATTAAGCAACAAATCGCAAGAAGTTAAATAAGAAATACAAGATATGGTGATGGTGAATTCACTTACGAATCCACAACATATTATTTTGAAGAGAACAGAATGTAAAAATTATTCTATTAGATATCTGTCTAGAAATGTCACGTTTTTCTAGACAATAGCAACATTTCATCCTTGCAGTCAAATACTGAATGGGTCACATTAGGTGCCATTGCTCTCCATGCCAGTATCTCTAAAGTTACTATTAACAAAAGGGAAGTTTCTAGCCAAATGATCAATAAATCATCTGACCCATGATCTTTCTGTGTTAAGCACAACAAAAATGACAGAGAATGGCCATAAAGTCTGTACTGGGTTTCACTGCACACATCATTTGTCAGAATGATGTCAATAATGATGGTGGATAAGGAAATTTACGTCAAACTAAGTTTGATTTATAATCAATATTAAGTCCATTTTTTGCTAAATTTTGCTCATCAAGCCATGACTTTAATAAAAGCATGTTCTAGTAGCGATACTTTAATCTAACTTATATTACACAGTAGTTCATACTTCCCACTGATATATCTTTCTTTCTGTTTGGGTTGTCAACTTGGGAAGCATACGGCTCTACCTTTGACTTCTAGTACTACTCAGACTTATGCACTTTTTAAGGTTAACATGACAAGAGAACAAGATAAACATATTCGTTCTGGATATTGAGTCAAGCCCAGGTTGTTGGCTAAACATTTTAGAGTTTTTTGTTGCTAAGGAATGTGGTAATTTTTTTCAATCAGTGTATCACATAACAATTAGTGTATCCTCTGAACTTGAAGTCAATGCATGCGTTTAGTCAGTCTGAAGAATATTTATTGCAATGACTTGGTCCATGCATAATCACTCGAGTAACAAGTGTTCAGAGTCTAGAAGTCAATTCCACTCCTTTTTCTAATCTGGAATCGTCATTCTGAGAGGAAGGACACCAAAATATGAGACAACTTCACAAACTGTTCATCTAATGTCGAGAAAAATCAAACAACAATTTTGTAGCACTCTAATGAAGCATTTCTGATATGATATAGGAGGTTTATTCCTGAATTGTCAATGTAGAGGCTCAATCTTTTAAAGAAGTTAAGCGGTCCTGCCCCAGCATGCTGCACATGAACTTTGGTTTCTGAGAATATGCTTTTCATTTCCTTATCCTTATTGTCTCTTGTCATGTATTTTTTCATCAAGGAACTTAGACACTGGACCTTAAGGTAACACATTATGGAAGTTCTCTCTGTGGTGGTTTTTGTGTTCCTTGTTAAAGTCTTGCCAACCACAATCTTCGTGAAGATTGTATACACCATTAAAAGTCAACATTCCGCTGATCCAAAATTTCATTATATAATCATTGTAAAGTATCGAAACAAGCACTCCTAGGAGCGACTCATGTGTTGGACCAAGATGGCAACCCTGACGTCGAGAAATCTGGCTTGAAGACACAAGGGATAAATCATTTCCTTCAGGTTAAAATAGACAGTATGAACAAAAAATCAGGTACATCAGTATGGAAACCATGATCGTTGTGATTCCTGAGTCCGTGTTATTTCCTCAAATAAGTCAACATTATATAGTAATGTTTTCGTGTTCTATTTGTATCTTTTTGTGGTCTGATAGTCTTTTCATGTATAAAAATAATAAGCTCCGTAAATGACAGATGTTTACGATTGAGGCCTACCTAAACATCATGTAGACCTCTAGACAGAGTTTTGGATGAAATTAATTCTTTATCTTGTTCTCATGTCTTCTACCTCATTTTATCTCTCCTCTAGTTCTCTTTATCCTCCTCCCTTCTCCTCCCTGGTTCCTACCATCCAAACACAAGTGATCATCAAAGAGACAGATGGTCAGTCCTTTAAATTTTCCATAATTTTTCATCTATGCTTGATCTGCCTAAGTATAATTTCTCTTGTATGGGACTTTCAAATCTTATTGTACCAGCATCATAAGAAAAGAAACCATAGAAAGTTCAAGAAATGGTAGATTTCTACACTCTCAGAAACTTAATTCATATAATAGACTTTAAAATTGGAGAGTGTTAGAAATGAGCTTCATTTTCATAATTTTTCCGCTCTGTTTTCTTTGATACTGCATTTTTCATCTATATTTCTTTTCTGTCATAATATTAGTGTAAACTGAACTTGTCCAGATTGAACTGGACCGGTTCACCCTCTAAATCTCTCACTAATGAATTGGTATAAGTACCGACCCCATGTGATCCCTAAACTTGAATCAAATTAGGGTTCTAAGCCCTTTTCTATTCCGTTCGTGTTTGTTCCTGTTTTTCCTTGAATTGCAAGGAGGGAAGGAGGTTAAAGCGTGAAGATTGGAGGCATTAAGCTACAAGAAGATAAATGAATTAGATGTTTCTGAATCGGGGGATGTACTTTGATATATAGTGAATTGAGAAAAATTCAAACTGTAGACTAATGAATGTCTGTTAAAGTCAGGCATTAAGATGTGACTTATAAATGTGTTCCTTTCTTGAACAAAACTTTTCATTTGCAGTAATGTCTTGTCTAGTTTTACTCCTCACCTGCAACCCAGTTTTCTTTTCAATTTAAGCATCTGCATATCCAGTCTAACCTCAGTTTTCTTCTTAATTTAGGCGCATTATTGACTTTGGCAGTGCAATTGATGACTTCACACTCAAGAATCTTTATGGTTCTGGCCCCTCCAGGTAGTAAAGATCCTGGTTAGAATTTTCATTGAATATTTTTCATTTGTTGTCGTGTTATGGGGAATGCTTCTGCTGTTTATGTATAGCGGCTGGTATTCTTGTTTTTTACCGCAATCTACACTTGTGTGGTCGTGAGGTTTTTATAAAATTCTGGTTGTGCTGCTATGTTTGGTGTTTCTATTGTTTGGCTGTGGTGGCCAATGTTCTCATTGTTCTTTTGATTGCGACCTGTGCTTGTACAGTCATCATGCCTTTATAAAATTCCAGCAAGGTGTTACACATTAATCCCATCAATTAATATGAAAGAGTGCTATCTGAAATGACTGTATTAATCTAAACTGACTCATGCTGTGGCTGGCAGTAGTATTAATATATCTAGTTGAATATGGCGATACCTTCTAGGATGATTAGAGGCTCCACACATCTGATTTGATGGATTCCGAGGACAAGAGATTTTATTAAGAGAATAATTTTCTTATGTCATAGATCATCCCAAGGGCAAAAGTTGATGTAATTTGGATTCATTAGATGATGTTAAGTAAAGTTCTAGGGAGATGCGCCTTCTCCCCTGAAGGCAGTGGGCTATAAGTAGAATGCAATTTTTATCAGCAAATTAGAAAACAATATTTCTGATATAAAAATTTTTTGGGAATAATTCTCAGTTCTCCTAGGAAGTAAGGGGAGTTTGGGCACTCTGTTATTGACTAAGCCAGTCTAGAGGATTATCAAAGGTTTATCTAGCTCAAGTGAAATCAAAGGTACCTGGCTTTCATTTTGTTGGTTTCTTTGGATAAAAAGAGTTGAAAACCTGGGGAGACTGCTTCAATATCCTGCGTCGTTTGATACTGGTATTGTAGTACTTGATTGAGTGGATACAATGGTTGGTGTAGTGCAATCTACAACGGGGAGTTAATCCTTTACGGGTTCCTGATGTCGTTTTTTTGGTAAATGTTAAGAATATAAAGCACAGTTCCTTTTAATGTATAGCAAAAGCTTCCTTCCATTATTTTTTTCCTACTTTTTAATTCGTTCCACCTGGAAAATATATTTCATTTTTTTGTTGTTTTATGTTGAATATTTCCTACAGATCTGAACAGACCTATGAGTACATGCCCCCAGAAGCCCTACTGAATATCAGCTGGTTTAAGGGGCCAAGGAGGACAACAATGAAGTTTGTTTCCTTATCTCAGTTTAGCTAACTATTGTGTATTCAACTTTCATTATCTAAAATTTGAAAGCTCTCTCTTGACAGAGTTTTTGTCATCTACATGATAGGTATGATATGTGGAGTGTGGGAGTAGTTTTTATGGAGTTGATCTTGGGGTCACCGCATGTTTTTCAGATTAGTGACCGTACCCATGCAATGGTAGATCAGCATCTTGAAGGTTGGGGTGATAACATGAAGGAGTTAGCATACAAGTAATAGTCTGCCAACATTCGATCGTGATTGAGCTTGAAAGTCATTTACATTTATTTATTGATTTTTCTGCATGATACAATGTTTCAGTTTTTTTGTGTTTTTCTATCTTCGTCGAAATTATTGTCACGAACTAAAAAATCATTAATTATTTACTAGTGGTAACTACAGTCATATTATTTATGTTATCAGTTATTCCTTGAGATTTATGGAAGATAGAATACATTGCCACCAACTATTCTTCAGTTAACAGAAGTTGTGAATGCTTCTTATTTACTGCATTTCTGTCATGCTCGTCATTTTCCATGTTTCAATGACTGTGCCAGTTATTCTTTTGGTTAATTTAAAGAGTTCTATGTTGTAATATTTTTTTGTATATTTGATTGTGTTGTTGGCATTTTGAATCTGAAATTAATTCGTTCAGTTACAACTTCTAATATCAAAAATGCAGTACTGTAAACCTTAGATGTGTAAAGAATGTTTCTTCCTGTACTTTGTTATTTTTATCTCCTGGTAGAAATATGAATTAGCCAATAGAATTTGTCCCCGGTTGAACATTTAGACGACTATCAAATTGGGTCAAGTTTCTGATGTATGGGATAGGTTGACTCGAAATTGTCTGTTTTGTGGAGATCAAATGAGATTTTGACTGACGTGGAGTCTTGCTGGGGAGAGGAATTCGTCCAACTCTCCTTCCCTTTGGGATTCCCAAACATTTTAGAAAACACATGCTTGAATATTTGGAAAACTATTTGATTAAGCCAAGTTCATAAGTTTATGCGCTGAATAACCCAAAATTGATGATTCTGGGTGAGATCATTTTCCTGGTTGATTTAGCCTGATTTTATTGGAACTAGCCCATGCTGACCATGAAGTGCTACTATCAGAGGATATATGTACAAGTGTTGTTTTCTGATAGAATAAAAAGGGGGGGGGGTAAAAAAAATAAATCCCTATCACATGGTTTGACAAGTCATAGATACTATTTACCACATCATCATAATAAAGAGACTCCATATAATGGTCTTTTATGAATGTGGAGATCTACTAACATGACCATGGTTGTCTGGTAACAGAATGTACACTTATTACATTTAATGATCTGGGGAATGAAAATCTCAATTAAATTTTTATTTCAAGCTGTTTGCAAACTACAGTCCATATTACTGCACTTCAAGAATATTAATTATTTACAAAGTAACAGTGGGATTTTCCCCCCAAACTTTAATCTTCTTCTTTCAGCTGAGAGGAGAATAGAGCATTTACTCTACCCTTGTTGGGCGTAAAGTACTGCCAATCACCCTAAAATTTATGTTGATACATCAAAGATCATGAAACAAAACTGTGGCCGAAAAAGTTTGAGGCATAGTCAATGATTAGAAATTTAGATTTATTTTCCTGTTTTTCTCCTCACTATATCTTTCTAGGTTTCTATGTCGTGCATTGTTAACTTTTGAGTGTGCTATAATTTTTATTTTCTACTTCTCAACACCAGTACGTAAACTTGTTTACCACGTTGTTTATTCTTTAATTCATAAATATTATTTAATATTTATTGATTTCAAAGATGAGTCTATCCTGCAATATCATCTGGAATACCATAGAGCTTGGCAAAATCATATACTCAAGTAGTCCCAACAAGCTAGGTAAACCCAACAACACGTAACTACTCAACACCAGTACTTATCTTTAAAGAAACGTCCTTACAACCTGTTCTATACTTGTTTTCCTCAAATTTGGCCTAATTACACGCATATTCTTACTGTTAGAAATAGTGCTGGACTTTGATCATCTCCAAACACCTCCCTTCCTTTTTGTCTGTGCTAGCAGTGAACACGAGAGAGAGAGACACGAAAAGAAGAAGGCCGAAGCCCTAAATTTCATCACACACTAATGCTTACATGCTGGTTGGTATTTATACCGACCAGCTGTTATGAAACGGGAGAGGGTAAACTGGACCGGTTCAATTTGAACCGGTTCAGTCTATTGTTTTGTTACAAGGTACGATGGACAGAGAAATAAAGGACGAAATTAGTAAATGAAAAATTATTTCTAACACTTACCTTTTGAAAATCTGAGGAACCCAAGTAGAATCATTTTCTACTCTAAACAATGTGAAATTTTTTAAGGTTATTCAATTTACTTCGAGAATAGTAAGTGGTGCTAGTAATTTAATTTTCATAAAAAAAAACACATATTTTATCTTCTTTGTGGTTATTCGACAGGCTTAGGTCGCTAATGGAAATGTGCATCCTAATCCCTGGGCTTTCTACTCAATATCTTCCAGGTGGAGGTAAAGATCGCGTAAGTGATTTTCTTTACTGTTACCTTTAGAGGCCAATGAATTGTTAGTTTTCTATATTCTTCATGGAAAAGAGTGCTGTTCAATCATTCTTTTTATTCCATCAGAGGTTCATGTAGCCCGTAGCTTCCATTTTTTGGGAGTTGTTATCCACTAACCCACTTCTATTATATTGTTTTCGTTATGTTTACTTTAGGTATAATTTATGGTCAGTATTAAAGAGCAATAAAACTTCAAAAAAGATGGGAAAAGAGATATTTGAGAATAATTTTAGTTGAAGAATGCCAGATGGTGTTCTCTACAAGTAACTGATCTTTAATGTCATGAGTGAAAATGATCTTTAGTTAACTTGGTCAGTTTCCTACGTTGGTTGGGCTGTTGGTCAGTTTCTTAGTTTGGTTATCTCATAAATCGTGGTATTTAACCTATAGGTAGTTTTCCCTCTTTGGGGATGGGGTAGTTGTATACAACTAAAAATTGCCCTATGAATTTTGCATCATGGATCAGAGTGATGCAGGGGAAGTGTGGTGGGTCTATACCCACAGTTCCCAAGATCGGAACTTGGCTCTGATACAATGATGCAAACCAAACAAGGATAAACAGTCGGGAAAAACTTGCGTCTTATTAATTCATAGAAAAATTTATAGTTATATACAACTACCCCAGCTGCAATGAAAGAAAACTATCTAGGTTAAATCCCATGTTAGTCAACCAAACTAGGAAACTGACCAACAGCCCAACTAACCTAGAGAAATGACCAACAGAAACTAATCCTTAGTTACACGTTCTTTGCCACATGAACAATTATTACGTTCTGCATTTTACAATTTGCAGTGTTCTGTCGAGATTCTTATGCATTGTATTTAATTGTGGTCTTACAATAACTTGCATAAAATCATCCAAACGATGGTAGTACTCATCTTGTTGACACAAAACTTATTAAAAGTCTTGAATTGGATTTCCACATGATTAGACTTGCTCTTGACTGGTGAGTTGATTTTCTATAATGAAGGGTGGTTTCTCGCCAGCATCATGGAAATGCACCGAAGAGTTTTTCGCTAATCAAGTCAAGAATCGAGATCCCCTTAAATTAGGGTCAGTATCATACGTTCACAGCCATCTCTTAAACTATGCTGAACGTTAATTTATTTGTTCATATCTTGTTAAACTGGAATTGATCCCTACGTTTTATATTTATATTGCAGCTTCCCTAACATTTGGGCGCTGAGATTAGTCCGTCAGCTGTTAGTATGGCATCCAGTAAGTATGAAAATTTAGAGTCCAATCATATAATAATTCTTCACCTCTTTTGATTATAACTCCATGAATAGTTGGCTTCATTGGTCGGCTTGGTACAATTATTTCTGCAAGAATATATTCTTTCTGTGATGTGTACAGATGCTAATTGAGTATAGGATCCTCTGCTAGGATGTTCCTTCTGCAAGAACATTTTGAGTAGTGTATAGGCTATGGAGGTGCTAATTGATGTCGCCACACTCTTTTCCACGTTGACACTTGCAAAACGAAGAGAAAAAAACCTCTTATCATGCTGTCTAGGAGCATATGTGCTTTGTGTGAGTTTCCATATAGTTTTCCCTCCTTCTTTAGGAATTTTTTCCATTATAGGAAACTTCCTGTGGGGGCATTTCAGATGGATGCGCTCACAATCAGCAGCGAAATGGACGAAATTTTTTCAACGTTTACGATCCATAATTGTGTTTGGTAAATTTACCACCCACATCTCCTCAGATTCTTGATTTCATATTCAGTTATCTAAGAAAGTTTTGTGAGGGTCTTCAGACAGGAAGATTTTCCAATAGACCATAGAAGAAAAAGTTAGGCTCCCCATCCTATATCAATCGTCGCAAAAACCGTTCTATATTGCCTTTGCAATTATTATTCTATTTTTTATATTTATACTTCGGTCACTATGACTATCTTGATCTATCTCATTCATGGATATGTTCAACCTGCAGGAGGAGCGCTTAAGTGTCGATGATGCCCTGCAGCATCCTTATTTTAAATCGGATCTGTGAGGACACACCGTGATGAGATCAATGCTATCCTCTGCTAGGATGATGCTAATATAGAGTGATAACCATGGGTTTGTTCATTCTTTATTCTTGCAATGACCTTAATACTATATGGCTTATGAATCAGGTTTTGATTCGTGAAAGCTTGGAACTGGTAAATTAAACACCATCGCAGATGTGGTAACTTGTGTTTTGCCCCTTTATGTTTTTTATAAAATTAATTTTTTTAGCCATGTTCATACAAATATCACAGAAAAATGTTGTAAAGTATTTTTAGTAAGAAATAAAGCTTACTCTCGTGGTTGATCAGCATACTATGTTCTATCCACAAGGAAAATATCTATTGTGAGTATGTTTCTGATGAATTCAGTTAAATTAGAGGACTTGACACTCATCTCCTACATCAGCAATGATCTTCCATTTGCATCAACTATAGTAAATTATCTATCCATATATAACTGTGATCAGTGAGATAGATATCTTTAACTAAGACCCGAGTATCTATAAATACTCTAGAATTTACTCTTAAATAAAGTAGTGAAGGAAAAACTCAAGGTGACATCGTCTAAGAGGTATGGTTCAGTAATTCATAACACGTTGCTAGACTGAAGCCTGCAATACTCTTTGTTAACGTTAGATTATCAAGCTTAAGATTATATACTTATGTCTGAAGAGGCCATTCTTAAGAAAAAATCATTAAACATTTGGAGATTTTAAGGACAAAACGTGTGAAGTGTTCTATATTAAAAATACCATATTAGTTTTAATGCAAAAAAGATTAAATTATATTGCTCGTACATCTTTCTGGTTGGGCATCACTTAGGATGGTTCTAATGGTAGATTCTCGATGAGACTCAATGTCTATGTAACCCTAATTCACTTGTTTCTACTCAAGTCAATTCGAATCAGTCTAATCACCATGTTAGATCATGAAATGTAGACCTCCCCTTACTGTGTTCATCCACTATTAAAATGGAATTGTCATGGGACAATGTATGACTAGACCCATCAAATACCACATCAGGTGATGGTTGTATTCATTTACAACATAGTATGATAATAATCCATGTTTTTAACCTTTGAGAGAGTCATACTATTGATATAAGGGGGTTGAATGGGTCTAATCTGATTCATTTTGATCTTCTCTTCTTCTAATTTACACTTTCTTTCATAGTTGTTCAAACGATCAATAAACTATGCAAGGAATTTTATAGCGGTTTAGTTTCCTTGACCTATTTCACTCTGAGATTCTATCCTTGAGTTCCACCAGAAGTACTTGACTGCTGATAGTACATACTTAATCCCCTTAGAGTTTTACTAGAAACTTTTTCTAAGTTCATAGCTTTATACTGCCCAACTGCTGATTGTAAGATCAGCTCCCTTGAGTCATAAACTATGCTTCTTGAAAATTTAACCACAAAAAAATATTAATAATTTCATCACGTGTGCCACTTTTGATGAAGCGGTTGGTATACTGTTTTATTTTCCTTGATCCATTCATCACATAGAAGATATTTCAATGCTTGAAAACTTCTCATTCATTTTTGGTTGGGATAAAAGGTTTTCTTAATTAGATTCCAATCTTGACTTCTCATCTCAACGATTGTTGTTGCTTGCTTTTGCAAAATGTTAGTAAGAAGGATTTCGATATAAAAGGCAATCAAGCATTATTCAAGGTAGACATGGAAGGCTTAATTTATAGATGAAATTTATAGACATGAAAGGTCTGTATTTTTCGGAACTTAGCTGATTAAAATGATTTTTAATTGCAAGATTATGTCATAGATATGGGCATGATCAAGTCATTGGAAAGCCTACTCAAGGAGGAACCCAAAACAACAAATAGCATGTCACGTTTAGAACTATTCGAATTACTATGAACTTTACAAACTTCACATGGGCAGGGCTCATTAAGGTCCATTGAACAAGCTGTTGACACAACTTTTTGGCCCGCTAAGCTGAAGACCAAAAGGGGTTTTCGCCCAAATTAGAACATGGAGAACAAAAGCAATAATGGGAACGACCAGAGTAAAAAAAGGAGTGCCTGAACCTCATCGATCCTCCTCCAAGCTACTTCTAGGATTCTCCCTCATTCCTCAAGAATCCCAGCTACAATCCATGCCTCCAGACACTTGCAGTGCCAATCGATTAACGTCTGTGTTTGATATCTTGAAAGCCCCATACTTGTCCTTCTTTCATAGTATGCTGTTCCATTCTTCAAGATGATGGCAGAACACTTGTGTTAAATATTTCCTATTCATTGCTGTTGTGATTGAAAGTATGACGAGACTCTAGGTGTATCTATCATATGCTAGATAGGTTAGTTTATAGCTGATAGATAGACTCACAAGGTTAATTTTGTCATAGTTGCTAGAGAGCTTCTAAATTTAGTGGGAAGAGTAAACTCACAAATGTTGACTTCATAGGCCTTAATTATCCTAAAAGGTTTCAATGATAAAAATATACATGGAAAAAATAATTGCATCAAGTTTGTCTCTTAGGGGCCTGAAAGAAGCTAACATTTTATTTATTAAATGTCATGTGAAAATAATTCATTGAAATGAATGCTTCTTCTTGTGACATGAGTAGAATGAAAAAGATAATTGATAGAAAATACGAGTAGTATATGTGTGTTTGAGCTTGAACATTAGGACAAGTTTGATCAAAGAGCTCTTTGTTGGATGCCTATGATGTGTCCTAATAAAGTCAAGCCATCTACCATTATTACCTTATGAGTTATGATGGTAGGGGGGATGCTCATCCCAAATGAAGTTGCAGGGGGGATACTTGAAGAATGATAGATGGTAAGGGAGAGGCTTACTCAACAACAGTGTGTTGGCCTAGTGCAAGTATAAGTAACATTCAATGCACATTCTACCGAATTGGTACCTCAATTGGAGTGTTATTAATCCTTTATTAAAATTGGTGAACCTTTAATTGATAAATATTTCAAAAGGATGATTTAAATCTTTTAGATGATCTGATCCTCTCCAATTTATTCTTTTATTTTTTTAACACAACTTTGATGACACAAAGTTGATAGCTTTTTTGCACTAAGAAAGCCTTTTGTGATGAGCATATATATCACCATTTAACAATTTCATGTGGATTTGAGCCATTTAAGCCTCCTATCAAATGATTCTTAGTCTCCTGGTAAAACGAAACGTTTTTAAAAAATGCCATATATGTGAACAATATCTCAACATTCTTTGACCATTTTAAAATGGGCTAGTGACGGTCCATTTTAAAAGAAATGGGCCATTCTTGCCTAGAATGGCAAAGATCCTTCCACCCCCATAGGAAAGAATCTAGGAGAGCTTCTGTGTGATGTAGATGTTGTCTTGGTTCTTTTCAATATATGTTAAAGTATGAGTAACAAAATGCTAATTTATGTTTCAAAATATTTTATTCTAATTATGACTTATCTTTGTCTCAATATATATTAAACTATAAGTAAAAAAATGTCAAATATTTTCTAAAATGCCAATTTATGTTTTAAAATATTTTATTCTAATGATGACTTATCTTCTTCTCAATATATATTAAAGTATAAGTAAAAAAATGTCAATTATTTTCTAAAATGCCAATTTATGTTTTAAAATATTTTAAAATACTTATCTTCTTCTTAATATATATTAAAGTATGAGTAACCAAATGCCAAAATATTTTTTAAATGCTAATTTGTGTTTAATTTTTTTATTATAACTATGGCTTTTCAATATATTTTAACCCCGAGTAACAAGATGCCGAATTTTCTTTTTTAAATCTGATTTATATTTTCAAATATTTTGTTCCGAATGACACGTATGTGATGACTGGATATTTCCCGTCATCAGAAAAGCGAAGTCCTTGGTGATACAGCCACGGAGAGTGATCCCACCGTCATTCTTGATGACGTCGACGTCCACGTCAGGGGGTCCCCATTGGTCGCCGATTCTCCATCCAACGGCTGAGGGATCGTGAATGCGGTGCGTCTCGTTGAAACTACTATTTCGAAGAAGATGGGACAGAGGTTTTCTTGGAACGCGCACGTGTTTCAATTATATGACGACACGCCATGTGGGAAGATGGGAAGCAATTAATTAGCTTAAAGAGGGAAACAAAACCCCCGTCTCTAACGCCACCTCTTCACCCCCGTCTTCTCCGCCCCGAACCTCTCCCCTCTCTCTCTCTCTCCGTCGCACCGCCATTGTTTTCTCCTAGTGTTTACTTCTTGGATCTCATCTCCCGCCCCCTCTCCGGCTACACCAGGATCAGACTCCGTCGATGACGCCGGCGGGGGGAGGCGGCGCACGGTGCAGATCTCCGTCGGGAAGGTAGGCCACCTGTGATCTGTCCTGATCTGGATCTTTGTTGGAGTGATGGGAGGTGTGCCCTCGACCCCGCGGAGAGGTTCGCAGCCGCGAGAAACGGCGGAGTTCCTGATCGGCGCGCTCGTGGGGGACGAATCGTACCCGGTCACGTCGAGCTTATGGGAGAAGCTCCTTGACGTGCCACTCACCCTGCAATGGTCGCGAGACAGGGTTTACCGCGCCTGCTTAATGTTTGGTCAGTAACTGTTGTGTCAGTGGATACATTACATATTCTTTGCTTGGAACAGGATAATTTATTTATTGCCTTATGAATTTCGAAAGCAGTACTTGAAAATTTTAATCTGATTTATGTGACTTTACTTTTATTGTTATGGAAATAATTTTTTGCGTGTTTGACGAGTACGATTCCCAGCTGCTGCTTAAATGTTGCCCCTCAAAGGACCGTAATTAAAGCCAAGCTCATGAAATTAGTGAAAAGCTTTCCTTTCTTCTCAACGAACGGTAACTTTGCCTGAAGAATTTGACTGTACTTCATACAGGCTAAACATTAGTTGTGGGTTGTCTAATACAAGCTTTTCAAGACGACAGTTGTTGTTCTATCCTATCCTTGCCAGATGCTTTAAACGTGCGATTGATTTTTCTGGAAAGTTGGTTTAGGAATCTTTGGATAAATTTCAACCATCTATCCTCTGTGACCGGAATTTCAGTATATTTTTTCTCTTATCATTGATGAGATTTCATTCTTTTCATTCTTTTACAGACATAAACAAGGATAGCCTTGATCAGTAGGTTTCTTTCTGTAACCGATCCCTGAGAGTGAGGTCCAGAAGATGGACACAGTCCACGTTTATGGGCATTCATTTTTTGTCTCTCTTTGCCACATGAGGTGTCCTAGCCATGGAGATTGTTGGTTAGCCTAGATACCCTTACAGTATGAGGCACGGTTTATACCTAGATCATGACTTATTCATGGATAACTATACTATTTGCCACTAACTGCATAACTTTTACTCAGTTGATAGGTTGCTTGTTTACATGTTTATCAGTGCGTGATTTCATGTCTCCTCTCATCTTTTTTGAAGTGGTAGTCAAATTATTCTCATACTCATTGTCTCTCAAATACTGACAGAGAAATTATATCCATCTATATTTTTTTAATGTCTTCATAATCGTGGAATTTTTGCAGATGAGTTCTGAAGTTTGAAGTTATCTGGTGATTCCTCATAAATCCGTATTTAAAAATTTTGAAAAATGATGAAGGATGAAAGAACATTCGACATGAGTCACTGGGTTTAAAATACCAAACGTAATGACATCAGTTGAATCGTAGGACTAAGTTATCGTATGCTGGTAAAATCGTCAAATGCATTGCATGGATTAGAACAGTGTGAAAACATTGCCCAAGCCATGATGAAGATGACATATAATGGCTGTACGTCTATCCTTAGTCCGCTCCTACTCTTTAATGCTCTTTTGTAGCATTCCGAAAAAGTTCCAAATGGGAACCTCACATGTTACTTTGTGCACTGCTGTCAACACTTTTGACTTCCATATTTCATTGCCCAGGGATAAAAGGATCTGCAATTTAGTTTAACAATATTGATAACTTCTTCCTATCAAATAAAGCATCCTAAGAAAGTTTTGATGGTTATTCTTCCTGGTAGGATTTTTCCACGACATGTTTATGTTCTTTCAAGTATATATTTGACCCTATGAGATAGTGTTTCAGGGTTTCCTGCCTGTGGTAGGGAGTTTGAAGTCAAAGAAAATTCCTTTGTTAGTATTTTCGATGCTGGCTATGTTAAGATGAATTTCTGTCTTGTTTACTTAAGTTTGCTGTTAGCACAGAGGCTTAAGGTCAGAAATTATGATTGCTCTTCATAACCTGAGACTTTGACGTCTTAAGATTTATGTTAAAAGATGGCATCATTACTTGGAAGAACACAGAAGTCCTCTAGGTTATGGGTGCATAGACCGTGGTATTCTTGTCTATTTTCTCTTTTTTATGATAATAAAATCGGGCTAAGTTGGTCACGTTAGTGCTAGATTCGACTACAATCCCAGTTGTGGCTGATCTTACTTGGATTGGCTGGTCCTCGTGAAAGGGTGGCACTGCTCGAGGAAGCAAACCAGAGAGTGTCATCTATACCTTACTATCAGAGTTGGATGAACTAGGAACAAAAGGAAGAATATACATGAAATACCCTGTGATCTGCTAGCCACTGGTCATTGGCTGTCCATTTCTTGAACTTCGCTACATTTGGTGCACTGTACGACCGAGAAAAAAGTTTAATAAGTGCTGTATTCTATTAGAAAAACATTTGCATGGATTTACATTGCATCTATACCACGTTTAGACGAAGGTAAGCTAGCAGTAGCGTTATACCTTATGTGAGAATAGGTTTCGGAGTTGATTGTGTTAGGTTATTGGGCTCAAATTTGAGAAAAACATATCGCCATGCAATTTATGATCAGCTCCAAAAGATATAAAATATTCAAGTATTTGTGATACTGGGAACTTAGTGCAATGAATCTTTTGTATCTGTGGTAGGATTTTTGGTTGCTTCCTTCTATATTAGGTTCTCATGTAATGTGTTAATTATTTTTTGTGCAGCACAAAACAATCATCAGACAAGGCATCTTGCAAAGATTTTAATACATTTAGTCTGGAGCCTACAAGAGTCCCAGTCAAATTCCACTGTTACTTCCACAGTTTCTTCAAAGGCTGTTAATGCTGCATATATCTCGTCAATCTTTCTTAAATACTTTATTGAAAACGCAAAGATTCATAACTTTGAAGATTTGTATCTTGAAATTGATGAAGGTGAGACAAAACCAGAAAATTTTCCAAAAGGTAAGTGGTTTCCCATTAATTGATTTTATTTAATATACAGTCGTGTAAATGTTCATCTCATGATTAGTAGTATGATATATTTACACGTTAATTTCAGAGACTAATGGAGCTTCTCTTAAATAAAAAATTGTGTTTTACTTCCAAAGTATTCTGCTTTTGCTTCCCCTATTACCAGCATAAACAAGTTTTCACCAACATGTGAGCCTTTGTATGTCAGAAGGTATGAGGGCTCACAGTTTGCTTCATTTTTTGCAGATGAAAACATTCCTCAGTTTGTTATGCGCAGTGTGCTCAGTTTTATTAGTGAGTCTGATGTAAGGTATAGTTTTAGTTAATTTGATTTTTTTATTTCTTTATTTTGCGATTTTGTCCTGTGCTCTGGTTTTGAATCATGTTTCCTTTTAAGTCCTCAGTCATGCCTCGTCCACTATGAACTTTTGAACTTCATGTTTGTGGCCATGTCGACTCAACTGCGTTCTGGGCCAATGCCAGGGCCAGACGATGCTCATCCATTTATTGATGCAGCCATGGTTCAGGTGATAATTTCAAGATTGTCATTTTATGACAGCTGGAGTTTATGAGGAGAGAAACGTCTCACCTCTAATTCTTGAAGTTTTTTTTTTTATGCAGGAAGGTGCTCTTATCTCTTCTGTGGTTCGTAGATTATTGATCAACTATATTACTCGGCCTCGCATTTCTTTTAATGATTCTAGCTATCCCATTTTGACGGAAGAAATGCAACCTGGTGTTCTTCAAAGATTTGGTTCTGCTGCGGGTATGAGTTTTGAAACATCAGCTTCAGCTTGAGTTGTATCTCCTTTCTTGGTATACTTTGATTGGTTGATAGTGGTTTCAGCAATGTACAATTGATTTGTTAGTGGCTTCAGCTCTAATTATATCTCTTTTCTTGGCATGCTTTGTTTCTGCTTGATCTGTGTGACTTCCTGGAAATGATCACCTTGTACTCCCAGGCCTGCTGCTTTATTAGTAGTTGTCTCAGTTCCTAAGAAAACCAACAGAATAGACTGACTTAAGGCATTTTAGAATGACTCCAATAATGGAATTATGCATTGCGTCACATGTTTTTATGAGTACTCAAGGTTGAAAGACTGATGTTTTAGTCCATTGGACTTGTGAGTATGAGCACAAGAGTTTGCTCCCCTTCAAACAAAACAATGGGTTCTAAATTACTTTTCTGGAGGAAGGGGTTCATTATATCTCCAATTCTATCAAAACTTGTAGTTAAAGATACTTGAGAGATATTCTTTCATGACCCGTAAACAACTAGAAAAAACGGATTTCATACCCCATAATAGTTACAAAAGGATCAGATTCTTTCTTCTCTACACGACATAAAAAATCACATTTCTTGCTGTGAAATCTGGTCGTAACTCTTACCCACATGGTTGAAATATGAAAATGGGCCAGGATACATGCACATTTTTGCCCTCATAATACAGATTGATCCCAATCTGATCAAATATTTCAGCAACTGCTATGTTGAATCATACATTGACTTTTAGCGTATTGGCATTTACAACATCTCAGTTTGAGCAAAGATTTCAAATTGACCGCTGGAATTCCTAGCGTCAGTTAGCTGAGTGTATGTGACGTTTTGTAACTTAGTAATGCAAACTTAGCAACACAATTTTGCACATTTCTGTGACAGTTTGTTGAACTTCCAGTGGCCAAGAGGTGCTGAAAATTAACTTTTAGTTTGTTTGACACTTCAGAAATTTCATGTCCTTCATCTTTATCGTTTGTAAAATGATTTGACAGAAAATGAGGAAAAATCAATGGCTGGCCTTTACTTTCCCTCTTTTAACTAGCAAATGCTTGGAGAATCACCTCACTGCTTCCCAACCCAGGAACTGATGTGTTAACATGCAATATCAGCTATAAGTGGAAGTTCAACTAATTCAAACCATATTTCGTACCCAACACAGCTACTTGTTTTCAGCCAAGCATCCTCATCACGTCTATACTCTTTACACCTTGAACTGTAGAGGCAATTAAAAGAGCTCGACAGGCTCCTTCAAAATCTGATCTTTATGCAAGAAGATTGTCAAAAAAATAGAAACATTGGGCCTCTGTTTGTTATGTTAGTTCTTTTCGACTTCTATTGTAGTGCTGCACAATCTTTCTTGGGATACCCTGAATCAGAATATCACAAGAAGATGTTGCCATTTTTTTCGGGAACTAAATGACTCAGATTTGCATTTCAGCATTTTGAAGATTGCATATTCACCTTGATTGATTCCGCTCACTGCCGTTGTGAACATATTTATGTCTAGCTTGAGATCATCTCATGTATGCCAAAAAGTACCAGAATATTCGCGCTCTCAGTGTCTCCTCTTTTGAAACACATTTCATGTCCTCCGTTTGATGGTATACAAACTTGAAAATTTCTCTGCAATCTATATTCTATGTATCAACCTTTTTGTGACGTCTAGACTATCCCCTGAATACTTTGAACCCGAGAAAATAATGAATCCTGTGAAGCATTGCCTCATCTAAACAAGGAGTTCTGATCAATAAGTGGGTGGAAACCTCAGAATCAGATGCTAGCAGTTGTTCTTTGAGTAGGATTCAAGGAGAATTAAATCAGTTATTAATACTGTTGACCACCACGTGGACGGTATTAATGTTAACTTCTTACATGCCAGTATCCACACCTCTAGTACATTTTAAATGTCCTCGTTAGTGACATGAAGAAATGCCCTTGTAAAATAACTGAAAACACATTGTGAAAGGGTAGTCTTTTGGTCAGCCGGAAGTTGGAGTAGAATATTGTTAAGAATATACCAGTGGTAATGGCTCATGTGCTGCGGATACGGGCCATGCTACCATGAAACTAATACATATGGACATGTTTTTGGCATGATGATTACCCTGGAATTTTAATCTTAAGCATGTTGTCTGTTGAATTTAAAATGACACCCTTTAGGATTGCCCTGTGAGAAATTTAGTTGTACCTATCCTTCGATTTTCAGAATCTGCTGAAGATTATCAAATGGTTTGGCATTGCTCTCTTCTTTATGTATCCTTAATAACCTTACCAATGATAACACGTCGATCAATTCTCCAATTCGCCCTAGTTTCACCATTGGCTCAGAAGAAAAGGGATATCATGAACGTTCAGACGGAAGCTGTTTGTTCTTTAATGAAGTTTCATTATACATGGGGTGTAATTCACAGGTTATTGATATCTGCCTCTTAAAGGAACCTGGCTGTCTCTTCTTTCATGTATGAGCAGCTCGTAGTTTACATATTTACCACAATGTTTTCACTCTGTTGCATGTTAGTAGTTTGGTCACTTATGTAACAACATGGTTATTTTCAACATGGTTAAGTATAAGGATCATTGATCATATCATGCTACTACACTATCACACGTTGCAGTTTATTCAACATGGTCATCTTCATGTTATTCATTACTTTCATCTACGTTTTCTGTCCATCCTTTCTTCATTTAGAGCTACTACAGAAAAGCTGTCAACCTTTTTATTCCTGGGAAACTTCCTTGACTCTCTTATAAACGGTTTTCATTTCCTTCATCTCCCATTATTGCCCGTCTCCATTATCTTTGATCCTTTTTTTGTCTTCTCACGCGTTCACTTGTCTTCTCCAATATTCTGCCTATTCAACATAACCACTGATTTAAATCTGAATCTAGTAAGTGGACTTTAATATCTACTTTCCTTCGGGCCAAGTAATTTGTGTTTTATATCTTCACATTTAGATTACCATACCTATATATCTAAAATGCATTTTGTTATGACATCTTGATTATTGAACCGAATTGGATACTTTTTTCTTACTCAAATCATGCCTTATATCCTGTAATGATCTTCTAAATGTTGCAACCTTTAGATTGATGCTTTCTCATAAGCCTAACTTCTATTATAATTCGATTTCTGTCATATCTGTTACCACTAGACTATGTTATAGTCGGCTGCTTTTTGAATAAATGGAATCTTATCATTCTAGAAAAGGAGAGGATACACACACACACACACACACATATATATGTTCAAGGCATCCTTTTTACAAGCCTTTCCACTTGCTCACATTCCTGATATCAGCCATCACTGCTTGACACAGATCAATGTTAAACTGCAATTCGAACCCTCTTTTTCTCTAGTAATACAAAGTAGTATTCTCTCATATCAATGCTAAGTTGATGGATGGTTTGCAAAGGTTTTTTCAATATTGTTCATTAATTAAGTTTAGAGAAATGGACCATTCTTTCACTTAATTTTTTTTGTATGACGTAATTTTTCATTGTTCAATCATCCAAAAATTCTGAATGTTTTTTTACACAATATAATCTCGTAACTGTGATACTTTCTTATGCTCATCACGTATTATACTCGATTATGGTTTCTTCATTTACGCTTGCTATTTTCTTTGAGAAAAGGTTTGCATGTAAATAAATATGAGAGAGTTATATGCTGGAAGTGAGTTGGGACTTTAATTTCCATGTTATGCTTCTATAGTTGTCATTTGTGGTTCCATTAGTGAATAAAAATTTTCAGACTGAAAATTTTGATGAAATTTTGGCAGCTAATTTTGTCCTGTTACCATATTATACTTTCAACTATCTTCTCAATTCAAGTGCCGATGGATCTAGAAGTCTCTTGGCAGACAACAGCCTGCTGGTATTACTGGTCCTAATTCACTATCGAAGATGTGTGTTGATGGACGGTTCCATAAATAACTATGCAGTAGCAGATGCAGCCCCAAATGTTCCTTCCAAAGACGGTTCATACTTTTCAAGCAATCCTTACTGCAAGGCCTTGGAAAATGCCAGGGATATTGAATGTGACATCTGTGCTCTTTTTATTGAGACTGTATACTTTCCCTTGCCTTTCTGCTTGTTTCTGAAGAATATCTTATTGCAGTTGATCGTGTAGATGTCGAGGGGAATGCCCAGACTGGGCCTCTGGTGAGATTGCCGTTTGCTTCATTATTTGATACCCTTGGAATGTAAGTGCTGGGGTCTTCTTTGTTAACCATACATTTGGATATCATCTTCTGCATTGTGGATGCATGGGAATCAGATTTAAAAAGTATTATCTCTTTAATTGGCTATCTCTGTTGACTTAGCTCTCTTGGTTTTAAAGCTGCAAGTACACAACCTCATGAAGGTAATAAATGGATTAGACGAATCCTATCTAGTTGCTGACAGTGCTGATGTGTTCTTTTCTTCGCACTAAATTGTGAAATAAAAAAAGCTGATGGTGCTTACTCTCCCACTGCTGGTTCTTCTGAAGGATTGAAGGTGTTTCCTTTAAACGTAAAAAACTATATAAAGTAGTGAGAGATGTAACACCCTTTTGAGATGCACCCAACGTGTTCTTATCCTACTGCATTGGCAAATCTGTCTTTGAATACTCTCGTAACAGGATAACAAAACCCCACCAAGGATGCTTGGATGCACCCAATGAAGAGGGAAATTGGATCCCTGATAATGGTTTTAGAACAGTTGAGTCTATTAATGATGAATTCGCATATGCACCGAAAGGTGGGAAACCGAGTTTCTACCACCAGTAGCAGCCACCTTTTTCCCTTTATTTGCCACTTTGCATCTCTTCTTCCTTTACTTGTAGAGGACCCATAATGCATTCGATCCCTTTCCTTTGTAACCTTTTTCTCCAGGAGCAGCAGCACTTTGCAGACTTCAATCTTCTTCTTACATTCTTGGGTGCCATATAAAATCATGTAACTCCATGGGCTGTGGTACCTAGTGCGTAGTAAGTCTTCCATCATGTCGACAAGTTATCCTTTTTTTAATACTTTTTTATAAGAAAGGTTCAGTCAGTGTATCAGATTGGTCTATCTGGCAAGCGCAATCCAATGTGTCTAAGTTGGAATCAGGCCTAGTTAGACTCTAGTCCTTCAATTACACTTTCTTCTCCATTTTATGGTATTCTCATCGCCATCATTAAGTTGGCAAAACTTTTCATCAGTAATTTGACGCTTATATCTTCCGTGACATAATTTAATTTATTATCTCTTTGAATTTATCAACGAAAATACTAAATAATCATTTGAAAGTTGAGATGGGAAATTTCCATATTACTACTACCTGAGTGAGTCAAGTACTGAACTCTTTACAGTATTCGTCAACATGCTGAGAACTTGCTGCACTAATTTGATTTATTTGATTGGGACAACTTTTTGGAAGAAAATGTAAGTTTTATGAGTTGAAATTATGAATCGATTTGTTGTGCTTTGATTTATTGATGTTTTATGACCTTCGTTGGTGTTTCCTTTTTTTTTTTCTTGGCGCTATCTTTTCCTCTCAATCCTCTCATGTTCCTTGGAGGATCCTTATTGGTTTCGTATCAGCAGGTGCTTGTCAGATGAGAATTCTGTCTTATTGCTTTACTCTTTGGTGTATGGGAACTCAGACTTCTTGGAATATGTTTTCGTGCGGACTGATCTTGATACGCTGGTATGCAGCAGCATTAACTCTTTGGTATTGCAATTTTTTTTCTTGATATTTTGGTAGTTTTCTTGTTTTTTCTCTGACGCATTATTTATTTGAATGGGATGGGCATTCCACTGATTGTGGTTTAAGATTCTGAATCACTCTATTTTAAGTTATCATAATTTTTTTATTTTTTGCACGAGCGATTTAAACATTTCTAGTAACAGTAATGTTTTTAATAATGCAATCCCCAGTTGATGCCGATTTTGGAAACACTCTATAATGCTTCAAGGCGGACATCAAATCAAATCTATATGCTGTTGATTATTCTTCTCGTACTGAGCCAAGATTCATCTTTCAACGCCAGTATACATAAGCTGGTAACACTACTCAAATATTTCAAAGAATGTCGCACTTTTTGTGAGCATACTAAGTGAACTTATGAACTTTAATTTTTAGGTACTGCCAAGTGTTCCATGGTATCAAGAACGTCGCCTTCATAATACTTCTCTTGGTTCCCTGATGGTTGTTATACTCATCAGGACTGTTATGTATAATATGTCTAAACTACGGGTATGTCTTTTTCTTCATTAGCGAGATGTATGAATGCTCGTTATTCTGCTTCTTTCTCCACAGCCATGGTCAATCATGAACTGTTTAAGATGTCTGATGGAATGTTTCTTCTGTCTCTGTTCTATTGAAAACGTTATTGCACCAAATGGTGCGAAATCTTGCGCTGTTGACTAAAAATGAAGCAACTTAATGCAGGATTGTAGTGTAATGTATTATGCATCTCAATGTCGTTCTTTAACTTGTTGAAATATGCGTTCCTATGTTTTATTATTGTGAAAAATGTTTTTCACAAAAGGATGAAAATATTCTTGTTCTATAATCTTAAAGTCTTTGACTTGCCATATCTTGCTCAGGTGTGGGGTGCTGATTTATGATTTTTTCATTGCTTGCACGACAATATTTTAATTATTGCAGGATATTCTGACGAATGAGGTATCGTGTGTAAATTTTTCAGGATGTTTACCTTCATACAAACTGTCTCGCAACTTTGGCAAACATGGCTCCTCATGTTCATAGATTAAGTGGCTATGCATCCCAAAGGCTGGTTAGCCTTTTTGACATGCTGGGGCGCAAGTACGCTCACTTGTTAATGTAGTGGTTTTTTTTGAGTCCCTTTACCTAGTGACTAAGCTTTACAGTTTTTTCAGGTACACAAAATTGGTAGAAATTAAGCAGGGTAAGGGTCCCCTTTCTAAAGGAGACCAAATTGAAGGTGGCATCATTCCAGATGATGTGGTAACTTTCTTTGTCCCATGGATCAATTGTATTTGTTGATTATTGTGTTTTTTTCCTGGTCTTTTTTTGTTGAACAATTGATTTTGAAATGCAGTCTGCAGAGCTTCAGATTTACACTGATTTTTTACGGATTGTTCTGGAAATTGTAAATGCAATACTAACCTATGCCTTGCCACGGAACCCCGAGGTTTGTTTCCAATTTTCTTCGATCATTACTTTCTCAATTATCATCACAGTAGAGAAATGTGAGGCATTACATTACATTACGTGTATTAGGTTGTATATGCGATAATGCACCGACAAGAGGTGTTCCAGCCTTTCCGGGATCATTCACGATTCAGTGAGTTGCTTGAAAATATCTATACAGTAAGCAATCTGACGAAGAAAGCTGTGCCTCCTGTCTCTAGTTAATTCATGTTGAAGCTCGTTTAGCTAATCAGGTTCTGCTTTGTACTTGATAATTTTGACATCTAGGTACTGGATTTCTTCAATAGTCGCATGGACACACAGCGAGTTGATGATGAATGGTCCGTGGACAAAGTCCTGGAAATTATTATTATCAACTGCCGATCCTGGCATGGTGATGGAATGAAGGTTGGTTGCTTGTTCTATCTAATTGAGATAGCCCTCTCATTGCTCAAAGTTCTTGTGAAATGCGATTGCAAACTGTGGTTTCTGCAGATGTTCAATCAGCTGAAGTTCACGTACGAGCAAGAGAGTCATCATGAAGAGTTCTTTATTCCGTACGTGTGGCAGTTGGTTCTTTCCACTAGGTAACCTTTTCCCCACAATTTCTGTTTATGCTAGTGCTTCTCTTGCTATTCTTTTATGAGGTCGTAATGGAAAGCTTCACTAGGTTGTGTAGTCTTCTCAAAGCCACCAATTCTCCTTAAAAGTGCTTGGACATTGTGCCATAACCAGGGAGCAGACCAGAGATATCCTAATAGTTTTTTGACCTGAGTTCTAGTTTTGTGAGAAGCCCTTGTGATATTGGCCTAAATTTTGGAAGCTTTCCTTTAAATTATGGTGGTCTCATGCGCTGCAATAATCCTCTCAATATGCTTTCTCCCTATTGTGCTGAGCGGAACTCCTTTCTGGGATGGGATGGGATGGGATAGAAGCTGTATTTTTAACAATGGCTTTAATGTATATGTAGACTCTCCTGCTGTTGACATCTGTTTGTTGCCTTTTGTGAAGCGGTTTCACCTTCAGTCCAAGTTCCATTAATTTGTTTCCGACAGATCACGTCGTCGACCAATACATGTGAGTTCGTCCTTTATGTTCTCTGTTGGGTGTGCTTATTAGTGTAATATTATAGCTTTGAGATGCCTTTTGGTGTGGTTTCGACACCCAAAATGGCCAATGGGGTCATGTGGATTTACATCGTCACATGGCCTCAAAAAGGTTTGCTAAACTCGTAATAGCTTCGATGGATCGGAAATACTACTGTGTACTTTTGTCTGACCTAATGTTTTAACAGGCATAAACCGCTCTGTTTTGCGGGAATAATTTAGGTTTTCTTTCTTCATGGTATCACAGGTCTGGAGAGGCGCACTGAAATTCTGAGACTTTCCAATAGCCGTGTACAAACTTGCTTCCACTTGCCTCGAATGGTTAGCTCTCAAACCATTAGTCTGTCGATCATATAAACCATTCCTCATTAGTGATGAAGAGGGAATAAAGCCCTCCGTCTTGTTCACCGAAAGGTTCAAATAAAACATTCCTCCAACACTATCCCCCGCCTCTGACATTTTTTTGCATTGCAGGTTTTGGATCCACTCCTGATTCAGCAATTTCCAAGCTTCTGTTATCGATTTAGCTGGCTGCCCTCTGTAGAGTGCAGTCTTCCTCCAGATAAATGTGGAAAGCCGGTTGATGCGAGTCCACCTCCGGCTTCTGTGTATATGATCTTGGCCCATATAGTTCGCGTGATGATAATTTGGTTTATTTTTTGTATGAATCTTGGTGATTCCAATCCATGTGCTGGCATGTACAGGGCACTGGAGACTCATCGCCTCTCCAGATATGGAGTGAGGAATGGACCCCGTCAAAATTTTGTCTGAAGGGTAGCCTTCCTTTGAACCTTATACTGGGTCTCTCTCTCTCTCTCTCTCTCTCTCTCACACACACACACACACACACACACACACACACACACACACACACACACACACTCTCTCCAACACAAACACGCGTGAGAAATCATATTTATATCTTACCCCCGTCACTCTTCCTCAGCCAGGCTCGGGCAGAATAGCAGAACAAGTCCAAGTACGCTTGAGAAAAAAATGGTGGCGGCCATAGACAGGATATGCTAAAAAAGAGAAACTGATTGATTAATTATTGAAAGAAACGACTTTTAGACAGTAGTAACTAGGACTGTTAGAATCACTGATACCACGTGCTACGTGCTTTCTGCTTTCCGACTTTCTAAGTTTTCCTTCCGTGTCTTCCTTCAATGTTCCACAGTTTTTCGAGGCTTGCACGTTCCTAACGTAACGATTTTATTCTCCGTAATAACGAGACGCCTCTGGCTGCTGTTTAAAGCTTTCTTTCCTCATGGAGACAAGCCAGACTTTCTTCACCCAATGCAATAAAAATGAAGGGTTTCTTCTGCTGTTGTAAATTTCTGGATACCATATTTGCCGAGGTGGTCATGTTTGTATGGGATTCCTCTTAGCTCTTCCTATCCAGGAGGGCTTCTCCCCGCATGAGCAGGGTTTGGTCCGGATTCTGCCATCCTCGGGCTCCTTCTGCTGGCTTTGGAGAAGGGAACCCAAGAAGGCTGGTAATGAAGAAAACACTCATGTCTGTCTCCTCTTAAACAAGAAAGAAAGGAACCTTGGGAAGTTAGTCAGAAACTTTCTCCGATACCAACCACATGGGCACGTATGTACAGGATAAAGTGATCCACTGCACTTGCAAGGTCTGGAATAACCAACCATACGGATGTCTACGAGTAGATCATATTTATGGTCTGCGATTCTATGCACCATCTGTTGCATCCTAAGGTGTAATCCGATGAAGTAGAAAATTTCCGCGGAGGTTGTTTGTACAGCAGAAGAGAGTGGCCGTTCGTTGTGGGCTTCAGACGAGTGGGCCGCCGGTGACGAACTCGGTGAAGGCGAGGGCGACGAGGCCGAGCATGGCGAACCTGCCGTTCCACATCTCCGCGTCGGAGGTCATCAGGCCGGCGGAGCGGGACTCGGGCGTCACCCCCTTGAACAGCGGCACCAGCGACGCCAGCGACAGAACCGACGCCGTCGCCACGAACCACGGCACCCCCGCGCCCTCCGCCACCTGCGCCGCGAGGCCGGTCCCCCTCGCCAGCTCCACCCCCAGCGCCGCCACGAACCCCACCATGGCCAGCCTCCCGTTGATCCTCTCCGGCGCCGGCCCCCCGAACGCCAGCACGTCCGAGAACTTGGTGCTCACCACCGCCTTCGGCCGAGCCGGCGGGGGGGAGGACGGCGACGGCGTTGCATCCGGGGCGAAAGCGGAAGACGACGGCTGGTCCTGCGGCTTCTCCTGTACCAGAAAAAAGAAAAGGAAACGCACGCCACGGGGGAGAAGCCCGATCAGTAAGGAGGTAGAGGAAACAGCCTTCAAGCTGGGCTAGGCGGCTGTAGAAACAAGGGAGGGTCCGTCCCGGTGGCCTACCTCCGCCTGGCTCCGGACCCGGAAGGAGGTTGCGCGGCGGCTGCACTGGCGAGGAAGTGCTGCGGCGGAGTGGCTCCTGCGGCTACCGGCGTTGGGGGACAGGGAGGCAGAGATTACGGAGGAGGACATGGGCGCGGCTGAGAGAGCCATCTCTCTCTCTGTCTCTCTCTACCGCCTCCCGCTAGGTCGAAACTCGAAGGGAAGGAGTGCTCTTGCCGGAGGTAGGTCGATGACGCTACTAACAGTTGCTGGGTGTAATATCAAAGGGCATGGGGGTTATTTATAGTGAAAGAGGACGAGGAGGAAGAGCCTGGTCAGGAGGTGGCCACGTCGGCCGCCAGGGCAGCAACTTCTGGACGGTGGACGTGGACTGGTGCTGTCCGGCACCTCATGACGTTCGGACGTGGCTGGGCCACCGCCGCGGGAAAAATGCATTTATTAGTGTTTCCAGAGACTTCGCTTGCCGTTGATTTTCCCCAGATGATTGGGAGATGCGCCCGCTGGACACGTGGCGTACCGGGATAATTGTGCTTCGGGGTTCCAGAGACCTGACACAGTCCCACAAGCTGCAGCCGGTTCTGTGGGCCCAATAGGGGTAACCCCACTAGAGGGCTTGCGGACAGTGATATCACCTCCCGAAGTGGCCGAGAGACCCCCGCGGTGGAGAGCACCGACAGTAGGCTTTCGAAAACTGTGGTGCCTTGTTACCTACGTAAAGGCCGTCGTGGGAGAGAGAGAATGAGAGGGTGGGTTGGATTTCAAGGACGGCGTTCGTCAAGGCGACCCTCGTCGCCACTTCCGCTGGTATGGCCGTAGGCATAGCCGCCGCCGCCGCGCAAATTGGCATCCCCCTCTCCTTCCACCGCGGCCCATCTCCCACAGCTGCCGCTGCCCGCCAGCAGCGCCGCCTCCTTCACTACCCCCTCAGATCACCCTTCCATGTTGCCCGCTTCCCTTCCCCACTCACCCCGGTCACCAAAATGGTCCCCACCGCCGCCTCCTGGGCCGCGGCCGCGTCGCCATCGCTTGGGGAGCTTGCGAGGGCGTTCGCGAACATGGCTGGGGTGGTGGCGGAGAGGATGGCCGCCGGCCTGAGTACGCCGTCGATGGCGGTGCTGGCAGGGACAGGACGATGCCTGGAGCTCTACCGGCAGGTCCTTCTAGTGCGGTGCCTTCTGACGTGGTTTCCCAGCGTGCAGTGGGAGCAGCAGCCCTTCTTGGCCATGAGGGGCCTCTGCGACTCCTTCCTCCGTTTATTTCAGCGCGCTGTCCCGCCCGTCTTCGGCAACACGCTCGACGTCAGCTCCCTCTTTGCCATGACCGCCCTCCGCATCCTCGCCAGACTGTTGACCCCCTCCGGCCCCAACGGATTATGAGATCATCTTAGTTCTCTCTCCTTCCCTCCTTCCCTCCTTCCCTCCTTCCCTCCCTCCCTACAATCCCCAACCCCAGCAAAGAAGTGTTGATTGTATTCCATCAGATAATTGATGCACATCACAAATGCCCTTGTGATATGGAAGTGTCCATGGTAAGGTAAATGGAATCTAACAGAAGTGTTTGTGGATTACTAACGTACCTTATATCTCCTTAAAAGTGTAAAGTAGAAGTCATAATTGAATGGAAAGTCTATAATAAAAGGCTTAATTTCATGATTTAAATTCTAAATAATTAAATAGAAAAGCACATGAAGGAACCAAGTAATATTGTCCAAATATCGGAAAAATCGAATGTAATTATCTGAAAAAGATTCAAACATAGAAAATAATGTTGAGATGAACTTCCAAGGCTCATGAGACCTATTGTGGTGTCCTTTTTTGGCAGCTGTAATTCTGATTCTTTGAAATTGTAAATTGGTGGAACACATCCACACGTTTTGTAGGGTTCTTCTATCGTTATAATTTATAAGGTATCATTATAAAATGTTCAATTTTCAAAGCCCTGAACATAATTGTTTCTAAAGCCTTTTCACATGTTATTTCAAGGAAGATGTTTTTTTCTGGTTTTTTTACCTTTTGAGAGTTAACTCTACCAAATACTTGAGGTGTCAAACTTGTGGAATAAGAATGTTGATATTTAAAGTCAATTTTTTTCCACCAGATAAGGACAACATTTAAGTGGCATTGATTCTAATGAGACCACAAAGAACCAAGAGGGAGGCAATGATTTTGACATCCTCTTAAATGAAGGAATAAGATTAGAATAGTTTCAAAATAACTAATGAGAAACACAAACAATCCAAAGATTCATCTTGCTAGGAACAATTGGGGTGATTAGTAGAAGGTATGCACAGTTGTAATAGTCTAATTGTTTTAGCTTACTCCACCTGAAAATGGTATCATATCTGAAGTTCGACAATCTATAATCTAAGTGGATTTAAGAATTTTGATCTTAATAGTTTATCATTGAAGTAGAAAATGAAAGCTACTCTAAAATACAGTTGGTTACACCAATCCCATTAATTAATAAATAAATTGTTAGATCTAGTTCTCTTTGCTATGTAAATATGTTTTTTAGGCATCATATGCATTAAAAAGTCAACTTAGTGCAAAATAAAGAGTTCTAGAAGAAAAAATAAGAGGAAAGAGATAAATTTATCAACCCTTGTTGCAACCTGTAGGTCAACTCATGTGCTGACCTACAAAAGTGTTTGCCTACCCAATTTAAGAAAAACAAATTATCAACTCACAAAAGATTGTGTCAACCCATCTATGTCTAAAGATAGAAAGTGTGTTAGCTTGTGTCAATTGAAAATTGAATGTTTTCTAATGAATGGGTTAAAAGTTATAGCAATAGAAAAAACTCTTCAAATGAATAACTTAGACTTACAGCTATGAGGCAAAGGGATGACAATAGCTCTCATGATCCTTGAAAGCTCATCTCAACATCATTTCTATGTTTGAGTCCATTTGAAATAGTTACTTTCAATTTTTTCAATGATTGAATAACATGTGCTAGGTAGGCACCTTCTTGTCCTTTTCTATTTGTTTATTTGAAAATTAAATCATGAAATTAACCTTTTTGTTATAGACTTCCCACTCAACTATGACTTTTAGTTTACATTTTTAAGGAGATATAATGTACGACAATATCAAAAAACATTTACATTAGATTCCATTTATCTTACCATGAACACTTTCATATCATAGGGGCATTTATCATGTGCATCAATTATCTGATGTGCATGGATACAATTAACACTTGTTTGTTGGGGGTGGTAGGGAGGGAGGGAGGGAGACTGAGATGATCTTATAAGTGTTGGGGACAGAGGGGCTCAACAATCTAACGAGAATGCAAAGGACAATCATGGCAAGTGTGTTGCCAAAGATGGGTAGGGCAACATGCTGAAAGAAATAGAGGAAGGAGTTGTAGAGGCCCCTCATGGCCGAGAAGGGCTGTTGCTCTCACTATATGCTGGGAAATTGATCATTCCTTTTCTCTCTTGACATGAATTCAACACAGAAGATGGTTGTATTGATTATAGATGATGAAATGAAGAGAGATGAATGAGCATTATTCACAAAAATAAAGAACAATTAACACAAGTTGACAACAAGAGCCAGTCTGGAGAGGATTAGGTTGAGATTAATAACAACAAACATACAAGCATACAAGGTAGATGACTGTATTCGATGGGAGTCAACCTCAAGACTTCTCTTCCCTTTGATTTTTATTTTAGCTAGATAAAACATATAGATTTCAAGAATTTATTTGTAGATAACTTATTTAATTTGAATTCAATTTAAATCTCCCATGTCTTCCTCCAATTCTAACTCTATAGTAGCTTGTCCTACTTTGGACAATATGTTATCCCCTCCCTTTGTTTGCCTTAAAGCTCAACACCCCTTCTTTATCTAGTTGACCAATACAAGGATTACATCAATTCTTTTCCCTAGGAGAGCCACCTTATCCTTAATGCAGAAATTGGAGAATTGAAGGCGGTCTTCTATGCATCTTCTCAAATTAGGGAATGAAACGCCATTCTATTGGAGTAAGACTTTCAAACCGTGTGGCATTTGTCATACTTAAATAAGATCTCTTGGCATCATGGGTTAAGTGTCATCCATGTCTAGTTGCAATGATAAGAGTTGGATAGAAGGTGAATTAGTGATTGCTCAGCAAAGTTGGGAGACATGGAACACCCAATAGATCTTGGTAATGATTGCTATTTCCAACTAAATGGTAAAGGCTCTTAATGCATTCTAAGATTATAAAGGGCCTAAATAAATAGGAGAACATCCTCTCATATGGCCTTTGACTCAACAAGTGTAGTCAATATAATCATAGACAAAAGTAAATGGTATCATTGACATTGGACTGAATATTGTGATACTTTTAGTGGGTGTAAGCCTTCATTCAAGCTTGAGTTTGCATCAAGATTGGGCTGTCATAAGAAGAATATTCAAAGAGGGCCAATTAACTATTGAGTCCAATAAGGGCATGAAAACTTATTTTAAAAAAACTAACTTTCTATAAACTTACCTTGTCTCTTTTCTTCTAGAAGGTGCTTTAAATGTTGTTTAGAGTATGTCCATATGATATATTCAAGATCCTAATTTATCAACCTATTTTAGGTCATTTCATAGTCAATTAGAGCTTGTCCTTGAGATCTATTTAGAATCTGTATCTGTCAATTTGTTGCGAGTCATTTTAGAGCTAGTTAGAGTTTATCTTTAGAATCTGGTCAAGATCTATGTCCAATTTATTTCAAATCATTTAGAGTCTATTAAAATTTGTCTATAATATTTTCTTGGTCTTTATTTTGGGAGCATCACACCTTCTTTAGGCTTATATAAAGACATCATTGTAACTTGAAGACTACACTTTTGAAATATTTTGAGTTTTTCTCTCTTGTGAGGTTCCCTTCTTTCTACTTATGAATTCAAGTTCCCCCTTATGGATTCAAGGGTCCCCCCTTGATCTAGTGGATTTAAGGTCATCTCTCTTTGTGGATTCAAGGGTCAAAAGTTCTAGTTCTATGGATTTAGAAACAATTTTCTTCTTCAAAGTTCATGCTTGGTGGATTCAAGCTCGGATCTTACCATCTTCTACATCACTGTTGCATCATCGTACTACATCTCACACAAAAATAAAACAATAAACCTAATTAAAAGACAAAAATCTAACTTTAACATTAATTTTGTCTCATTTTTCCTTAATCTAGCATCTAGGCGACTAACAAACTATGAGATTACATCTCACACTTCATTTTTTGTACTGGGATTTTAGTTAGTTTCTTATTCATTTTTCAATACTCTTTTTTCTTAGACATATAGATTATATTTTCTTTTATTTTTATTTTTTCTTAAAACATAGTGACAAAATCATGAGCATTCATAATGAGATTAATCATCATCTATGTGGATGACTTGAATTCACCAAAATTTAGTTTTAATTCTTACTTTGAATTCACTTTACAAATATTTCAAATGTGATCATCTTGCTAACAAAGAACAAAGTTATACCAAATTTTTGATATCATGCAAGGGATTTATTTGGTTGTTTGTTTTTATTATGTACTAGTTTTTTTCCTTTTCTTCTCTTAAGTGTATTAGAAAAAGAGATTTGATTTTATACAAAATATTTATATTTATTTTTCCTCTATTGATTTACTCTATTATTGGAATAGGACAAGTAGGGGGTCAATCCTCTTACTTGCCCTATTCCAATAATAGATTTTTTGTTTGTCTTTCCTCTACTGATTTACAAAATATTTGGTTGGTTGTTTTTATGGATTTGTATAGTCATTGTTATGCTTTGAGTTTATACAAAATATTTATATTTAATTTTTCTCTACTGATTTATTCTATTATTGAAATAGGGCAAGTAGGGGGTCGACCTCAAGGAATTGAGATTTATATTTCTAATATAGTTTAAGCTGGAGAGGTAGATAAGAGATTAGAGAGATAGGATGGGGAGGAAAAAGTAATGGAAGAACGAGAATCTTGATTTCGTGATTTTGAGTTATTCTAAGAAAATTGAGATTCCGATTTTGGAATTTAGAGGTGGTTGAGATGCTTAGACTTAGGGCTTAGGATAATGATTTGAAAGAGGAAAAGATGATGGATAGTGAGAGGCTCAAGAAGATCTTGATTTTCTTGCAAAAATCAAGATATCCACAAGCTCAAGAGTAATGGTCAGACTAGGGTTTGATTTTATGGAATAGAAAAATAAAACAAGAGAAGCAATTTTATTAAATATCAAAGGATGAGGCCATGAATTTCATGATTTGAAGTCCATACCTTGGGTTTCTATATTTCACTCAAACTAAATGATTTTCTCCAGCAAGAACACACTTAAAAAATTAAGAGCAAAGTTCACAACACTTCACCTCATTTCAAATTCATTAATCTAGATCCTAGGAAAGTCTTTTCTTGTGGCCAGCCTCTATTAGGAGAATCTCTAGCTTACTGTCATAAGAAAGGAAAAATAGGTTTTATATATAGGAATGTGATAAGTTTTCATTATCATGAGTTAATAATTAATAAATAATATAGTTTTAGTCTTAACTCATAATAAATAGATTTATCTTTATGTTAAATTATGAAAAGTGATTTTTAATTAGTTATTATAAGTTTGTGGCTAATTATGTAATTTTATATGAATTTATATAAGTTTTATAATCTTATTTTTGACATAAATAAATAGAAATAAAATAAAATAAAAAGATAGAAAAATGGAAAACTCATTAATTAGTCGGGCCCACAAGTGGGTCGAAAGCATAGTTGAGTAGAGCCCTAGTGGTGGGCTCGAGTGGGTAAGGATGGACTAACAGGGGACACGTGTTCGTCATTCTCTTTGCACATCACTGGTGGCTAGTTAGGTGTGAGGTAAGGAGCAATTGTACACACGCAAGAGAGAGGCTTATTGATCATAAGATCTTCTATTATTATATATACACCTCAAAACTCGTAAAATAATTAATATGAGATTAAACCGACTTCTCGAAGATTTTTATAATTTTAATACTTAAACTATCTCTTATTTATAAAAACGAGATATTATGATGATGTCACTATATAAAGATATTTGAGTACTTGTTTTCACTCTCTCTCATACAGGTGGGTAACAAACGGAAGTTCAAATCTAACTAAAGTTAACACTCATATTTTTTATTTAATTAAATCACAATTTTTCAATGGATCACTAGTGAAAGATCAAGTCACCAAAATTACTCAATCATTAGTGATAATCTCATCAACGTGATTCGCTTAACATCATTACTAAAGTTGCTGAATGATTCACAATAAAAGGATTGTGAATTCATCAAGTAAATCATATCCGATTGATCGACGAATAAGCTGTCATTAGAAAGAGGATGATTTGTCAAGAGATAAATTGTCACCTCTTGAAAGTATATCAGATGTGATGAAAAGCCTTTTAAGGTTGTGGACATTACATGACAATCCTTTAAAATACTCAAAATTTTGACGTATTACTGTCGCGATGTTAAAACTTTGTTTTACTATTTTTTTAACTAATTTAATTTTCACCATCACTCTTTGGACTTTAAAAGAAAATTAAGTGAATGCCCAAGTCATCATTGTCCAAAAAAAGTACTTGAAGTTGTAGATATCACACGATAATCATCTCAAACACATAGAATTATGACGATTGCTATTGTGAGACTGAAACTCTATCTTTTCTACTTTCAACTTAATTTTTACTTAATTTGGTGACACTTTATATAACTTTAAGTTTCTAAAAGATTCTTCATTCAATTACGATTCTTGTGTATTTTACAAATCTTAATTTGACTCATTAAATTGTCTATAATCATTTATGTGAGAATCACCAAGTGGAACTTTATTTGCCTAAATGCTGACATCATCCTAATGTTTGCACCCTTATTTTTCTTTTTCATGAATTTTTAAATATATTTTATATTCATCATTTAGTCTAAAAATTATAAAAAAATCATATTATTTTAAGAAAATTTTGAAATATTATCTGATATTATCTTACATCCTTGTGATTAACCTAAAAATTCTCCACTATTTTTGGAAACATTTTATTTAATTATAATTTATTTATTTATTTTAAAATATTTTAAAAACAATCTAAAAATTGATATTTTCTAATTTTATAAATATTAAATTTGTGTGATTTGTTATACAATGACTAAGTCATGTTATGATACATTTTGCAAAAGAATCCTCTCTCTTTCCTATTATCTTCCCATGCCTTTCTCCTTCATTCCTTTGCTTAGGGGCCCAATAGAGCTCAAATTCATGGCCTATCTTAAACAAGGAGGTTGATGAGACATTGGGCTAGAACATGCTGTGCTCCCCTCTCTTTCTTCAGGCCCTTTCTTGGCCCACAGTGCTCTGCATGATCTCTTACTTTCAGCTCGATAACTAAACTAATCACTTAATTAAATTCACTTAATTCCTACACACAATATACTAAGAATATTTATCAATAATAATACTATTTGACTTCTAAGAAATCAAACAGGTTAGCCTTAAGGAAATAAATCAATAGTGTTCATGTGTGCATGAAAATAGAGCACAATACTTTAAGGTTAATATTCACAAGATGGCATAAATTCCCTATATATTTATATTGTTAATAATTCCATAGTAATCATAAAATTCATATATATATATCAACATATTTTTCATGAGAACTTATAAACAAGGAGTCATTACTCGTATTCGTAGTTTTAATGTTACTAACATGATCTCGATGAATTTTTGAGCTCAAAAGCATATAAAATCATAGATATTATCACTATATTTATCATGTTATCAACCTCCAACAATGTTAGCACAATGATAGGTATGTTGTATAGGTTCCTTTCCTGAGGAAGGTGGGAGCTCATCTTGTTTACCTTGTTGTCAATTATGTGGGCTTGAGACAATTCCGTGTTTATTGTCATCAAAGGTGGAAACTTTAGATGACTATCATCACATAATTATTTACCTTGTAACATTTAGATTGTCTTTTTACCTCCATAGATATTAGTTCCATGTTCTTTGTTTCAACTTTTTGTGCTATGTGCATAATGGCCTTCAGACATTTTGGGTCGAGCAAACTGAATTCAATTTGAATTTTCCTCTTCAATCACTTGAGGAAGGTGTTCTCAATGGTAGGTTTAGATTTCTCACCTATTACAATGGTCATCAACTCAAAGTCCTCATAGTATTATGCTATTGACCCTCGTTGTTTGATGTAGGAATTACTAGTAGAAGGAAGCTGTTTCTAAACCACTCAAAAATCTTATGAAATAGATCTTTCAAGTTGTGAAAATTTTCTTAGTTTGCTATCCAGCGAAATCACAATACAGCTCTCCCTTCTAGGCTCATGTGTGTGCTGGTTATCTTATCTTCTATTGAGAGCTTGTGGATGGAAAAATAAAGTTCATTGTGAAAAACTCAACTTTTCGAGTTATCACCATTGACATCTCAAGTTTCTAGGTACGCAGTCATGATTTGCTACCTGCTTGAATGGTCAGGGGAGTCACTGTGCATTGTGATTTGACAGGGCATGGTCGCTCTTGGACAGTTGGACCATCCTGCTGACTTTTAGTTAGAGTTGATTGGTCTAGATCAGGTGCATTGACACATTTGTCATATGGCGATGTATCTAGAGGTGGCCGTGGAGGCAGTGGTTTGATCTGTTGTAGTAGATCATCGGGTAAACGAATGAGTTTTAGCTACTGGTCCCCTTTGATGTTAGGAATATTACGGTAGATCTCTTTGCTGTCTCATTCCACTTGTTCCACCTTATCATTGGCTTTGGAAGGCATGATGGGAATGTCTTTTGATACCAAATTGATGGGTCCCAGTTACTTTTACATAGGTAACAAGGAACCACAATTTTCAAAATCTTGGGGATAAAGTGGTTACATAATGAACAGTTTAGGATTTTAAGCGAAAAATGACCTCATGTTGGCACTTTCCACCGCGGCGGTCTCTCGGCCACTTCGGGAGGTGATATCACTGTCCACAAGCCCTTTAATGGGCTTACCCCTACTGGGCCCACAGAATTGGCTATTGGTTGTGGGACTGGGTAATAACTCTGAACCCTGAAGCCCAACAGAGGGCTCACAGAATTGGCTACTGGGCCCACAGAGGGCTCAGGAACCCTGAAGCCCAATTATCCGATACGTCACGTGTCCAGCTGTTGTATCCCCCCAATCTGGGGAAGCGAAGTCTCTGGAAACACTAATAAATGCATTTTTCCCGCGGCGGTGGCCCAGCCACGTCCGAACGTCATGAGGTGCCGGACAGCACCAGTCCACGTCCACCGTCCAGAAGTTGCTGCCCTGGCGGCCGACGTGGCCACCTCCTGACCAGGCTCTTCCTCCTCGTCCTCTTTCACTATAAATAACCCCCATGCCCTTTGATATTACACCCAGCAACTGTTAGTAGCGTCATCGACCTACCTCCGGCAAGAGCACTCCTTCCCTTCGAGTTTCGACCTAGCGGGAGGCGGTAGAGAGAGACAGAGAGAGAGATGGCTCTCTCAGCCGCGCCCATGTCCTCCTCCGTAATCTCTGCCTCCCTGTCCCCCAACGCCGGTAGCCGCAGGAGCCACTCCGCCGCAGCACTTCCTCGCCAGTGCAGCCGCCGCGCAACCTCCTTCCGGGTCCGGAGCCAGGCGGAGGTAGGCCACCGGGACGGACCCTCCCTTGTTTCTACAGCCGCCTAGCCCAGCTTGAAGGCTGTTTCCTCTACCTCCTTACTGATCGGGCTTCTCCCCCGTGGCGTGCGTTTCCTTTTCTTTTTTCTGGTACAGGAGAAGCCGCAGGACCAGCCGTCGTCTTCCGCTTTCGCCCCGGATGCAACGCCGTCGCCGTCCTCCCCCCCGCCGGCTCGGCCGAAGGCGGTGGTGAGCACCAAGTTCTCGGACGTGCTGGCGTTCGGGGGGCCGGCGCCGGAGAGGATCAACGGGAGGCTGGCCATGGTGGGGTTCGTGGCGGCGCTGGGGGTGGAGCTGGCGAGGGGGACCGGCCTCGCGGCGCAGGTGGCGGAGGGCGCGGGGGTGCCGTGGTTCGTGGCGACGGCGTCGGTTCTGTCGCTGGCGTCGCTGGTGCCGCTGTTCAAGGGGGTGACGCCCGAGTCCCGCTCCGCCGGCCTGATGACCTCCGACGCGGAGATGTGGAACGGCAGGTTCGCCATGCTCGGCCTCGTCGCCCTCGCCTTCACCGAGTTCGTCACCGGCGGCCCACTCGTCTGAAGCCCACAACGAACGGCCACTCTCTTCTGCTGTACAAACAACCTCCGCGGAAATTTTCTACTTCATCGGATTACACCTTAGGATGCAACAGATGGTGCATAGAATCGCAGACCATAAATATGATCTACTCGTAGACATCCGTATGGTTGGTTATTCCAGACCTTGCAAGTGCAGTGGATCACTTTATCCTGTACATACGTGCCCATGTGGTTGGTATCGGAGAAAGTTTCTGACTAACTTCCCAAGGTTCCTTTCTTTCTTGTTTAAGAGGAGACAGACATGAGTGTTTTCTTCATTACCAGCCTTCTTGGGTTCCCTTCTCCAAAGCCAGCAGAAGGAGCCCGAGGATGGCAGAATCCGGACCAAACCCTGCTCATGCGGGGAGAAGCCCTCCTGGATAGAAAACCATATGTTCTACCTTGTTTTTAGATGCTTTCTCACTCCTCACGAAATATGGGTTGCTGACTTTTGTGGGTTGTCCAATTTCTCTATTGATAGGTGGGTCCACACACTATCTAGTGGGTTTCCCAACTTTATATCTTTTTTATTTCCTTTAGATTCAATTATTTTGATCTGATTTCAATTTTACTAGGTGACAACCACCGAAAACACTTGATTGACCCATTTCATCAATTTATAGAGTTCAAAAGAGGATCCAAAATTAGTATAAAAATACCTATGGAGAGACTTTTAGTCTATAGACATTGTATAAAAATCCTCCTAAATATTCAAACATCTCACGATCACCATCACAGTGTTGAAACTTTATTTTTATTAGTTTAACTTAATTATTATTTAAATTAGTAATATATATATAATGATTTTAAGTTTCAAAACTACTTTTTAATTAATTATGATTTTTTTAATTTTTATAGATCATAATTTGATCAATTAAATCATTTGTAATCATTTATGTAAGAACCTTAATATTGAACTCTACTTCTACTTGAATTGTATTTATCGTGACCATTGACATCATTCTAGTGTCAGCACCTAAATTTCTCATTTTTTAAAATTCTTAAATATATTTTTTCTTCATCATTTAGTCTAAAAATTATAAAATTGAAGAAAATTTTAAAATTTTACTTAGCATTATCTTATATTCATGTGATTGATTAGAATTTTTTTACTATTTTTAGATCCTTTAATCATATTTAAAAATACTTGTGCCGAAATACTTTTAAAAATCTAAAAATTAGTACTTTTTAGTTTTATAAATTTATTGGATTTATTATACATCAATTATGTAATGTCAACCAGCATCCAAACATCATTCATGTAATGCTCCAATAGTTGTGCACTCATGTGGACATTCTAGTACTCACTCTCCTTTTCTTTTTTGTGCTTCTTTTTCTTCTCTTGTTTTTTTTCTACATCTAATGTTCGTAAAGTCCACTTTTGTATGCTGAATTTGTAGCCACAATTAGTCATTTACACTTGATGAAAATCAGGTTGTTTGTTCTCACATATGTGCCTGAATTTAAACCCAAACAAAAGTACATTAGTATTATAAAATTCATAAAATTGTAAATATTTACATTTTTATGCCATTTATTGATTGAGATTTTTATTTCATAAACTTTTCTCAATCAGTATAATGTGATAATACTTGTGATGGAAACATATATTAAAAATTATATGTTGACCATTAAGTAGTGTATAAAGACCGTTTTACCCTTTAGTTCATTTTTTTGGTCTAAGACTTATTTCTTCTACAATGATTAAGATCAGAAAATATACATAGAATATTTTAAGATTATCACTTTACCTTCTTATCTTTTTTATCATCATCAAAACTATTTTATGATTGCTATGTAAAGCCATGTGAGGGTGAGTTCTCTCAATAGAGGATAGTGCTGAGCACAACTCCAAGAAATGAGAAAGTCTTCTGGCCTATCTAACTTGAAAATGTCAAAACGTGGAGCATAACAGTTTGAAGGCCCAAAATGAACTCAAGACTGAAAATGTACTTAGCCCAAACTACACTCAAGATAGGGCATTAATTTTGTAAGGGTATGTGCTATATTTATTTTAACTCTTTTTCATGTCTGGTTATCTTATCCTATTTTTTAAGAGAGGAATACTTAATTTAGACATGAGCATGTTGAGGCATCAAGTGATGTTATTATTAGTTCATTTATCATTCTCTATAGATTTTTCTCTACTTGTTGACTTGAGGAGAGTTATTCTAACCATTGTGGATTGAATGGTTGTCAAATCCATTCTTTATGGAGTTAAGGATGAGGATCTCATGGTTTGCAAATTGAAAATCCAATTTCCATTCGTAAAAGACTTTCACCACATCATTCATAATCTTACCTTGGTATGATATAGAAATATGAAAGTCGACATAATTTCAAAGAGGAACAAAAATAAGATAAAATCCACCAAACATAATGTGCTCAATCCTTTAGTTCAAAAGTGAATAATTTAAATGATTAATAAATTAAGATTTAGAATGATGTCGTTTAAATGCAAAAAGATTGCTTCAATACTTGGTACCCCCATTTCATCCTATGGCATATGTATAAGTAGGCTAAAATTAGTTATTTACCTCCAAAAAAATATGGTCAACAAAATGAATTAAAAGAAAAAGAACTATTTATCTTTGAAACAAACATGATATCCAGATAGTTTGGGACATTAGGTTGATTTGATTTTTGAATAAGTTAGATCTTCAAACCTTCAACATTAGACAAGTTAACAAATTTCGAATTATTTAGGTCACAAGTCCTTGTTTCTTAGAATTGTGTTCTATATCAAAAGGCTTAGAGAACAAAGTGAGAAATTTATCTATTGTGACCATTGCAAATCAGCTACTCAATTTGCCTCGCCATGTATGAGATGGTACATGGTATTCCAACACTAAGAGCAAACCCACAGTTGTCCGTTACAACCAATAAAGGTGAAGAAAAAATGGAAAATTACAGGCAGGCGAGAGAGAGGGAGAGAGGGATTAACACAGCGAAAACAGGAGTATAATAAAAACCAGAAGGAAAATCTGTACAGAAGCGGGCACATCAACAGCCAAGAGGAGGGAGCATCTTCGCGCCCCACTACTACGAGGGTGGGCCTGCATTCGAGGTCTGGCCCAGAGCTCCCTCCTGGCGAATCAGATCCTGGGGAAGATCCCGGAGAATCTGGGCAATCTGTCAATGTGCTTAAGCGCCTTCTCGGCGAGCTGCTTCGTGTGGTTGTCGCTATTGCGGAAGGCCTCGACAATGGCAGTGACGATGTTCTGGTTGCCCGAGACCTCGTTGGCTATGTCATCGGTCCTCAGAATCCTCTCGGCAGCCCAGACCGCGCGGTGGCGGAGGACCTCGCTGCGGTTCTGCACCAGCACTTCGAGGATGAGCTTCACGCCCTCGTCCTCCGCCAGCAGCTGTACGGCGGCCTCGATGTCCTGCCCGTCCTCGAGCAGGGTGCAGACGGCGGCTAAGGCGGCCTCCACCACCCTCTCGTTCTCGTGGTCAAGGCAGGCCACCAGCTTGTCCACCGCCTGCCCCTCTACGAGGCAGAAGCTGTCCCTCATGGAGCAGAGCCCCCGGTGGACCCGGCAGATCCCGATCACGGGCAGCTGGCTGCTGAAGCAGGGGAAGATGACGCAGCAGAAGCCGGGGTCGTGGGCCTCGGGGATCCTCGACAGACGACGCGACTGCTGGGAGAGGTGCTCCAGCGCTAGGGCGGAGGCCGCCTGGATCCTGTCCTGGCCGCCGCTCTTCTGCAGCATCTCGCTGAAGAGGGCGCCAAGGTTGTTCTCCTGGCAGAGCTTCACGACGGCGGGCTCGTCCTGCAGCAGGAAGGTGACCCGCGAGAGTACGCGGACGAGGCCCTCCAGATAGGGCGTCAAGAAGCGGTTGTTGCGGGTCCCCCCCTGGTGGATCCTCATCACCTTCTGGATGATAATCTCGAACGCCTCCTCGGCCAGCAGGCGCCGCGTGAGCCCCGAGTCCTGCTCGGGGAGCTCGGCCAGGAGCCCGACGGCGGCCGCCTGCTCCTCCGAGGCCCCGCCGTTGTCGGCGATGATCCGGATCAGACTCCCAAGCTGCCCGGCGTTGTTCCGGAAGGCGTCGGCCAGCTCCTGGCCCATGAACGGCGAGACGTTGTGCAGGAGCTTGATGGCCGCCATGCGGAGGTCCCTCTGGGGCACCTGGATGAACTGGATCAAGCTCATGACGGCGCCGGAGCTCCTGACCACCGCGACAATGCTCTCCACCGTCCTGGGGGAGCTCGTGAGGCCGACCAGGACCTGTAGCAGCTTGCACTCGATGGCTGGGCCGGTGTTGCTGATCAGGTGCAGGAGGTTGTGGACGACGCCCTCAGAGACCAGCGTCTGGCGCTCATCCCCAAGCGGGATGGCCACGAAGTCGGCACCAGAGGCCACGATGTCGGCGAGGATAGTGGCGGAGATCTCCTTGAGTTTCATCGGAAGCTGGTGGGGGCCAACGGTGAAGAGGTCCCTGATCAACGGTGGAAGGATGCCCGCCTTGACCAGTATTTTGGCACTCGCCTCGTAAGATGAGATCTGGTTCAGAGCCTTCAGAGCGACCTCCTTTGCACGCTTGCTGCCACTTTGCAGGACTTCAATGAGGGATGCGCCCGCAGTCTGCGCCACGAGGAGCTTCACGTCGTTGCTCAGAGCAAGCTCCCCAAGGTGCTCAGCCATGGCGAGCTTCGTTTCGGGTGAACCTGGCAACGACAAGCTCGCAGAATAAGAGGACAACCCATCCCATTATATCAGAATCCTAGGGAAAAACGAGCAGACGTTCTTCTGACTGCCCCCTCCCACTTTCCCACGCAAGAATTCAAGAATTCTTACCCACCATATAAATTACTGTGTTACGGCAATATCCTCTTCCTAATGAATGCCGAACTCTGTCATTGCATTACTTTGTTAAGAAGCAGTAGCATGCTATGATCAGACTATTCAGAAATTCTCAATCCTACAGTTGAAATAGGTTTGATGTGTATAATGGATACCAAGTTGCATAACGTAGAATAAGATAAAAGAATGAGATCCTTCGTATTTTTGTACTTCATTCATGTTTAACAAAAAAAGCATATCAGGTAACTCTGTTGTCATAAGTAATGCTAATTTTTGCAGAAACGTGATTGAAGATGTGACACAGGAAGGATAAACCATCTAAGAGCCTTGATCATACAAAAGTCCCCAATCTAAATCATCCATGGTATGAAAGTTTTTCCCTCTGCAATGCTACGTGAACAGGTCATTATGCAAAATCGACCCGGATAATATTGCCAATCATTCTTCCTATAAGTAATCAAGGTAAAATATATGCGAGATGGCAAAAAAAAAAAAATGTCATTTACCTGCACTAGTAAGGGAAAGTATTCCAGAATCCAAAAAATTACTGTTTGTTCTTGTCTGACATCTCTGTCAGCAGTCCCAAAATGCCTCATGTGGAAACCATCATATGCAACACAGTGTAGGTCTTAGAATGGCTACTTCAGGGGTGGGAATGAGACACTATGATTGCTAAAGTCAGTAAGCACAGAGACGCTAAAAGCAGCAGGTGGTATTCCCCCTAAGGTAGAGGCAGAGAGACCAACGATAAGACTCATGGTTCAATCTGTGGTTATGCACCCAGTGAAACCATTATCATGGAATCAATAAAAAGAAACTGTAAAATGTTAAGATTATTAAATATGATATATGCTGCTCAGATTATAAGCTGTTTAGGACAACATAAAATATTTACTTTACTAGCATCACTTCGTTCTGAAATGGCTGGACAGACCACGTTTCCACACATCATCCGTCATCAATGTAACAGAAATCATGTTGCTGTAAGCAAATGCCTGGAGAATATTTTTTTTCATATCACCGAAAAATCTTGCAGGTTTGAGTTAGCGAGGCATTTATGATACGGACCCCATTTTTAGGCTACACATCCCATGTTTGTTCATGTAATACGCCCTAAGTCACCTTCCCCAGGTACAGCACAACGTTAGTTTGGTAACAGATAGGATGGCATCTGCTCTACATCAGCTAATTATTTCATGATTCTTGTAAGGAGACCTTTAAAATGAAATATTATAAGCAGCACAATTATTTCTGGTCTATTTAGACTTGATCTATGAAGCAACTGCTTCCGACCAGCCAACAGTGATATAATTGTTTCAGGTGAATGTAAGGAATAGGGTAGGGTTTGCAGGACTGATTTTATAAACGAATCATGAATCAATTGTCACAGATTGTCAAACTAACGCAAGTTTCTGAATTGATTAAAATTTAGATCAGCTTAAGTTTCGGGTGTCAAAAACTCTGTTTCTAACTACCACTGTCGGCTTGTGTATTTTAATTGGTTCTAGAATATCATTTTCTTATTTGTGGCTTCACCATCATCATCCATTCCTATGGCGCTGGCCTGATATAGAGTCTGAATATGAAAGGATAATATAATGATATTGAAACTTTAAAAACTTATAACAAGAACTACAGCTAAATTGAATACGATGTCATAGCATTTAAACCATCGTCAATTAGCCAACTGTTTAGGTCGTGTGAAAGTATAACTTCCAAGAAATTCTATTAGATGACTGCAACAAATACCAACGTCCATTAGATGATGGTTGGACGTGCTGAAGTTTATCACTGAAACCCCAATGGGCAGTGGGGATATTTAGATAGGATAATTCTGGAAACGCATCAGAGGAAAGCTACTATACATCGATGCTTTTCTCTACATAATGGAGACCAGCAAGAGAAGGCACAGCTCCAAAATAAGTTCATATATACTGATTAAACGTTCACAAATTTTCTTCAGGTGCTTTCATTTGCCTTCATACTGTTGCTGTCCATCGGTTAGCCCTTAAGAAACTAATATATTAGTTTAGGATACTCCTGAATGAAATTGCCAATTTTTCAGTTACGGAAATTATCTTTAGTGAGCAAGCTTCCTAAAAAATGAATATATTTGAGAATAAAATGCTCAAATAAAGGGTCAAGTCTCTTAAAAGTAACAAAATGTGTAATGGAAGAGGGCTAAGTACATGCTACACAGACAAACTACTAAGGAAGACTGGAACCATAGGAAACCAGAAGAGGAAATAAGGCGGTACCTTTCAGAAGAAGTCTGAGAAGAGGCTGTAGTCTTCCATTTTCAGCCATCTGCCGCACATTTTTCTCACATGTCTCTAAGTTCTCCAGTGTTTTCTCAGCTCTCTCAACTGTAAGAACATTCTCCGATTTACTGCTAGCCATTCCAACTAATATAAGAATTGATCCATAGACATCACCAATCTTTTCACTGAGGGATTCGGATTTTGAAAGCTCGTATAACAGGAAAACAGCCTCCTCCCTCTCCTGGGAATGATCATGGGACAAAAACTTCACAATTGTACGTATAGTGTCACCTACAGCTATAGCGTCCTGCAGGGAAACACCAGAAGCATGTTAGTCAGGAGGTCCTGCACGGTGCAGACTATAGACACAGAACAGAAATTCAACAACCTTATTATCAGCATCTCCTTCAGCAACAATCCGGAGTGTTTCTAGGGATCTAAACCTAACTTTGCTACTAGTGCTCTTCAACATTTCAGAAATCATTGGTATTAGCCCTGCATTGCGAACAACCTGCTTGTGGGACTTGCTTCTCTTGCAAAGAAGATGAATATAGTCTAGGGCCTGTAGAACATCTGCCTCTAGACTCCCAGAAGACAGGGATCTTCGAGCAATGTCGATTTGAGCAGCTTCATTTCTTTTGGTCCATTCTTCAATTGTGTTCCGTAAGGCAATACTAGGGTTCAGGTCTATGCTGTGCAGCTCTTTCAATGTCGATGGACAGGTAGGCTTCCTTCCTTTTTCTCTGCAGTCCTTGAACCACTTCTCAATTGCTTCACGTTCAAATGTGAGTCCATTCTCTAATGTAACCGGGTCTCGCATAACTTTTTTTGTAAGCGGGCATACAAATGAATCATAGATTGGTTCCAAGTGCATTTCATGAGACAACTCATCAGAGTGTCCCCCAGAACCATCGCTCCCCACCCAAACCTCTGCCATCTCTTCAGTACCTTGTACAACAAAACAAAATAATAGCCAGAGATCAGAATCTTTCATTGTTTCTCCATGAATGAAATTTATCAGAACAAAAATAAAAAAACGCAACAATTAGTATCAACTGGCAGTGTCACCTTTCGATGCACATCCTTTCACATAAATAGAAAGGTTCAGAAAAAAAATTAGAGCATGTAAGCGTCCAAAGCATACATAGCACTATCTCGACCATTTCTCCCGTAACAAAAACTAAAGAAAGCCAATATGTATACCCGTTCAACAATATGTGCAAGGTGCACTCACCAGCACTTGGAGACCTGTCTTTATGGAGTGGAACTAGTGTTTGAAGTCATGGAATATGATATAGAACAATGTGGGACTATGACCTAGAGGAAAGATAATGATGTTACTTCAGGCTGATCAGTAATCAGACAGCCTTCAAGACCCGTAACCATTTGAATCCGGAACTCATTCAATCCTCAATTCAATAAGACATTGACCCATTCCCCACATGGAGAGCTTCTGGTTTTGTCCTGGTCTGTAGCAGTCACAACAGTTGCAGTTCATATCATACAGCTCTTCTCACTAATCAAGGGAGGAGGCGTGTATCATACCATTATCAAAACAAAGAGGAATCGTTACTTTTTGTAGCTAGGGGTTTCTTCAATTCCAGGTATAGGCCTGCGCTTTCATAGTCATGATTGACTCTGAGATCATCATCTTCAACTAGTTTCCGTTCTGTTTCTGTTTTATTGGCTAAGAGTGTACCATTTAGTGAATCCTTTCATGGAGCTTGAAATTTTGAGTATACTGATGCAGAATAGTGAACAACCTATGTGGAAGTATGGCAGATCATGGAATTTTCAAATCCGAGTTTCTCAATGTTGAAAAAAGTCACAGCTTCATTAAGGAAAGCCTCATGTCCTCAATGGAATACAAGATGTTAAAACCAGTATAAATAATAAAATGAGCTATGAAAAATTGTTAATGACATTAAAGATTTATACCAGCAAGCACATTAGAGATTAGGAGCATGCATGAGTATGCTAACAAAGGATACTGTACAGCAAGCAGGAGATGATATTTCTACTAGCGTCTTCATAAACTAGCTTTCCCTGACTAGAAGAAAAATCTTATCTAATTATCCTGGATTTTTCTTTCTCAATGCATTTAAAAACGATATATAGCCCAGTTGTTTGTCATTCAGATCAAGTAGTAAATCTAAGATGTAGAAATGAAAAAAAACCTGGCAAGGGTAGCCTAGATATTGGATTCTCCACCTCTATCCCAGCATTGTGCTTGCAGACTAAAACAGGCAACTACAGCTGGAACTTTCGGAGAATTAATTACAGTTGGAAGGATGGCATCATTGGACCAGGTTCTCCGGTAGTGCTGGGTACCAATTAAATGCCCAGGAAAAACTGATATAGAATACTAACTCAAAGTATGTAAGATCAACACCCTTAACACACAAAGAATAAGAATAAATGTCATCATTAAAAATATCAATTACAAGCAAAGGTTAAATAAAAGCTCTCTAAAAAGTTCACACCCTCAACGATCCGTCCCACTCAATCCTGCGTCATCCCTCCCTTCAGCAGTCTGTAACCATATTTTGATTACAAAAGCAGCAAGATACATCAGGTGCTATTTTTTTCCTATCTATTTTTCTAAGTAACTACTACTCGAAGTGGAAGAGAGACAATAGCAACAAGAAGTGGAAGACAGAGATGAAAAGGAGGTGTAGTATGAAGATTGAAGGAATGTATACCACAGGCGAGACAGAACTGGGAGTACCGAAACGGCGAAGTGATCAACAGCAACATCAACAGCAGCAGCAAATGGGATTTATGCATATTTGTACTCCATTCTAATTCTATTTCTTCATTCCATTTTCAGTTTTTCCCCTTAATCTTCTTCCCACTTCCACTACAACATCGTAATGGGCTTTAAAAGACATGACCATTGGGCATCATATTTTCCAAAACAGTTTTTCGTACAGGAGGGTTGAGTATGAAACAACTATTCGTGTACATCTATTTTTTAAATGAATTTGCATATGTTGATAGGGAATTGAAACCTAAACTATAAATCTTAAGCATTTCAATCTATTCTGTACAGTTTCCATGTGAAATTCATGTTTCAGTGGCAGAAGATCAATTTTTCCCATCAAGTCAGGTTCATGTTATATAGGTTCAGTGAAAATCTGTACCACACTACCTTTTCCACTTGAAGAATGTTTTCCTTAAGAAATGACTCAGAACACGATTCTTCAAAGTAGAAATACGTGTGTCATTGTCCCAACAGTACGCTCCGACTTTTAACTCTCAAAATGTGTGATCAACGTTCCAAAAAATTTCGCTACAGTTTTGTATGCAGTTCAGGTATTTTAAAAAATATGGCCACTTAAACTTGTTTTATCAATTATTTGCTATTCATCAACCTATATAACTTGGGTTGAAAGGTTACTGTTGATTGTCTATTTGAACCCAACTTGCCTTTTGCAGGACGTTCAGACATAAAATACATTTTACTGGGCTTTCAACATCCTAATCATATTATTCAACCATTGATAAACTGGCCCTTAAGCAAACTGGGGCTACTGAACTCATTACAGTAGGGAACTATCAAACCTATCGCCATAAGGATCACTAGGAATATACCGTTTAGCTTCCATTTTCCGTATGTGACTTCAGTTTCATGAAACGTTTTCATACTGTATAGTTTTATAAAGCACCTAGAAGTTCTATGGTCATGTTAATGATCCCAAGGATTATATGCTATGCAACTTTCAAATACTGAGCACACAGCTTGAGATAAGTTTGGTTTACAAGGAGTAATTTAGTGGACTTCTTGTGATCTATCTTTTAGTGCTTTAATAAATAGAATTTTCCCTTCTTTATCATTATTGATGGTACAAAAATTATGCTATTTAAAATAGGATTTGGTACAATTACTTCAACTTTGTGAGTGTTATTTGGTTCCATCATACATCTAACATGTTTATTGATTTCTGTGCCCAAGGTATGAGATTATTCCTATTAAGTTCATCATATATATTTTAATAATACAACTAATCAAAATATTAAATCACATTCACCCAACATGACAGTTTAACCCCAAGACATGAAAAATGATTTCTGATTCATAGTCTTCTAGATAGGTTGTGCCAGACTTGTGATATTTAGCAGAAATTAATTATGGAGCATTGTGCGGTTTAATATCCAATCAAATTCCTGCTATAAAGCCCACTACAACAAAGCCCATTATAATTATAAGTCCTTAGAAAACAAATAAATGAGCTCTTTTTCTGAATGTGTCAGATGATGAAAACACGTAAGGCACTGTCTTCGCAAGATGAGTTGTACAGAGTGTATATGAAGGCTACAAGCAAAATCTTAAAGTGATGATCAGACTTTGTTTCGAATGTGTTTAAATTTTGGAAGACCGTGGACTTGGTACGGTCATCACAAGTCTCTCTTCCTAGTTAGCACAACTTAAACATTTAGGACACGCCAAATCTGACTTTTACCAAGTCATCAGCCAATGTTACACAAATTTCCACTGTAGGAGTTCAAGCATTTACTGTACAGACTAACCAAAACCCTTTATCTATTCAATTCCGAATTAAGATCCTAGCCTTTACATCGTCAACAAGCTGATTTAGACCAGCGAGCAAGTTAGTTAAAAAATCACGGCCAAGATGACCTTTGTCATGAATGTCTCGATGAAAAGTCTTATGATACTATTTAGTGGATCTGAGACCACCCTACCAGCTTACAGCTTACGATTACACACCCTGAAAGGTTCTAAGACATTGAAAACAGTCTAGTTGTAAGCAGAGGAGGCAAGTTTCAACATAGTAATATTTGATTCAACCCAAGGCAACCAACACTCAATCAATAAAACCATGTTCCTTTGGAAAGCCCGTCCTGATGTTGCAATGACATTCATTTAGACCAATTCAGATTAGTTTCCAAGAGCTTCATATGAAGGTACTGCAGATGTCTCACTCTTAGAGCTTAGTTTAGAACTAAATTATTCACCAAGCTCTCAAGCATAATATACAACGTTCAGGTCATCCTTCTATCTGAATCTATGAACACTGATAACACGTCCTCATTATCAAATGCCATTGTTGGGACCCTTTATCTGTTTCTTACAAATCTTAATCCTTGTCCTTCGCTAGTCATCGTTTTTTTCCTTGTCTCACGCCCTTTTAACTTTACTAAACCACCAGCAAGAGGATGTCAGACATGATCTGCTTCGGTTTGCACAACAATAATCAGAAATGCTTGTCTCTATCGACATCTGCCTTGATCTATGTACTCAATTCGACAATACCAACTTGGAACTTAATGAGAATATCAATCTAGAGCTAGGAAAGTCTGACAATGGCAAGGACAATAGTGTGATTCAAATTGAATGCAAGTGGTCACGTTTCTCTTAGTTGACACATAGCCATAATCTATCCTCAGTTCCACTTCGGTTATTTTCCCTTTCAATCAGTCCGAAATCTATATGGTTTACTCTTCTGACTCCCTCTTCCCCGCGCTAAGAGATCTTTATAAGAAGCCGTTGCTATTCAAGCAGCAAAAGCATAAATAACAACAGAACTATTTACACACCTTACCATTAAAAAAAGAACACTATTCTCCTATTAAGACCAGAGTTATCTCTTAAAACCAGCATTCATTTGGTAAATTATTGAGGAATGAGTCCCCCATCTGTTTACGTACAGCATATAGTTTTTCACAAAAAGAAAAACTCAAGGTTGGAGCACATCATAAACTACGCGATTCATTGTTTGGAACTCTAATCCTGAGTACCAGCTTCCAACTCCATCGTTCTGTCAAAATTAATTTAAATAAACTGTTCCACAGTTTTAAGACAAACAAAGGGAACAAAAGCAGGACTACTCGCACTCTCCTAGTCCCTCACGATTTCACTGCTGGAAACTATGTTTAGGCATTCCTGTGATGCTTTTTGGGATGAACCAAGGTTTT